GGGAGAGAATATTAGACCTCGAACGTCGTCAGCTCCTGACGAATCGAATGGCAATGCAACTGCCTTGGCAAACCAGAGAACTGTTCGTCTAGTGGCGTGGCGGCCGGTCGCCGTGGGTACGGATCGCTGGTGGGCCCTTCCTTGATGCCAGGCACTCACGCCCGCTGGCGCTGGTGACCTGTGAAGCTTCTGCACCGCCGCCTCAGGCATCAACCGAGCCACCCGCTGTCAGAGAAGGCACGCTGTCGCACGAGTGGGTCCGCGGAGATCATCCCCGTGAGCCTGCAGGCGCATACTTTTTTGATGTCACGGAGCCCATTGTCCTCAACTAGCAATTTATGCTTCTTCCCCAGAGTTTCCACCAGTTTTGACCAGTTTATCGACGAGTGTTTACTTCCCAGAGCAGGCGCAAACATTTGAACGGGCCTCGACCCCCCTACTGATGCCTGCTTACGAGAGCATGCAAACAAGTCCTCTTCATCCTGCCCTTCGCCACCAACTTTGCCATACGAGTTTGATCGTCCATCGATGCCGGCTCTGGCATTATACTCAGCCGTTTCTTCGAGCCGGTCTAGCTGTGAATGCGTCTGGGCACGCTTGACGTCCCATCAACATTGCGAAGAGAGCGTACTTGACGGTGTGATTGCGTCCAGTCGTGCTCAACCATCCCCAGTTCCTTGACCATCTCGACGAAGGCGCGCTAGACGACGTGGCGACGTCTAGTTAATCTCATCCTCCCGTTGATAACTTGATCGCTGATTCGCAAAGAGCGCGCGCGCTTGATTGTGGGACTCCGTTGAGTCGCGCCAGACCATCCGTCGATACCGAACCAACCTTTCCAACAACTCACGGGCAACCGCGGCCATCCCACCGACTTTACCAATCCGACAAACAGGCCTATTTGAACATGGCGCCTCCTACTAGCAAGCCGCAGGCCGGTGCGGCCGCCAAAGAACAGAACGAGTACATCCCGTCCTTCATCAGCAAGCGCCCCTTCTACGCGGCAGATCAGGCAGACGACAACGACAACGACTACCTCAAGCATCAGCGCAAAGAGGAAAAAGAAGAGAGCAAAGCATGGTACGACCGAGGTCGCAAGGCAGGCCCTGCAGCGACCAAATACCGTAAGGGCGCATGCGAAAACTGCGGCGCCATGACACACAAGGCCAAAGACTGCTTGAGCCGACCGAGGGCCAAGGGTGCCAAGTGGACAGGCAAGAATATTCAGGCAGACGACATTATCCAGGACGTCAATCTCGGCTGGGACGCCAAGCGCGACCGGTGGAATGGCTACGACGCCAGAGAGTACAGCAAGGTGGTTCAAGATTACCAGCAGATGGAGGAGCTTCGGAAGCAGGCCAAACGGTTGGCGAAACCCGACGGCGACGATGACGACGACGACGAAGAACAAGATGACGAGGGCGACAAATATGCCGAGACAAACGACATGAGCAAGCATCAAAGCACGGCAACGCGCCAACTTCGTATCCGCGAGGACACGGCCAAGTACTTGCTCAATCTTGACCTTGAGTCAGCCAAATACGACCCGAAGACCAGAACGCTAGTGGATGGCGGTGCTTTGAAGGATAAGGCATCGGAGCTCTTCGCCGAGGAGGGTTTTCAACGCTCTTCTGGCGATGCTGGCGAGATGGAGAAGGCACAGAGACTTGCGTGGGAGACGCAAGAAACTTCTGGCAACACAGCCCTGCATCTGCAAGCCAACCCAACAGCGGGCGAATTCTACCGCAAGAAAGCCGCTGAGGAGGCAGAGAAGAAGCGGGTAGAAAGGGAAAAGACGTTGATGGACAAGTACGGCAGCGCGGACCAGAAGCCCTTGCCTGCAGCGTTGCGGAACATGACTGTGACTGAGTCGGAAGTATTTGTCGAATATGATGAAACCGGATTAATCAAGGGGCAACCTAGGAAAAAGGTCAGTTCCAAGTACGCCGAAGATGTCATGGTCAACAATCATACCTCGGTTTGGGGAAGCTGGTGGTTCAACTTCAAGTGGGGGTTCGCGTGCTGCCACTCAACTGTGAAGAACAGCTACTGCACTGGTGAGGAGGGCAAGCAAGCGTGGGAAGCTGCGGAGAGACAGAAGATGGGCGTCGGGCTGAACGGGGCGCCGGAGGAGAAACACGAAGAGAACGACGAAGAAGCGGAAACAAAGAATGATAATGAGAAGCAGCAAGATGGGCCGAGCAAGACGGCATCGAAGCGAACGCGAGAGGAAATGATGAATGGGATCACAGAAGCAGAGATGGATGAGTATCGGAGGAAGAGAACGGCAACTCACGACCCCATGGCAAAACTTCTAGGAAAGGACGATGTGCTGGTCGACATGGAATAGGGGGCGAGGTACAATATATATATCCTGGCAATGGCGGGAAACCGAGTTCGAACAACTCGAGGACGAGAATAGAGAGCGATGCATCTTCCCGACGCTAGTGTGTTCCCATCTGTGTTGCTCATCGACATTGTTTTAATGTGTTCAACGGGCCGCGTCTGCCTCATGCCCTGGCTGTTCGTCAAAGGAAGCTATAACAAGAAGAACGTTTAGCCGTCATCTTCAATCATATGGCAGTGCCCGGTTATGAAAGCTGCCAGAACAAGGAGATGGGATGAAAAGTTACGAGACAGGTGACGGCCGAGTCAGCACGATGCTGCCAACAGCAACGGGTGTATCACACAATCGGCTGCCATACCACAATAGCTGGAGGTGGCTTGATCTGGGCCATCATTTAGTTTCGGAAGAAGACAATAATCGTCCAGGGGCTGAGAAGGACGATACAGCCTCGGGGGCTTCCTAAAATACCATTATTGGAAGCTTGGTGGCCCTCACGGTCTTCGTGTTAACGAAGAAGAGAGAAAGCAGCCGTTGATAAAACTACCCATGGCAGGTTGATTTGGTTTTGCAACGGCAGCAGCTGATTGAAAGAGAAGGGTCAGTGACGGCTGTGTGTTGATCAAGGCGTGTGCCTAGTCGGATATCAGCATTCCCAGTTTTACTGTTGCCTACTTGGTCAACAAGCCACGAGAGATGCCCCAATGGATGCAATAATATGCGGAACTCACGGGAGTAAGAATCCGAGAACTTGTTCAGTGGTCTTACGCGCAAAGAAGGGTGTGATCGGCTGTTAATGGAGCTTTCGCCAATTGTCTCGGTAAATTCGTGTTGTGCATAATATTGACTCTTCCTAGGTTTTATTTTCGGTTGATTTGTGATCTGTGATGATTGATTTATTAGCTTGAAACAAGCGCAGAGTAGGTACTTGTAGAGTCAAATGTACAACACGAACCAAAGCAAGATGTGAGCCAACGGTATCGAGTCTGCACTAACATTTAGTTCAATTATAGGCTCTTTTGAAGATTTTAGGCCCACGAGAGTAGCAGAAAAGCGACCTTGATCAACCGAGTGGGCGATGATACAGCTCAGGAAGAGGGGGAGAGAGGTCTGCCCACGGAAAGATGAAGTTTGATCAAGGGCATCTTTCTTTCATCTACCTGCTGTCAGAAGAGGATTCAAGTGGCAGTGTCTGAGGAGATGGATCGGCCATAGTGCTGTTGAGTCGAGTCCTAGCAAGACGAGAGATATTGAGACGTCAACTCACAGAGGAGCTTGCCTAGCCAACCATCCAGAGTCAGGGAAGATAGAATACGATGTGAAGAGAGACAGAAGAGATGGGAAGAGAAGATAAGACTTGGCAAAGCGCCGTGTACCTACCAGGTCCTCTCTATAAGAAGAACAAGGCAACAGGCAACGCTCACAGCTTCCCAACCCGAGCAAAGGGAAGGTCTGCCGCCTCTGAGGTCTCTTCGAGTGGGGCCGGGGGTGGAGCACCTTGTCCCAAGTTCTGGCCGAGGAAGGAGCCTCTCGTCAGTATGCAACACCTCCCAGCAACCCAAGAGTTCAACTAAGTGGTCACGGAATACGGAGGCAACATGTCTTACAAGCACACACCTTACCCAGGCTCACATCCTGAAAGAAGAACCCCTAGTGATGCATTTACAGACTCCTCATCCACGAAGAGCATCCCCTGCTGCTTTGCCGGCGCCGGGTCCGGAGCTTCTGTCTGACCCACCTACCATACTAGGAACTACCCAAGTACTAGGCAAGAACCTTGTTCCTGTCGGTTTCCTACAGATTCAAGGGCAATGGCGGCCATTATGGCCAGCATTTGGTTCTTGCTTGAGTGTCTGGCCGCGGAGTCATGCCCGCTTCTCGCTTGTCCAAGCCGACTTCGAGAACTGCAGGGTTCCTAGTACTTGGCGGGCCGCCTTCTCTCGGAGATGTGCCTTCCGCCCTGTTATTATTGGTGTTTGGCCTCCGTAGGTGGTAAGAGCGAACGGTACGGGCCGTTCTACGAAAAGTCAATGGCCAGACCATCGCCCCCTAGCAACCGTAGTACATCCAGGGTATTTCACCCATCTCATCAGACGAGAGAGTACCTACTTAGCTTTTGATTCAATTGAATTCTAGAACTTACCATGTGCCATATGACATGACGCCCAACGATTAGATTTTCGCAGTTGGTTGAGATGTCGGTGCGCCTCAATCACATGCCCTTTTCAACATGTCAAAGCGGGGGAGGGGAGACTCCAGCATCCCACAATCACATTACCTGCCTACCAAACACCACAGAGCTAGACCGCCCACAGCTCGTCACATCCACCAGCAGCGTCAATAAATCCGGGCCACCGATCGTGGCTTTTACTCTGTTCAAAGTTACCTGGCTGTAGCTACCGTGCGACGCGAGAAAAAGGCAGTAACTGTCTCACCCTCTCAATCCGCATGACTAAGCCCGCATAACCAAGAGTTACACAACCTCACGAGGCTGGTCTTCGTCAACTCCTGATAAATCATTGGTTGTCTCCATGAGCGCGCACGTACCCTCTGTTACAAAATGCTGTTCTGCTTTCCCATGGATGCCTCCTGTCGACACCTGACCTGCAGCAATCTCTAGCCTCCTCAATTGCTGCAGCCTCCAACCCCCGGGGACATGCTTCACCAACAGCCACGAGCAGGCTGTTACACGCCGCCGCGCGAGGCAGACGAACGCAGCCCATTTGAGACCCCAGACCGCCGTTGCAAGCGCGATGGTATAGACGGCACGTCTGATGCTGAGCCTGCAGAAGGCCCCTTCTCTAAGGCAGAAGGTAAGCTTCCTTTAACATTCCCAACCTTCAACTTGGTCGTCTCAAGCTCAAGACTGACTACTCTATACCATAGTGGCCCGGGTTCTGTCATCACATTCTTACCAAACCGAAGACACGGCATACGAATTCACAACCACGACCTTCCGGAAGACCTCTCGACTTACCGTAGGCCACCCCAAGCCGGATGGACCTATATTCAGATGGTTCAGGTCATGGTGAGAAAAGCGCCAGGATAACCCAAGTGCGATGGTCGTCCATTTCTAACCACCGGCGAAATCCCCAATAGGAATCACGAACGCATCACGAATGAAGCCAAGGCCATGGAGCTGGTGTCTCGGAACACAACAATCCCCGTGCCAAGACTGATTGACCATGGAGGACACCCAGACGGCCGCCGATACTTGATAACAGAGCGCATCGAGGGAATCACCCTCTCCGAGATCCAACGTCGTAGCTGCCTGCAGCCACTGGGACAAAGCCACCCAGGCGACGTGCCCTGTCAGCAATGTTTCGACCAGGCGCACGCCAACGCCGTCGACTTCATCAACACAACCGTCCTGCCGCAGCTCGCAAAGCTGACGTCTCATACCCGAGGTATCGACGGGTTTGTCATGCCCCCCCGCTGGCTCAGCCCTGACATCCAGCCTCCGTGGAGGGGAATGAAGCAGTGGAAGACTCTCCCCCGAGAGGAGCCCGAGTATGTCTTCCAGCACGGCGACCTCGGGGCCCACAACGTGATGGTGAACCCGGATACTCTCCAGGCCACGGCCCTGATCGACTGGGAGTATGCTGGCTTTTACCCCCCCGGGATGGAGCGATGGACCGGGACTCTGGATCGGGACGTGTACGCCAAGCTCGGTCGCGATCTGGCCCGTCCGATCGCGGAATTTCTTGGTGAAGAGTACCTGGAATACTACGACAAGTGGAGTGACAAGGACGAATTGCAGGGCCTGATCGAGTCTGGCCAGCTCCCGCACCCCGACGAAGTCAAACGTGGACTACAGCAAGCGGAGTAATGAGGATCAATTGAAGGCCTTAATGGAGCCTGGCCAGCCCACGCCTCCTAATGGAATAAAATATAATGTAACAAGAGACGGTGGCTGAAGATTAAATACCTACCAATCTAATTGCCTAATTCCTTTGACTGTCTAGATAGGGCGGGAGTGAAGCACACGACACACACCACCGCATCTTACCAAAAGATAGGAAAAAGTAATTGAGACCTCTTGGACATTGAAAAACGCCTTGGAAGTGACTGTATTTATTAATAAGTTTGTCAAGTGAAGGTTTTGCTACTGCGGAATTGAGACGAGAGAAATGGCGGCACTCTAGGGTAGGTCGCGTAGTAGAGACACTTGGTTACCTAGGTAGGTCTACACATATACACTTTTACAAGCATCCAGGAGAATTGCGAAGAAAAAAGAGCTTATAGAAGAAGAAAAGAATCTGGAACTCCCCCGTACGCGTCGTTATATTTACGAGACAAAATTGCACAATAAGACGGGTCCTCGTGTGTCCATGACAATTGAGGAAAGCAGAGAAATTATCATGATATGGAAAAGGAGTGAAGTCGATGTGGTTGAGCAATTGACGATACAGCAGAGAAGCCATGCCGATCGAGCAGAAATTACCTTCATGGAGCAGAGAATCTATTGTACCGCAAGAATACCAACTACGTGAAAACAGCGGTGAACAAGGTCGACACAGCAGAGGAACATTCACGAGAGGCAATGGTTTACGCGTACGAAGGGGACATAGAGAGAAGATGGCGTATGTGAGATGCCAGCGTTGCATTGGATGATGATCACAACTATCGTCAGTGCAAACAGGAAGAGGATCCGTAAAAATCAATCCATTTCGCCTTGGGAATGCGCCATTTCTGGGGACGAGACCTTTTTCGTTTAAAAAACAAGAGTGCCTACTACAAACACCCCCTGTCTGCCCTAGCCTTGAACATTGAACCGTTCTTTTGTTAAATAATCTACTCGTCATCCTCATCCTCCTCGCCGTCCTCCTTCTCGGCGGCCTTGGCCTTCTTTCTTCGGACACGGCCGGGGCGGCCACCTCCAAGAGGAGAGGTGAGGGAGAAGTCAATGTGCTTCTGGGAGTCGAGGCGGACCATGAACGAGGGGACGTTGACGATCTGCTTGCCGACGCGGATGTGGCGCTGACGGATCAGGACACGGGCGTGGTGGATGGACTTGGCGAGACCGAGCTTGTGGACGCAGGTCTGGAGACGGCGCTCCAAGAAATCCTCAACCTTGAGGGCGAGCACGTAATCGAGCTTCATGCGGGACTCGTCGAGGACACCGACACGGACGAGACGGCGAATGAGGGCATTGCCTTCGAAGAGACGCTTGGGGTCCTTCTCGTCGAGGGTAAGAAGCTGACTGTGGGATCGTTAGTAAATTAGAACGAGAAGGGCCGATGGAGATTGGTAGGTTGATCGAGAACTGGGAAAAAGAGGAGGGATGGGGGAAAGTTGAGTGGAGTGAAGGAACTGGTTGTGCAAATTTGCCTGTCGAGATCACGCGGCAAAGATCCAACACCCGAGAGAATGCAAGTCTTGCGGGATGCAATTCTCGAGGCGCTGAGTCTCCAGCCGAGATCACGCAACAGGAAAGATGCAATTCCAGAGGTGAAACTCCTCTAGATCTAAACAGACCTAGAGGACAGCAAAAGAGACCTGGACAGGAGACATACCGGGCAGCACGACGAATCTTGGACAGAGTCAGACCGACTCGCCAGACCTCACGCTTGTTGCGCAGGCCATACTCGCCAACGAGCTTCAACTCGGTGTCCCTGTGTATTGCTATGTCAGTGTTGCTGTCACAATCGACTTAAACAGAGACAAGCTCATGTTCAGTGGCCGGTGAGTACTGACAATCGAGCGGCCTCGAAAGGACGGCGAGGGACACGGGAGGTCTTGGAGTAGGCGCGGGGAGGCATTCTGCAGGTTGGAATACGTTAATTGCTGAAGATTGAGGAGAGGAGGGAATTTTTCACGACGTGGAAGACTTACTTGTCTCGTTTCCCTGTGGTTAGTTGCCGTTGTTGGAGGGACTTGTCTTCACAAGAATTTCGGCCAAGTCTGTGGTGTGGTAACTTTTTCGAGGAAAGAGGTGGGAACGCAGGTGCATCACGTGGTCTGCGCACCGGCAGCCCTAGAAATTTGCGGCCCACACCTGCCGTGCCCTAGAATTTGGTGGGCGGCGGAGGAGGGAAAAATTTCGGAATATCGTTGGATCCGCTCCACTCCCACAAGGTGCACGGAAAATCCACCCATACCTTGCGATTTGAGGCCTTCGAGACTTTTTGCCTTCTACGCAACTAACAATCACCACCAGCATCACCTTCGCAGTCCCTCGACAAACACAGCCGCGATGGGTCACTCATACGGAAAGCGTGCGGGCACCCGCGTACGTTGACACCATGCCTCGTTTCTCTCGTCCTGGACTCTCTGCTAACCTTGTCTCGTCGTCGATTGCAGTATGCCTTCAGCAGGGATTTCCGCAAGAAGGGTATGATCCAGCTGAGCACCTACCTGCGCCAGTACCGGTTCGTCTCTCCCAGCAATCGAAGTTGAATACCGTGCGGACGAGGGGACTAATTGTGCGAAATTAGCGTCGGTGACATTGTTGATATCAAGGTCAACGGTGCCGTTCAGAAGGGGTAAGACGACATCCAGTTTCCCATGGCCCGAGGGGTTGGGGGGAGCAGAGCAATTGGTTGCGGAGGGACGTTTGACTGACAATTGTGCAGTATGCCCTACAAGGTCTACCACGGAAAGACTGGTGTCGTCTACAACGTCGCCAAGTCGGCCGTCGGTGTCATCATCTACAAGAAGGTCTGGGGCCGCTACATCGAGAAGCGCATCAACGTCCGCATCGAGCACATTCGTGTCTCCGGCTCCCGTGACGACTTCCTGAAGCGCGTCAAGGAGAACGCCCAGAAGAAGAAGGACGCCCGCGCCCAGGGCATCACCGTCGAGGTCAAGCGCCAGCCCGTCCAGCCCCGTGGCGCCCACACTGTATCCCTGACCGACAACCCGCCCGAGACCCTCACCCCCCTTCCCTACGAGACTACGATTTAAAAAAGCGAGGGTGGTTCCGTGAGGCTATGCGGTTCTTTGTGATTTTTTATCTTGAGGTGTTCCGCCGGATGGGAAAGAACTTAGCATTGGAAGGGTTCTGCATTTTGGTGATGTCAATAGAAAAATGAAACTAGGTGACATCTTGATGAAGAATACTCGTGTGCCACAGCGTGACATTTTGCATAAGAGGATGATGTGTGAATGCTGCGTCCAAGACCACGTCAATGTGCCTCGATTCGACTTGCAAATTGGGCGGAATCTTGTGATAGTATCTCTAGCGGGCCTGGCGTCCTATCTTGACGAAGTTTCTTTGAGATGGGTGACCATGGCGTAGAGGCGAAGGAACCTAAACAGAGTAGACGACGATAACGAACTCTTTGCATCGCTTCTGTTTCGGGACAGCTCGAAGAATTGGGCAAAGCTATTGTCTAATTTAAACAAAACCCAAACTGTGTCCCTTGCAAGCATGGAGTCTCATCAACAAAGGATCATTGTGCTGTTGGCATGTCTCACTGACATACAATTGCTTGATGGCAGCACCCGTCGTCGAGAAGGTGTGTGCTGCCTCGTAACATTTCTTACCTACTAACTATGAGTACCTGTCTCTTTCCCAAGCGTTTTCACCTTCCGACAGCCAAATTAGGCATCGCCTGACCCACATGGCTTTTTCTGCAGCCAATTAGATGCGTAGTATTGCTCGAGCACGGTCCTGCGAAGCCATTTCATCTTCATTTTCTCGGTGCCTCGTCCCGTTCTCACAAGCAACGAGCCGTTGCTGGATGCAATAAGCCACCACAGATCGCTGCATACCCAGTTGCAGAGGGCCATTGTTCTTCATTCGAGCCCAATATGCCATATAACATCTCAGGTAGCAGCTAAGTGCGGTTCATAGGTGTTCAGGACATGGCAGAGGGACCTTGCGCAGAGACTCCCTTCCTGCTGCTTTCCACCCACTTCACTCTGCCGTGACGACCGACCACGCCACTTGTAGCTACAGGAAAAGTAGAGGGCTAGTGGGCAGCATCTCAATAAGGCCCCTTGGGCAGGAACCTGGCTGCTGATGCCGCCGTCCATGTTCGTTTAAGCTGCCTGATTGAAGGGGCTTGCCGAGACGCCATGCAACGCACTGTTGTTCTTGATGTTACTCTCCAGACCGGCCCGAACCACACTAATGCGATCCCAGTCTACATCGCAAGATAGTAGCTACTTGATTCACATCGGACATCTACCCGCGGCATCTTGTAGATTCAACCCAGGTGTCTAGAGAACTGCCGCAATTACCATCGCCTTGCTGGGTTCAAGAGCACCGTTCTTCAGTATCGAGGCCAAACCGGTCAACGGCGAGAGAGAAACTGGTACAAGGAGAGCTAACGTGGCTTTATTTGGAGGGTTATTGGAGGTCGGTCTTGTGCGTATTTGAGTATTGAGCAGAATGGTATTTGATTTGGCTATTTGTCCCCGCGAACTAGGTAAGCCCTCGGCCTTTTTTTCACTGCATCGGCCATGATCACTGCGGAGCCATGTAAATGGGAGGGGTTCTTTGCAGATCTGCAGGAGGCCATGTGAGAGGAGTACAATATTGAAAATGTTCATCCAGCTTGGTATGATGGCGATTTTAATCCATCTGAAATTTGAGATTGAAAGGCAAAAGGACCTATTTCACTCATTGCGACTGCCGTCTAACCTTTACCCTCTCGTTCTTCTCTTTGGAGATCAAGGGGAGGTCTCCAGTTGGAAAGGGTCCCCAAGAGGTCTATCAAGATGGCAATGCTGTGCAGCTTGTCAACGGGCCAGCCCAACCATCAATCTACCTATCCCAGGCTGCCAAGCCTGAGATACTGTGATACGGCCAGTACATGAGCACCACTGGACCCCTGTTTTCATTAAGCTTGTACCTATCCGATGGCCCCTAGCTACTGATCTGACAAAGCAGATCTGATCAAGGTCCCATGTGCTTAAGAACAAGGCGTTTACTTCTCGGTGGAATAATGAGAAACAGGCAGACAATGCCAATCTCAAAGCCATCATGATGAGAAAGCGGAGGCCTCACTACGTGCGGAGGAGTTTTCAGAAGGGTCAATGGATGAAAATGACAACATACAGGATGTATTGATTGGCCATGTTCAGATCCGTGATCGAGCTGGCTTACAGCGCCACTTACGCAAAGTGAGGCGGCAACACGAAGCTGAGGATTGGTTGGGCAGCAATATTGCCTTCGTGTGCGGGGAGACATTTGCACATCGGCCATCCAGGATCCAATGGCCGATCCAGAAGTACCGCCGGGAGATACATCCTGTCGTCGTAATCTCCCGTGAATGTGATACATCATCTTGACATATCCCGTCGGTGTGGGTTCCAGTGGCTATGTATGCCACAAGGAAATGGCGAAATATTCCTAGCAGCCAGCTGCTATGAGTGCCTTGACTTGGACATGCTTGCGAAGTGGCAGAGACTTGCACTCTCAAAGCTGGCACTGATTATCCTTTTGACCCGAACGATATGCATTAATTAGCACTGGAGAGGGAGAGATTCGCAAGCTATCGAGTTGATGCGCGTGTGTCAAGCCCCAGGGGGGAGCCAAGTAGGGGCAAAGCACCCTGAAACTCTGCTTGCAATTTCGAGAATCAAGGTTTGCAAGGGCATTGAGGGAACAGCAGAAATGCCCGGAGCCGGACAGGAACCTGGCGTGGAGAAGACGACACGAGTGTCTCTTAGGTGCATTCGTTTAGTCGTATCCCTGCGCCGCGTTACACTGGACTGCAACTGATCCGCAATGGTGAGCCGAGCCTCATTGAGGGTGACAGCACGACGTTGGGTCACTTGGCAACCAGTCTTGCACATTTCCCATCCTCAGACTGTGATGGTGTGGCCAGACGGGCATCTAGACCGCAAGGTGTCTGAAATACGCCTTACCACTGCACCGTAATAGGCAGGCCCTCTGCATGCTTCTTCATGCATCACCCGATTGCGAGCGTCTTGTTACGTAGGTGGTGTTCTCGAGGTGCATCTTCAAGTTGGATTGCTGCGACCTGCGCGCATGGCCCCCGGCACAGGCCAATCACGCCCTGGGACGCTATCCGAACCTCCTTGTCTTGTTCTCTCGTTGGTCTCTCTGGCTGTTGTTGTCTCTGTTGTCTCCTTCCTCCCCCGCATGCCGTCTCACTCTCATGGCTGGCTGGCTGGCCGAATGGCCAACGACCTGCATCTCCATGCCTGCTGAGTGGCTTATTGTCGGCCGCCATCAGACAGTTAAATATACAGCATCTCCGCCCCGTTGCTGATAAGTCGTCTCTCTCTTCCACATTCCCATCTCGTCCTGCGCAACCGCCATCATGAACATTATTATTGCGCTTGATAACACCAGGCCTTGGTGTGAGCTGTGCAAGATCCCTTTCAAACCGGGAGAGCCGACTGTCCGTTGTGTGTCTGCCATTCCTTTTCCGTCTTCACCTCCCCTGTTTGTGATGCCCAACCGCTAACCAACAGCCTTAGCGAATCCAGATGGCTCCATGTCTAGCCCGTGGCCGTATAATCCCCGTCGAACGCAGATGGGCCATAGTACTCTTGGCGTCAATATTCAAGACAGACTGCCGTCGCCTAAGGCTGACACCTACCACGTTGAGTGTGGCAGACTGGACATAGAGGCAGAGGTGCTTTGGTCAACTCTGGACAAGATTGACCATCGCTATGTGCCAACCCAGACAACGTCCGAGCGCCGTCTGGATTGGCTGCGCACGAAGATGTCCCGTGACCTGAATCACCGCTTCGAGAAGCTCCCATTGGAGCTGTGCCGTCACGCTGCTGGCTTTTGCCTCCCCGTGCTTGTCTCAGCCTTCTCTATGTTGACAATCCCCTACGAGGATCCTGAGATAACATCCTTTCGAGTTGATCGTGACATCTGGGCTCGCATTGTCAAGTTCGAGGACGGAGCGTACTTCGCATGCCTGATGAACACCCCCCCTCCTCCTCCCGAAGACAAAGCAAGCATGGTTGTTAAGCTGGCGAAGCCGGAGGGATCAGTCAAGGTCCTCTACGTCGCCTTCAATCATTTGGGCATCCAAAGGCTCGTTCTAGGTGTGGATGACGAGCCGCCCAGAATCCCTCCACGGGATGGTGTTTGGTGGGCTACCATGTTGGTTGATGGAGACACCTTTACCTGCCGGAGTGATGTAAGTTTGATGCCTTGCAACCTGAACCACTACTGACAATATCCAGGGCATGAAACTGCGCGAGATGAAGCCGGCTGCGGCGAACGAGTTCTCGTGGGACCAATGCTGGGCTACTCCCCAGCCATACAACAACCTTCCACTCGTGTATTCTCTCACGACGTCGGACGCCTCGACGCTCACCCGCATCAAGGTTGCCGAATGGAATATGCCATCCATAACAGGTTATTCTGTGCGCTGGGATGTGCGACTGTCCTCGATCCATGCCCACGTCAGGGGAGAAGACGATTTTGCCTTCTATGATGAAATGTCGAGGAAGCGTCCAAGGGCCGTCTGGCTTTACATGCCGATGGATGAAGGCGAATTGATCGAGCAGGTCTGGTTGCGATCTGACGAAGGGTCCTTCTTCCCCTCCCCTGCCCTTATTGTGAGTGCCATTTAAAATTGACCCAATGTCTCATACCTTTGCTGATGGTACCTACCTACCTTAGATGAAGACAAATCGGAGTCGCGTATGGGAAGCCGGACCAAGGCCCGAGCCCGCTCAATCCTATACCTGGACTGTTCTTAGCCAATCGACTGAGGCACAGCGCTTCTTCTTCAATCAATCTTACTTCGGTATCTCGAAGCTTGGTTTCCAGCCTTTTCCCCAGCCGGCTTCGGCCATTCCGCCTGTAGTACCTTGCCCTAAATCAACACCCCAGAAACCACTGAGTTCCGAGGATCACTTTTATTCATCTGCGCCTCTGGATGGCGTGGTCTCGATCGACATTTGCCTGAAGAAGAAGGAGAAGAAGGTGAAGAAGAAGGGAGAAAGAAAGAGCACACCGAACATCACCGGCCTGCTCTTCTCTTATCAAGATGGCCGCCAAAGAAGTGTCGGGCATGTCCGCCTTGACTGGCTTCAAGGACCAACCACGATCGGTGTCTCAAAGGGCATTGCATTCATGCTTTCAGAGGACAGGCGGAAGGTTGTCAGCCTAAAAATCGGGAACCATGTAGACGGGGAGGACTGGGAGTTTATCCCTTGGGGGGGAAGGTTGGCTTGGTGGTTTTCTGACTACCGTTGCCAGCTCTTTCATGAGATTGACGATCGCAGCTTGGATACACCAGTGGTGCATCGCCTTGCCAATGAATAAGTATATCGGTTCTTTCCTCTGTCGGATCGCTAAATTGTCACTTCTGTGCAAGATAGTTTCATAGCTTTCAATGATAATGACTCTTCTGTTTCCACTATCTTTCATCACTTTGGTTCTCCATCATCGTGAATGCCGCGACACTCGTCCCTGATATCTCTCCTGTTGTCAATGCTCGACGCTTGAACACACCCAATCATGGTTCGGGAGACTGGCGAATACACGCCACAGCGAGCAGCAGCGCCTACAAGTCATCATAATTGATAGTCTTCATGTCGATTGGTCGGTACCATTCTGATGGCGTAGCCCGGAGGCTTGCGTATTCAACGCTAGCTGAATTGTACTGGTTGGGTATCTGGGTTTGTAGCATCACATTACCCGGAGAACCCACAGCTGAGTAGCGTCGTGGAAGGCCGAACCACCCCCAGCATGAAAAGCCAACCATCTTGAATTATCTGCTGGCATGTGGTTCTGTTCGTTTCGAGGGAGAGCCCAGGGCACTTTGGTATAAAGGTTGCCCGCGTCTCCTGACGCACCCCCAGACCAGAAGCTACTATTGCACCACCTGGAGAGCTTGTTTTGTTGTCTTGAATAAAAGGCTTTGGAAGCCCCTTTAAAAACGCCTTTACCATCTCCCTGAGCCACGATGGAGAAAGGTTTCACTGGGGACGCTACATACCGGAGTTCGGAAACAAAGGGCCATCGCGAATGTGCGTGGTGGTGTTCGCATATACAATCATGTTCGTAGTTCGTGTAGATCTGCCCAGTTCTGTCATCAGAATGCCCGTACAAGAGTGCCCAGGTCCAAGATGTTGATGGTGCTGTTCGGAATGACGCAAAGGTCTTTGTGCGAGGCGGCGAGCGTATCACTTGCAACTCTGTTAGCTCGTTCAAATAGGGGAAAGGTTGATTGAGGCATGAGTCAATACCTCTTCGGCTCGGTGCCGCCAACAAGGGGTGTGGGCAGACCTAACCAGTCCGCTACAGACAACATCGGACACGAATCATTCGCAAGTATACCCCTTGAATCAGACCCACTCCAAAGTGTTTCTCTGTGATCTGAGTCGTCTGCCCTAGCCCATGTTCTGTGCTCTGGGGAGTTGAATTTGAAGCAAGTCGCCATGCCGGAGCGCGCCGCGTTTCTCGCCAGCTTCTGTTAGTCGGAAACTCTGTAAGGTGGATCTAGTTGGGGAAAGAGGGCACCTGAGCCTGGTCGATGCTGGTTCGATGTCACGGACTGTATCACGTCTTCAAGCCGGAATTGAATGTTCTTTGCTGAAGTGGCGGGCTAGAGAGGCAGACTGCCTTGAGGTGGCGATGGGTTGCATTGATATCTAATGATGTCGAATGGGATCGGGGACTAAGAGCACCGTAGCGGAGTGCTGGAGAGTCAAATATGGAAGTGCGAATCTAGGCGGCGAAGCTGGTGGGTTCAAAGGAGTGACGGACTGGAGCCGTGCCATGTCGCTGGCCTCATGCCCACAGGTCTGACCACAAAAGGTTGCACCTCTGCTGGTACTGAGTTTGCCTCGAGTTAGTGATTCAGCCCAAACACGCGGCCCAGCTAAAATCTGCACTCACTTAGTCCCTTTACGCAGAGATGGCGCCAGGAGAGTTTTCGGACGGACGGAGTTGGTCGACGTTCAGCGCCAGACAACCTGGCTGAATTAGCGCCGAAGGCAGAAGAAGATCGAAGCTAAGGGTCCTTTGAACAAAGGAAAAGCAAATTGAGCCCTCAGTGTGCATCAGCCTACCAGGTGTTGATCGCTCTGAGCATCTCTGTGAGGTGGCGTGGCAAGAAAATACGGAGCACAAGTGGTGATGAAGAAGCAATGGAGAGGCCTTGGAATTCTCATGTGTCTGTATGATGCCTTGGAAATGCGGAAGGAGCCCTCCTCAAGCACCCTGTTGGCCCGCGGGCAACTCCCCAAGGGCCGCCTTCTTCCAACGCTCTAATGGATCTATGCAAACTTCGTCCTCTGAGTTTGATATGCCTGCCTTAGCCTCCATGATTGTAGAAGGCTCAAGCACGGGCAGGTGTACATGCACAATGGCCTCCTCGGACTTGCAAGGCGGAGTTTATACCTGGCTTACTCCAGACGGACCTGAACCTTTCCAAAGCCGCACCCTATTTCTCTTTTACATGCTCTCTACACAGCCTGTTGTTTGCATCGCATGAGACCTTGCGTTACGATGGTGATTGTGAGCGTGAGATGCGATCGACAGATGACTTTCCGTCCTCGGAAAAGTCTGGCGCTCTGGAGACGCTACTTGCTGACCTGGGGCCCTGGACAATGGAGACTGGGGAGCCTAAAGTTTGCGTGGAGACGCTACGGGAGTCCTCCCTGGAGATCCCACCCACTTCTCCGTGGAGACGCTGCTCGCCTGAAAGTCAGGTGTTGGTTGCAGGGGCCTAAGTTGGGCGTTGGTTGTTGGTTGCAGGGGCCTTCAACAGCCCGAAGCGAGGGGCTACCCGAATGTGGCAGTGATCTGCACAAAGGCGGGTCCCGACCAGCCAACGAGAACCCACAGCTCCTTGATTCCGCGCAATCACAGCTCTGATCACGGCTGGGATCTTGCAAAGTCCCTGTCAAACAAGGCCAGCAGGGTCTGTTCGCAAGGGAAAACGCCCCGACTTTGCCCAGTGCTTTGCTCGATGGAGGGTAGTGCGGGCGATGATGCCCGGTGCTAAGGGACGGCATGAACCGATCAAGGTGATTGATGTTTGACAGTGTAGTGAGGTGTGCCAAGGGCGACTGCAACAAGGTTTCCATCACGCATCAACCAAAGGCATCAATTCTGGCATCTCAAAGATACAATAGGAAAATCGGTGAATTAATTAGTACGATATCGCATGTCTAACATAGGAAATCATGTGCCGATTGGCATCGCAGACAAGGTGTTCTCTCCCCAATCAACAAGTGCGTAGAGTGACCAGCTGTCCGACCCCAGAATCAAGTTACCGCAACGCTGTCATCAGCGTCGAGCGCCTGTAGAACCTTGTCCATGGATCGCAGAGAGCCATCCCAGCAGCCTTGCACCAGCTCGCCCAAGGGCAAGTGAGCAACCTCGGGGTACCGGCCTTCCGCAAACCGTTGCTCAAAGACGATGGCCCGGTTCTCCAAATCTTTCAGTTCGTGATAAGGGGGAAAGCCTGTGATGATCTCATAAACAGCACAGCCAAATGCGAAGACGTCGCTCTCCTCGTCAATTGTGGTGATCCCCTGGCAACTGTTCCACTTGTAACAGGATGTCGCCTCTCTTCCATCCATCTTGGCACCTTCAAACTCGATAATCTTGACACGGCCTTCAACAAGAATCATATTGTCGCACCCAACGTCAGCATGGATGATTTCCTGCTGATGGACATACTGTAGACCCTCTGCCGCATCCCTGACCCAGCCGAGCCTTGTTGCCAGCGGGATGGAAGTTCGGGTCAATGTGTTGAGAGGCTGTCCTGGTTCGAGAACCAGAGATCTGGGCCCAGAATTAAGGCGTTCAACGATATTAGCGTGAGCTCCGAGCCGATCAAATGCTAGGCGCTCCGTAAGAATGCTCTCGTCTTCATCTTCATCTTCGTAGTACCTCTTGAGCACCCTTGCGTCGTCAATCCCGTAGACAATTGCTGATTTACCAGCGGAAAGAAATTTGAGTGTACTGAAGTCCAATTCCATAGTATTGGGCACCAAAAAAAATGCAGCAGATGAAAACTTGTAGTTGATGGCGGTGCCAATGAATTTGGGGCAGGATACAGGCAAAACGTGGAGGGGAGACGGTTGGCCAGTAGGTATGTTAAAAACATGTCGATGGCTCCCACAGATCAAACTACGGGAGGGTTAGCAGCAAGGTCTCACAGGGTTTGATAATAAGGGCTACACACATCTTCCACCTCATCCTCGATGGATATTCCCGAGTCTCGGCACCTCTGGCAGCGGCCCCTGTTCTCGATAGGTAGATGAACTCCGAGCGTGAGGTCTAACACGGCATTGTCACAGCGAGGGCCAGGAGCAGGGCGTTTGTGACACCGCTTGAAAAGGCGGTTGATTTTCTTGTGCCTGAAAAGGCCCACCTTCCTGCAATCAACATAGTGAATTTCGGCAACCGTGAATCTGCACATGGTCAAGACGGTGGATCGGCCAACAAGCTGGGTTTTGCTCTTGAAGCCTGGCCTGACTTGGGTCTCGCGGCGTCTTTGTCTTCAGGGGATTTTTGGTCTGGGATTTGAGCCACACGGGGCCGACTAGTCTGTTTGGTGAATTGAAGTTGGACAGGGAAGATGGAAAACAGGTGGTTTTTGGTCTGGCCGTGAAGTTGAGATTCCCAAGATTGAGGACGAGGGTGGAGGGGATGTGTACAACAGAGGCATTACATATACCCTCGCGCCGTAAAGTTAGTACAGGCAGGTGTACCTTAGTAAGTAAGGTAGGTACGTAAGGTGGTAGCCAAACTGGTCTAGGTCTCTTGCTGTTTAGTGCTGGGGGAGGGGGTGGGATGTTGGTTCGGTCCAGCGATCGGTCTTGCCTTGCACTCTTCCCAACCTAGAGCGGGTAGGTGCAGTCGAGCCCTTTTCACGCAAGGTAGGGACCTCATTTTCAGTAACATTGAAATCATTCTACGATCTTTTAGCTTGACATTGTGTTTATTACTACCTTAGGTACCTAGGTTGATCGTTTTGATACCGTGCCAAGGTCAATGCTGGGGGTTCTGGATATGCCATATTTCATGTCAGTTGCTTGCCTGCTTACGTATTGATGCAAGGGAGTCGGGCTGATTTCCAACCGAACCAACAGAGAAGCGTGGTTAGAGTTGTTTGATCCCTACCTATCTTACCTTAACTGCCTTAGGAGGTAGGTAGTAATCGAGAGTTCGACCACCGTACGCCCCCGACCGCCACAAGCGAGAGCTAGATTTCAAGAGTCGCCCGATCCCTCGCGAACTCACGAGCTCCAACACCGTGTGATCATCTCGATGTATACTTCTATAATAATGTTTTCTAATTCGTGAGATGTGAGGTTTGTGGGATTTACGGAGGGGAGATAGAAGCCGTTTGACCGTTAGCTGGAAGAGTTGGGGAGCAAGGCGAGTATATTCGTAGATTCAACGATATACGTATGACAGCAGAAGGACAAGGGGACGGGCCTCATCACCTAAGGAGGTGGAGGGGGTCTATCCATCATCCAATATCCCACCTGCGCAATACCAGCTGGATGACAGTCACGTAGGGACAAAAGGTTGAGCGTGTCAAGGTAGATGAGTATGATATGTCCAAGACGTCCGAAATTATCCCTGCGACATCTATGGTATTCCCCGTCCCACGCTTCTGTATTGTCACTCTTCTATTGCCTGCAATATGTGTGGTTTAGGAAGTTGCTTTACCTGGTAGCCGCAGCATCGCTCATTGAAGCCCAGCTCGGCAGAGGTAGGATTCTGGAAGACATGGCCCAAAGTGATTGTAGTTCACGTCCACAGAAGTTATACCCCGTCTATGCCGTGACTCTCGGCTGGTCGAACCACCCATCTTCTTGAAACGGCCGCATCCTTATATATTCTCACTGACGACTCTTCTAGGCCCCTTTGCCAGGGCCGGCATTCCTCCGATTTGCTCGTTTCTGGTGCTCGGCATCTGCTTCTACAAGCCTCCAGCCTTACCGGATAACCTGTTTCTGATATCACGGTACCAGAAACGTCCCCGCAGCTTTGAGAATATCATGTAATTCTCCTTCGCCAGCACCATATCGTATATATACTGTTGATAATTAACCGTGGTGATAGCGATAGCGAGGCATTGAACAAGACCGAAGGGTAGATTGTCGCAATCGAGGACGTGGTTTCGGCTGTTGTGCTGGGATGGATGTACTGCAACCCCGCTGGGCCTTTCGGCGAGGAACAAAACGGCATACCGAACGTGAAAGATAGAACACCTGTCACAGAGGGTAGATCGGCGGGCTTCGGAGGGGTCGCAGCTGTAATGACAAGGCCGAATATATGCCATTGGAAAGCTGGAGTGCGGCCTAGAGGGGAGAAGTGACTATAAAATAAAATCGCCTTGATTAATTCAAGAATCGCTATTATCCTACACGGCTTGGAACATGAGACAGCCTGTGCAAGGCCAATCAGAAGATCAATGCAGTTGCCCCTCTTCCTGTGTGTGTACAGATAAATTCTGCCTGACGTAACACCAGCCAAATGTGCAATCTTGCATCAAACATCCCCTCTTTCACTTACCGTCCTCCCCATCCTGAACTGGTGGCATCGTGTGTCTCTTTCGCGCACTATCACTCGCATTCAGACCTTGTGTTAGCATCCGTGTGCAGCGAACACCAGAATCAAAATGGACGCACCGGTCTCAGAATCAATCCGGTATTCTGAATTTCTGAGACTGACGCGCCCCAATGACGAGGCTGATAGGGAGGCAATACACACCCGCTCACGCAGGCATGAACATGTTCGGTCCACGCTCTTCAGAGCCCTCGGTGAGCCGAAGGCAGATCTTGGCATACTCCAGAGAATGCCTAATGAGATTCTTTGCAACATTGCCCGGGAGTTGCCCGTCAAGACTGCATTCAATTTCAGTCACGCCAATCGAGCTGCGCGAAGCCTACTCAACAGCTGCGTCGACTATCGTCTAGTTGGTGAACACGGCGTGGAATGCGTGTGGGCGTTGATGAGGACCAAGCTGGCTGACAGCACCTGGGTCACTGGGATTCATTCCGCGCTGATTAACGAAGAATGCATATCCTGCGGTCGATTCGGAGCACTCATCTTTCTTCCTGGCACAGAAAGAGTTTGTCTCTCTTGTGTGGAAACAAAAAAGGAATTCCATGTTCATTTTCTCAAGACGGTCCATGATTGGTTCTCTGCCCTTGGAAAGGAACTTCCAGTGCAAGACCCCTTTGGCACCTTCGAGTGCCCCCCAGGATTCGAAGAATTCGAAGAATCTGATGAATCCGATGAATCCGATGACGGACTCGACGACGGACTCGACAAGCCAAAGAAAGACAAGGGCCCGACAAAGTTCATATCCGGCTTTCATGCAATTAGATTTGCCAGGGCCCACGGGATCAGGGTAGGTGGTTCAGACGGCGTAAGCTCCGAGGGGTACTTCGAGCCTAACGACCTCGAGCCCCTCGATGGAGCTGGAGACCCGGCCTTGCAAGTCCCGGCAGTAGATATCGAGTTCTTGGAATCAGGTCAAATCCCACCACCACCACCACCACCACCCCCACCCCCACCTCCAGTTCAAGTTGCAGAAGATGAGCAAGTCCAAGCAGCCGAGGTTGAGTTGGCGCCAACTCCACTCGTAGCGTCGTGCATGCTCCCGCACTTCAACCGCACTTTGAACCTGGCACTACGCGGCCGCTCGTGTCGAGGTTGCAGGAGAGTCTCGGAGGATCTCGGCACGGATGAGAGCTTCGCTGCTCGAGATCGAGTCTACTCGGTGAATAAATTCTGGAAGCATTTCAAAACGTGCGAGGAGGCGATGAGACTGATGGCTAGCGACGAGGAGCTGTCAGAAGAAGAGGACCTCAGCAGTGACGAAACAGCAGACGAGCTGGAAACCCTCAGAGAAGAAACCGACGAGGAGCTGGAAATCTCTGAAGAAGAAACAGAAGAAATGCAGGAAACCTACAGAGAAGAGACTGATGAAGAGCGCGTTTCGGACTCTGAGTACGTGACCGCTGATGAGTGGTGAAGTCTTCCAAGCTTGGAAGCAATACTTGTCATGCTTGCAGAAGGGAACCCTGATTTGACGTCACTTCAATGTCAAATCCACCGGTCATCCGCGAGAGAGAGGGTGATTGATTGATTCACGAGATGAAGGTGAAAAAAAAACTTGAAAAGAAAAAGGAACAAAAAAACAGAGAAAATAAAAAACACTTAAAAAGGAGGGGGATGGGGGAGACGAAGACAACAGAAGCCGGACGAAGAAAAACGGCAAAGAAGAAGAGAGACAAGGCAAAGAGAACACGTCTGCGCTGGTACGATTCATGGCGAGTCGCGAATCTGGCGATAGCAACCCCAGGATATTGGCCTGGCGCCCTTCTTTTGATGAAGACTGCATGATCAACGACTGGCTAGCGAATTGCTAAAGAGATATTGGAGGAACATGCTGATTTAATCAATGATCAATGTTTGTGAGAGTAGCCGAGCCCGGTTTATTATTCTGGAATACTCCATGGAGAACAAATCGCCATAGATACGTCACCAATGATGACGGTAGCCAGAGATTCATTGGGTAAAAGGGAATAGGCTCGAGGAAACCGAGTATTTGGAGCTGGAGATGGAACAACCTGGTTGGTCTGCAGGAGAAAGAGGCCATGGTGCGGGCTTCCTTTCGGGGGACGAGGATGATGATTAACGGCTCTGTTTGAGGATATCTTAGTTATGACTTAATGATTGACCTGTGGGAGAATGATACTTTCAGTTTTGATATTGCGATGATTGAAGGCAAGTGCATGATAGTCGGCCATCCTGTCGTTTGGTAAGTGGTGACTTGGTGCAATATTCGGGCTTGAGTTATACGGCTCGGCCACACCAGGGGCGGCTTTTGATCGAAAGAAAGAGAGGCGTTGCAATCCATCATGGAGCCACACGGGTGATACATTGATGATTCCAAACACAGGATTGCCTCTCGTCGGGGTTTCGCCTGGGGCCCTTGGGCCAGACACAACAGCCTGCCTACGTTGTATCATATCGGGGAGGTGTGTTGGTGTAGGTCATTTGGAAGTCAGGAAGGAGTCGCCGTTCCTACCTCAACTGCCCTCCTCGCTAATTCTCTACGAGCCTGGGGAAGGACCAGGACGTGCGATACCAGCGCCAAGACCTCCAACCGAGACTTGAGATCGGCCACCAAGGATTATACTATCTATTCTAGGGGAATCATTCACGCGGAAGATCACATCGGAGCACTTGTTCACCGCTGGTATGTTTCTCGGCACCAGTAAGGCGTAACGCTTGGGCGTCGTTGGCTGATTGCTTGTCTTGATCGCCGGCTGGCTATTCTTCAACGCGTCCCGTACCTGCACGCTCCCAAGAAAGTGGGTGATAGGAGAAACTGGACATCCAATGGAAGAGTGGCTATAAACAGACTACTTTCTACGATGAAGAGAGACATTTAGTAGTATAAAATGAAAAAAGAAAAGGTCACAATATATGCTGTATTCTCTCTAAAACATGTGTATCATTAGTACTTGGCCATCTGATAATACCGGTCATAGACTAGAAAATAAGCAGCTTAAAGTCTGATTATATCGATTACAATGCCACCCACTTGCCAAGCTCAAGAGAGCACTTCCAGATCGCGGACCTGGATTTTGGACCAACTGGTAATGAGGCCTCACGCCTCTCTGTCCAGTGGCGAACAGTAAAACTGCCCAATGCAGCTTTTTAAAGTCTACTTCTCTCCCACATTTCCCGCTGTACACTTTTAAAAGTATATAGGTAAACTTACAGTTAAAATCATCTCGGCGCCTGGAAATCATGTAAGGCTCAGATCCTTGGAAGTTGAGTACGTCCTTCGACAGAGAGCCTCGTACCCCTGTCAGGCGCCGGGTATCATGTCTCGCTTGAGTTTGGGTTATATTCATTTTGTCCCCTTCCCGCCTCTTGTTTCTTTTTATTGCTCGTACATGAGTATCTCTTCCTTTGCTTTTTCCTTGTGTGTGCTACGTTCGGGTATGTCCTTAATTTGCGTTGAAACTACGTGTAACACAAGTCAGGTGTAGTCTGATCTTGGGCCCTTGCTTCCGGCAAGGGCAAAACAAAACACAGATTTGTTCTCTTTCTTCTGTCAAGAAAGCTGTAACTAAAGAAGTCAATTGTGAGGTGGGAGCTTTGCTATATGGAAGGCCCTCTCATGTTCGCCCATCTACCTGTCTGGTCGCCGCCTGGGCAGGTAGCCGCCAAGGTGGCAGATGCCCATACGCTTGTGGCTGACAAGTTCAAACGCCGCACGTATCATTCAGGTCCAGCACTGCTCTCTTCAAGGATGTCAAATCTAAGCTAACAAGGGGTGTCTAGTCGCGGTACTAAGGAACCATCTCTACATCGAGGGTGGCAAGATCTCCACGTATCTTAACGGAGAAGCCACATCAAATAGGGAATATGATCCTGGTGGGTGGCCCGAGGAAAAAGCCATTATGCCTCGTTCCAGGTTCTAATCGTCACTGAATAGTAAACACCACTCTCTACATCCCGCTGGATGTCGATTGGACGAACAGAACGTTGGAATTGAAAGAGATACAACATGCAATCGGAATGCCAACAGTCGACCATCTTGGCCTTTGGGCTGACGAACGGGAGGGCGGCGCCATCTATCGCTGGGCTGGGAGGCTCCAACTCGGCCAACTCATGGGGAAAGACGACCCAACAACACTCTGGAAACTGGAAACAGGTAGTAATGGGAATGGAGGCTGGACTGCGACTACACCTGGGAATCCGGAAGGTTTTAGCAGCATCATCCGGACACGAGACGCCGCTTCGGTATCGTGCGACGGGCTCGGTCTCTACATCGGAGGCATCACTGACACGTCAACGGAATACAATATGAAGACGCGGGCAGTCCCCGGTACGCTGATATACAACATGGACTCTCGAGAGTGGACAAACTCTTCGAGCCATGAGGCTTTTCAACCAGAGGGACTGCACAAGGCAGGGACGCCCCCGGTATGCACGACGAGATTTGGAGGAAATCCTTTAGTTTTCCTCCTCGGGGGAGAGGCAGTGACAAGCAACAATCGAATTTCCAACCTAAGGAGCTTCCAACATGTCACAATTCTCGACCCAGTCAAGAGGCAATGGTATGAACAGAGAACGACGGGTGGCCCACCGCTACCAAGAATGTTTTCTTGTGCCGTAGGTGCTCATGGGAAGAACGGCACATATGAGATGTAAGTGCGAACATGAGCGGCATCACTTTCCCGGGCTAATGATGAGCAAGCTTCATGTACGGAGGGGTCATTGGAGACGACGCCCAGAATGATATTTGGGTTCTCACTATTCCGGGCTTCCACTGGGTAAAAACTCAGAGGACCGGGCCTCGGCGCTATGGATATGGATGTGCTCTAGCTGGGAAGAGGCAAATGATATCGGTAGGCGGCCTAGGACCGAAGGGAGGTTTTAAATCGGTTGATGAGTGGTACGCAGGTATTGGGGTTTTCGACCTGTCCACCTTGGAATGGAAGGATCGTTACGAGGCGAATGCCGAGGATTACGATTCACCGAGTCTTGTAAAGTCCTTTTACACTAGCGGGTATGTATGTCCTATGCTGCTGATTCTTGGAAAGATCTAACTCGGAATCAGAGGAATGGACGGTGTCGGGTGGTTCAACGATACGGTCAAAAATATGTTTCTCAGAGGCATGTGGATCTTCGCAACACACGAAACAAACTGCTAATTTTGTCACAGCTGATGGGAGCTTCATGTCCTGCAACTCGACGCCTTTGGCAGACACAGGCAGCTCTCGCAGCCCACCAGTTGCGACAATTGCGGGCGGAGTGGTCGGGGGGGTTGCAGCCATGGTGTTAGTCCTCGCAGGGCTCTGGTTCTGGCACCGCCATTGGCGACCATCAGATGTTGAGAAGGTGGGCACGGAGATTGGGGTACATGGGACTTCTTCTGATCAGTTAGATGATAATGGCACTCCCAAGGCAGAGTTGGCCACCAGGGAAACCCACACTTTAGTTACCGGGCGGGGAGCTGAGGTCGACGGCATTCCAATGTCAGAAATGGCGACCAGAGAAGCACACGATTTTGGTTCCCTGGGTGGAGCCGAGGTTGGCAGCTTTGCGAAGGCTGCGGGCTTGTTGCCTCACTCTTCCGCGGAGTGTCTAGTTGAGTTAGAAGCGCCTCTACAGCTTCAGGAAATGAATTCATAGAATAGAATCGGCAATATGCGTGTTCCGCGTTGGAATCGGCCTTTTGTATAATTATTTATCCAAACTCCTGAATAAAGTGCACGGTACGATGGGTACAGATACCTGTGCTGGTTAGTTAGTTTACCGGTCAGCGAGAGGACGGAACTCGCGGGAGCAGTCTACCTACCTACATCAGAGGCATCCATGATGGATGGGTGGTTGGCACCCAACGGCAGCAGCTAATTAATGGATGGTTGCACACCGACCACATCAAACAGGCATCCACCTTGGCGCGGCAGTTGGCCGAAATTACCAAGGCAGTGTCAAGGATCCCCTCAGCGGAGAGTTTTGACGATCGCGGGAGCTACCGATCGAGCTATCGCGAGCTGGGATTTTAAGCTTAGAAGTCCGAGCCCTCAAGACAAGCTAGCCAGCTGGCGAAGCAACATTTCCGCAGTTTTTTCCCTGTCTCAGGCCCCAAGGCTCCAGGGCGGACGTCGTGGGCGAACCATCAAATGGGCGAACCATGGGCGAACCATGGGCGAACCAGGCCAGCCCAGCCGTCCGTCGCACAGGTCCAGCGCCCGCTATCAAGCCTCCAGGCAGGCGATCGTGTGATCCAGTGCAGAAGACTCCACAGCACTCACCCTACCCTCCCTCAGCCTTACGTAGCACAGACCCTCTGGAGTGCCAGCACGCTCACTAGCGCTAGGTCGTGTTACCAGGCACCTGGTTCGTACAGTGCACCCAAGACATCAACAGTCTCAATGGCCCGGCAGCCATCTATCGGTGCTGCAACGGCTCTGGTACTCACCTCCATCAGTGATGTGCCTGGAGGACACCTTGTGATCTCTCTCGCTTGGTGGTTGTACCAAAGACGTTCGGCCGGTCGATCAAATCAAATCCCGTCTCGTATTGTAGTCCATAATTGAACACAATGCACAGTTCCATACATGGTTATTTTGGCCTTTCCTGCCCGCCATCTCACCATGGAAACGGCTACAGAAGGCTGCCACTGGAATGCTTGTTTCTGCCTCTCCTGCGAGGTATCTGGCTGGAGAAAACAACTGAGACAGACGCCCCCTCCCCCTTCGGATCCCTGCAGGCGAAGAGAGGACCATTGGGTGCACATCCAAGCCACGGCGCGGGACTCTGCAGCGCGGACGGGTAATATTGCAGCTGGCTACGATTTGGTTGGCCTGCGGTCCAGCCTGCGGTCCAAAGTCCTGCCGGCCATCTTCTTGCACGTAAATCTTCGGCTGGTGAATTGTATTCATGCTACTGAGAGCTCCACTGGGACCCATGCTTCGGAGAGATATCTATGCATGTGGCCGAGAGCCGGCACGCCTATCGTCACAGTTCCAGCGGGATCGATGCTGCTAAGACAGTGCCGATAACTGCCCAGTACGTAACTGAAATCTCCCGAGCCTTGTACCAAAGACAGTTTAGAGCCGGCGAGAACGAAACGGGGGCTATGTCGAAGCGCAGATGCAAGAAGGATGATCGACAAGGGCGAGAGGAGGGTGTCTGCATCCATCCCCGGTTGCATCCAGTCAAAGAGCTCTATCTTGCGGGATCGATGTTCACTACCCGTCGTGAACGTACAGACGGCCGGTAGGTGATTTGACAATATTCACCAGCGGTGCGTTGAATGAAACACGACACATTTGTCTGGCAGCCGACCTGGTAGCTGCCACACTTGGCCTGCACGGCGTGCCTCTATATCTTTTGCACATTCCCCTCTTCGTGCGTTTCTCTCCCCTCACTTCTTACATCTTCCATCTTCATCCAAAGTGTCCTCAGCATTGCAGTACATCTCTTCGCTGCCCAAGGCAGCTTCTTTCACCAACTGAAGAATGTTGAGTATGAACGGACGACCATGGTGTGCAATCTGTCGAGTCGACTTCAAGATTGGACAGAAGGTGGCAATTCGTTCGTTCGACAACTTCCCTATCCATTGACCTTCACTAATTCATGGTAGCATGGTTGGGCCCCAACAATCTGGGCCTCTTCACATTCGTATACCCTGGCCCCAAGCTGGAACATCCCAAGCCTCAAAATGAGGACGACAACGCTCCGGCTCCGGCCCCGGCTCCGGCTGAGGAGGCGCTTCAATATTCCGCTTCGCGCTGGGACGACATTCCCATCGACGAATCCTTTCATGAGGAGTGTTTGAGAGGGATTGGCGCCAACACTCTCCGCAACCTCCTTTATCAGACAGCTTACAGTTACGTTCCCTTGCCAGAGGAGTTTGAACGTCGGCTTGATTGGTTGAAGACCGAGTTTTCCGAACAGTCAGCCGCTTTGTACCCTCTGCCAGCTGAGATGAGACGGGAGGTCGTGACCTATAGCCTGCCCAGTCTCACTACAGTATACATCCGGTCGACTGGCGGTGGTCCTCATGGTCGGACGCAACTTTCCCTCACAAGGCCCATCTGGGCACAGCGCATCGCATTCGAGGGCCGCTTGTACATCTCAGCTCTGACAAACGAGCCTCCTGTCACTGAGAATACCGGAGCCAGACCCAATGATATGGTAAAGATCGAGAACCCAGAAGGACCTCTAGCCGCCATCCACATTGCCATGGACCATCTGGGAATTCGAAGAGTCGTTCTTACTAATAACGGCGAAGTCGATCCTGCAGACTATCCTGTAGACACAAGCATTGGCGGCTGGGTGAGCCTTCCGTTCAGTGGACAGACTCGCATCCAATGCGAGGGAGATGTAGGCCGATACCGACGAATGCTACACCTCACAAGGCACAGTACCATGCTAACTGATAAGCAGGGCCTCAAACTCCGCCGCTTACTCTATAACGGAATCGACGAGACTCTGTGGAGTACTCTTTGGCCAGTGCCCCAGTCGCAGCCCAGCAATCTGAGGCTCTGGTCGATGGACGAGCGCGCATTCCAGGTGCCAATGAAGTATCTACACCTCAACAAGCCGAACCTCCGCGGATATAGCATATGCTGGTTTTATGAGCTGATGACCATTTGCCCCCACTACTTTGGTGGCGACAAGCCCAATTATGAAGCCTGGGATATTGACCGCCCCAAGTGCATCTGGGCTTTTCTGCCTATCGACCCGGGCGAAACGATTGTTGAACTCTGGACAGCAGAGATAAATGACACTACGGTGTTGGTTGTAAGAAACCCTAGGGCATCGCAGAGATCTACCGCTAACGAAGCGCAGTTGACGACAAGCCACGGCCGGATTTTGACACTGGGAGTCCGACCAAGAACGGGTAACGGCAAGGAATGGGTGCTTCAAGATCGATTCGAAGGAGAGCGCACTCTCCTGGCCGAGGAATCATGGTCCGGCCTTGCGAGGATCGCGTTCCCGACCGCTCAACCAACGCAGCAACAGACCCATCCGAACATCCTCCCTCCCGTCGAATACCCCGACTGCAAGAGGGACCTCTGGTATTCATCGACCAAGCTGGCTGGGGTAGTGTCCATGAGGATCTGCCAAAAGGGCGGCGCCGTCATCGGTCTGCTGCTCTCGTATGAGGACGGCCGCGAGCGAGCGCTTGGTGAAGTCCGCTTTGATTCAAGCTATCTCGGGCCAGAGATTGAGACTAAAGGAACGCGAGGGGTTGTGTATCAGCTCTCGAAAAAGAAAAAGAAAGGTAAAGGGAAAGAGAAAGAGATTGCAGTTGAGCTCCACAAAGAGACTGTGGTTGAGCTACACACTTCGGATCGGGAGGAGACTGAGTTCAGTCTGGAGAGCGAAGAGACGAGACGCTACTTTGTCCCGTGGCGCGGAACTTGGCACTGGTGGTTCTCGTACGAAGAGTGCAGGCTCTTCCACGAGGACGAGCACGATGTGTCAATTGTTGAGGACATGTAGGAGATAAAAAAAAAGAGATAGCAATCCCAAATTGACAAGTCATTTTCTTTGAAAAGGATTACATGACGCCTCGGAGGTTTCTTGTAATAAATAAATGTGAAACATGCGGCTGGGTTGCTCGAGGTAGACGAGATCATGAGCCGAATGCGATGGTGGCATTCAATTAGGAGATCTCTGGGGCAGGAGCGACGAGATCGCGCTAAGGGCTTCCCGGCAGGTGCCTACCGCCCACATCCCACAGGGCTCGGATCACTATCGACAGGGCAGGCGTCCACCGGCGGTTGCCCTGTTAGGCCATCTCTCTAACCTCCACACAATGCTAGCCAAGAACGACCGCTTTCCTGCTATTGATTGGGACCAAGTCGATAAACTGAAATTAGAAGTGTAGCCGACAGCTACGAACTGTACCTAGGTAGGTAGCTACCATTGCACTAAGTAATTCAGGACGCACGTTGGGGATAAGCATGTAATACCTCCACTGCCTTGCTGCTCTGCGCAACACCCAGCTCGGTTGGTGCTTACCGAACCTCCCAATGCTTTGTGCCTGTAGCCGCGGCGCATGCTCATCATCTCTGGTTACTTCATGTTGTCTCGCCGTCTCAGACGCCTCCCTCCTCCAGTCTCCAATTGGAACAGCAGTACAACCAGGTGTTCAATGAATTGGCAATTACCTTGGTGTGGGAACCCTTCACACTCCAGCCTACGAGCATACCACGGCCCGTTCTGCACCATCACACACGAGCACCAAGCCAGCTTCGTCAACCGCACCAATTCGAGTCGCCAGGCTCTCCGTCGAGATGCCTTGTGGTGATGCACGGGGTGCTGCCAGAGGTTTGCACCACGTATTTATCATTGCACAGTCACGGTTGATCTACTAGAGGCTAACATCTTGGGCGTGCGCAGGGCGGGCACAGCGACACCTCTTTCTATGAGTACACGACAACGGTCGCAGTCGACTCCGAACCTACACATGCCTCGACACCCCGAGTGTTCATACCCCTGAATCGTGTTGGTCGACGGAGAAACATCTTCAATATAATTCAAAAGCACACCAGCGACAGATTATCAGCTAGATTGCAGATACGTCTAAGCGGTGGTGAGGACTCGAATACTCTCGGAGAGACCTGCCAACGCCGCGCGCAAGAGGAAGGCTCTGCATACGATAACGGGCGCCCCTTTCCGCAAGGACATCTACCTAGTTATCACCGCTTGTTCAGTGCGCACGAACGAACCTCGGTCGATGTTATACAGTTCCACCCGACATGGCCACGAGCGTACCAACCGCACCAGTTTGGCTCTGGGCTAGACCACAGACTTGAGTCTCTGCGGGAAAGGCCTTCACGCAACAGCCACCGTAGGGTTACGAATCTCGACCGAACCCATCGCCATTTTTTTTTAACGCGCAACAATGGCTTCATGTTGATTGAATTAGATCTACGCTTCAGCCTTCCAGTTCAGAAGCGACTTTTGGGCAGCATTTATTTTAGCTTCTATACACATGTCGGGTTTCTTTCTAGGATCTTGGTCAAGAGAAGACGGATTGAAAGTCTGCACTCCACGGCTCAAACTTAGAGATGGTTCAAAGAACTGTCGGCTTCGAGGCTAGAATTGTTCGAGAACTCCTGTTGTCCTTTTGACCTCTGACCCAGGTGCCAACAATAGCACCATGGATAACGGGCCTCATGCCCGTAGCCCCATAGAGGCGAGTTGTTAGGTGCAATCGCCATGGTCTCCCACACTCCTCGTGAGCTACAGGCTACGGCGCTCCATCACTTAGTTCTACATCTTACGCCCCATATGGTTTTCTTACGTCCCAATGTAGCCCTGCCATCCACAAAAGACCAGGCGAAGCCAGTCGTCGCTCACCAAAGACTACGATAATCTCACAAGATGACAACCCCTGTGTCATCCTAGCGCTCTAGGGACAAGCAGTTGCTCGCAAAGTGAGAGTGACCGCGTGCTTCTTCTGCCAAGAACCCTGGATCCCTCCAGGAGCAACCTCCTAGGAACGACGAGGAAGCGGCAAACACACACGTGCAACACTCCGGCACAATCGAGGTTGTAGCAGTTACGCGAAAAGAATGATACAGCATAACACGGACTTTTGCAAAGGGGCGAGCTAAACAACAAGAGCGGGTTAAGCCACCGCATCTGTCAAATATGAGACATGCCATGTGGGAACTAAAAGGAGCAGCAAGACTCTCCTCCTCTCTTTTGCTCCTTCTCGCCCGTCTCGCGAGTGTATGTGACGCACGATGGTCGGTGGGGGCTGCTCACTTGGCTCAATCAAGGCACGGGAGAGGCGTTTAAAGAAATGGCTGCATGCGCCAACTCTCGGGATGCCACGTTATTGTCACGGGGACCTTGGTTCGACTCAAAATGTCGCCGATGGCACCCAAACCGACATTGGGCAATTAAACGCTGCAGGTACGACGAAAGGATTCCACGCCGCAGGCAGAGAAGGGAGGAGCAGCATTCCAGAGTCGATGAGGCGCATCTCCCCCATCCATCCCATAGCCACAATAGGCATGAGGTTACCATAAGCAGACTCTAAATGCAGCCACCTCGTGTCAAGGAAAGTGGGGGGCGATGCCTTCCTGCTGACATGGGGGAGGCAGACTGCGATAGTGCACCGTACGCTGGAGGCGTATCCGGACAAATATATATTGTTTCCAGCACAGATTGAGGCAAGATCTCCTAGGGGCCCCCGTCAAGACTTGGGCCATCGCGGTAGTTCAGGAAACAGTCTTGCAGGAGGGGGAAGAACTTCAGTCTCGACTGCAGCCAACAGCATAAGGCATTACAAAGTACTTTCGGAATGTGGGCCAACCATACATAGGACCGGGGGACCGTCGATGCCAACTGCGCCACCCAATCAAGTATGCCAAATTCTAGAGTATACTGGCGCAAACAAACAAACCCGGGCGGTGCTAAAGAAAGAATTAGGGCTGAGGATAAAGTGTGGACCGGTACGCGGTAGCTTATGTTTGATATGAGCGCAGGGGGGAGGGACTTTGTGATCACCTGCCGTGAGATCCAAAATGCTTCGGACCAGGCTCGGGGCCGTGTCGACTGAAACGACGGCGCCAACCCGAGAAACCGGTATGATAAGGCGGATGCTATTTTTGAGACATTCAAACATCTCTATGCGTGACTGCGGCGCTCGGGAGGCAGCCAGTAGCATCGAGCCTGGCACCAACCCATGAAGCATCAGCAAGCAAGGGAAGTGAAACTGGACGACGGCATCAATGTGGTGGCAGCATCAGATCCACGATGGACCTCGAGCTATATAATGAGGCAGTTTCCCTGCGTCGAAGAAAGAATTCGAAGCATCCAACCCAAAAACAACACAAAAAACAATATCAGAGCCGGTCTCTTTTCGATTCTTCTTCACCCCTTTTTTCCAAGCCACTTTACAATTGCCGGTCAATTTTTCAAATCTTTCTTTCTTCTTCATAATTCTTCTTTTTCAAAACCCATTCTTTCATATTTTTATTAAATCCGCAAAAATGGTTGCCATCAAGAACATCTCCATCACCTCCGCCCTCCTCCTCAGCGTTGCTGACCAGGCCCTCGCCGCCCCTGTTGGCGGGTCAGCCTCCCTGGAGACCCGAGCCCCTAAGGGCCGCTTCAATGCCGCCGTCAGACTGGCAAACACTGCCATCCAGGCAGGAGGACAAGTTGGTGCTGCGGCAGCAGGCCGTCCCCGAGACCTTGAGGATGTCGAGGAGAGGGATATTGAGGAGCGAGCCCCCAAGGGCCGTTTCAATGCTGCTGTCAGACTAGCAAACACTGCCATCCAAGCAGGTGGACAAGTCGGTGCTGCAGCAGCAGGCCGCCCCAGAGACCTTGGGGACGTTGAAGAGCGAGATATCGAGGAGCGAGCCCCCAAGGGCCGCTTCAACGCTGCTGTCAGACTAGCAAACACTGCCATCCAGGCAGGTGGACAAGTCGGCGCTGCTGCTGCAGGCCGTCCTCGTAGCCTCGAGCAGCGTAGCCCCAAGGGCCGATTCAATGCCGCTGTCAGACTAGCAAACACTGCCATCCAGGCAGGTGGACAAGTCGGTGCTGCTGCTGCAGGCCGCCCCCGTAGCCTCGAACAGCGTAGCCCTAGAGGCCGCCTCGCCGCCGCTGTCAAGCTCGGGAACTCTGCTATCCAGGCTGGAGGAAGCGTTGGCGCTGCCTATGCCGGTCGCCCCCGTGACCTTGAGGATGATGACCTCGTCACTCGGGAGTGGGATGACATCGAGGAGCGTGATATCGAGGAGCGGGCCCCCAAAGGCCGCCTGAATGCCGCTGTTAAGCTCGGAAACACTGCCATTCAGGCAGGAGGACAAGTTGGCGCCGCTTATGCCGGTCGCCCCCGCAGCCTCGAGCAGCGCAGCCCCAGGGGCCGCCTGGCCGCCGCCGTCAAGCTCGGAAACTCCGCCATCCAGGCCGGAGGAAGCGTAGGCGCCGCCTATGCTGGCCGACCTCGCTCCCTGGAGGCCCGAGCCCCCAAGGGCCGCTTCAACGCCGCCGTCAGGCTGGCGAATACTGCCATCCAGGCAGGAGGACAGGTCGGTGCTGCTGCTGCAGGCCGTCCCCGCGATGTCGAGGACGAGGATCTTGTTGCCCGTGATCTGGAGGACGAGCTCGACGAGCGTGACATTGACGAGCACGAGATTGACGAGCGTGACCTCCTCGAGTACATCTACGCTCGCTACCTCGAAGATGCCGAGGACGTCGAGGCATAGAGCGTCCAGGCCTGTGCGAAGGTGCAGCCGGCCCCAGGAACCTTGTCCAATACCCTGTAATACTGGTCTTTGGCGAGGCCGATGACCCGCCTCCTTTTTGTTTCGACTGTAGACTATTAACTATTCCGGGCTGGGCACACTTAGAGGCAATACATGTATATTAATATGGGAATCGGTTCAAGTAGAAATAAAGATTTACTGGCTTGAAAATTCATCTAGAAAACGAGAGTGTTCTTTTCCAACAGCCCCTGAGTGACTGCATATTCACTCAAGAGTTATTACATCATACTATACTTGGTCGCCAGCCGCATTGTTGCCGGGCATGGGCACACGTGCAAGGCGACGAGAGGGATCTCCAACCCGGGCGGTGTGCCATGTCTTGGGAACATTTGCACCGGTCACTTTAGGGGAGACAATCAAGCTTGGGGATAAATCATACTAAATTTTGAAAAGTTTACACTGGCCTCTCGGGTAGATACCCAAAAGAACGAATCAAGAGCCAGGTATCATCAAAGCCCTTGATACAAAGGAAAGATCATCATAACATCATGAGAAAATTCAAGAGGAAGACGACGCGTCATCCCGGAGGCCAGATGCAGTCTCTGGCTTGAGAGATGGTCTCTCGACTCACGAAATGACGGACGAATTCTCAAAGGAAAGATCAAAATCCCACCGCTTGCCTTACCGCAGTCCCATGGTCCAAGGCCCCCGTAAAATGAATAACAAATCTCGAGCAAGGCCATCACAGCGACATCGCTAGTTTCCATATTCCTGCGCCAATACCTGAAGATCCCAAGCCTGAAGATCCATAACAGACCTCATAAAACAACCCAAGCCCAGGCCTCTATGAAAGCCAGACGCTCCCTTCGCCTTGTGAGCGCAGAAGCAAATTCATAACATAGAACAATACAATCAAATCTCGGTGCGTGACATTGCCCGTGTTCGACACCTCTGACAACAAACCGTGAGAGAGCACAGCGACGAAGTCCCCGGCTCACCCACATTTCCGCGTAAGACGCCCTTCATACGCAAAACCAAACCTCAAACAAGAGCGCCGTGGCGGCTTCAGCGGTCCCGCTGGTTCCTGCGTCCAATTCCTGTAAAGTCCATCAATAATCTCAGACAGCAACACGACGTGTTGCTGGCTTGTTACAATTTCTGCACCTGAACCGCGTTCAGTCACTGGCAAATCCCAAAAGAAAGCAATATAATGAAAGTGATCTCTGGCCGCAATTTCTTGCAATGTCCATTGAGTTAGACGCGACCGAAATCAACACCCCGTCGCCAAAGGTAGTGAAGGCAACAAGCAAGTCGCTGTGCTGGCTTATACCGATGAACTACTGTGGAAATACTTATCCTACAGTGAGGTACGCTCTTCACCGACTATCTTCTTCATGGTAGGGGTCAACATCTCCAAGATGTTGAGTTTTTTCCTGAGGGGCGCCTGGAAGTAGCGAATAGGGACCCAGTCAGAGGCCGAATATTCAGATGGCCGATAGAGCTTCTGGAGGAATTTGAAGGGGAAGGAAGCTGTATAGAAGTACATGTAATCGGCCTTCTCCGGGATGGCCACGACAGAAACCTTTGATCTAATTCAGCAAGGTAAAGACCAACAATATTCAGACTCGACTTACCTTGTAGCAAGCATCGGTCTCATCGACCTGGGGCTTCGCCAGCTTGGCGTTGGTACCGACTTCGGATGACGATGGCTCGGATTGGGTTGCAGCATCACGCTGGCGCTGAGATTTTCGGACCTCGTCTTCGCGCTGCTTTTGTGCCAACGCGATCATGACACCCACGATGTATGGATCCTGTGCATCGTGGCGCAACGTCTTAGGAGCCGGCTGCTCCCGGCCGACGAAAGCAGAGGGGTGCTGACCGTCTCGGAAGGAAGGCGGAGCAAGGCTCAAAGCCAGTCTGCGATTGGCGCGTGCGTAGTCGAGGTCGACATAGGCCAGGCTGTGGATTTCCTTACCAGCGGTATGCGAGAAGATGGCGTCTGCGGCGACCTCGGCGTATGACTTGCCGTGATAAATAAAGTTCAAGTCGCGCCTAAAAGGCGACACCCATATGTTCTTGGGCATATCATGAGAATTTCCCAAAACTTCGAAGTCGTTGTCGCGAAGTACTCGCATAAGTGCCTCAAGCTTGACTTCGCGGGTTCTGAGCGGGCTACATACATCTACATGCATCTTGAACGCATCTACCTTGCTCAAGCTGTGGTCCTCATACCACCCTTCTGGGAAACGCTGTTGCGCATCTTCGTCGTACTTGAACAGACACCTAAGAAGTCGGCATTGGGCCCTAGTCCACAGCAATGGATCGATGCATAGGGTTTTGTTCCATCCCTTCTGTTGGACAAGCTCATTAATGGAGTTCTTTTCTGCCAGACGTTTCTGCTTCTTTGAAATGCAGTTGAACCACAATCGCGGCGGTGTGAGCTCTGGCTTTGTGGGAGAAGGCTCATTGCCCGCTCCAGTTGGATCAGCCAGGCGATCCGAGGCCCAAGGCCTTGGTGGTCCAAGTCGGCGAAGACGCTTTCTCGGAGGGGACGAGATGGCATCTCGAGGCTCGTCTTCAGCATTTGGCGGGGTGGAAAAGCTGACTGGAGAACTAAATCGAGCCCGCTTCTTGCTCCGTGAGCTTATCGGTGGCGTGGTAGGGCGACGCGAGAGCTCATCTTGGTCTTCTTTCTTGACAAACATAGCGGAACTTCCCGAGAGTGGGAGCTGTGGGCGCGGGCGAGGTTGGCGCCCTGCCATATCGACGACAATTACGCCGTCTTCTTTGTCGTCTTCTTTTGGGGCAGGTTTGGGATCGGGCGAGCCAGCATCGCGGCGACGCTTCAATCCAGAGCTGGAAGAGCTGGAAATGGCACCGCCGGACAGAGCGTTGGGAGGAGCATCGCTGGCAGGAGCATCGCTGGCAGGAGCCTCGCTGGCAGGAGAAGCTCCAGCAGTGCGTCGTGTAGTCCGCCTAAGCATGGAGAGGGATATTGCGAGAAAGTGCTAGACTTTGGTTGGGATGGCTGACTTGGTGTTGTTGCACACTTTTCCTATGGTTCAAATGATGGCTGGTGATGGTGAAGAAGAAGAAGGAGCAGCTCAGCTCGTCGGTCGCGGGGTATCAATTTGATCGGGGCGACACAGAGTCGGACCCAGATTGAGCCTGACCAAAACCATCAAATCAGATCAGTCGAGAGCCTAATAAGGCACTCGACCCCCCAGGAAGCACCACGGCGGCGATATGTGAGACACCCATCCACCACCTCTGCAGCGACGGCCGCCCGCAGTGATGCAGAGCAAATTCGAGCAGCTTTTCCCAGCCTTTCTGTGCAATCAATCAGGTACTCAGACATGCAGCCTGTCTTGCTTGCTGCTCCTTGAGAAGCATCACACCGCACCGCACCGCACCGTCTCCTACAGGCGGACAGGGGGCGATTGAGATTGCGCACTTTTGCACGCGTGCGCCATGTTCTGGATGTGCCGCTCGTGGCTGGATCCTCGCAACGTCGTTGGTGCAGAGGGTTGCACATTGCACCGAGCCGGATACCTGCGAGTACCAGAAGCTGTCGAGAGCCGGCCTCCAAGCGGTCTGGGCGTGGCCAACGCAGGTAGAGATACCTGGGCAAGGCACCTCCAGCCAGTCATGCGTTGATGTACCGGCTCTCGCATCTACTTGCTGCAGCCGTCGCTGCATGCGGCCTGCATTTTCCTTGTCGCTTCATGTCGATGCCGCTCTGCTCTCTCTGCTCTCTCAGCTCTGCGCGGGCCCATTGCTGCCATGGAAGGCCGATCCCATGCCCAGAGGTGCGCACCCTCCAGCAGCACATTTGCATCCGTTGCTCGCAGCCAGATGTGCAACCGCTGCCAATGTCATGATGCACATGTTCAGCTCATTTATGCGAGCTTGCACAAGGCAGCATCATTGATCGATGCCCATGTTTCTGTGGAGCTGCTGGTTGGATTGATTTCAATTGGCCATGAGCCACTCACAGCTCATGTCCCTTCCGTCTCTTACAGCCTCAACGTCTCTTCCATCTCCTTCGGCTTGCTCTCGGTGCCAAGATGGGGCAAGCTTCAATGACAAGGCTACGGACAAAAAAGCCAATGGACCTAGAACCCGAGAAGCTACAAGGCACAGAATGTGTTTGCCCTCCCGGATTAGTCCCGTCCTCGGTCCGTCATGCACAACCACTGTCTCCTTGATGATGTGTATAACTTCAAACTCGGTCAGGGAGGAATATCGGGAAAAGCGTTTCAAAGCGACGAGGCCTTGCCTTCCTCAAACCAGACAAGCCTCTCGACATCGACCAGCGCCTTGATTCGCTGGCCTTGCCAACACCCCGGTTGGTTTGTGAACGCTTTTCCTCTTCCCTTGTCTCCATTCACTCCCCACACCGCCGTCTACCCTTCCTTCCATTTCCGACTCTCTGTCAACGTTTCGCATCTGCTCCTTGCCTTCGTTCCCACACTCCCCTTCAATTGCTTCTTCCGGAAGACATGGCCCCGCCCCTCGGGAGCCTTCCCACTCCTCCGGATCCCCGGCGGCCCCCTTTGCCATATTACAACGGCGCCAGCTTCACGATCCGTCCCCACCAGCCCCCCGTCCCATTCGGAGTAGGCTATCTCACTGAGCCGCCGGCTCGGGAGCGTTTCACCTCCTTGGATTTCTGGGCTGGGATAAAGTCGCCCCAGACCGATTGGTGCCTGCGAGAACATCCCCTAATTGAAACGCCACCGATAGATGGGCAGCCACATGTCTTCCACATTCTCAGCCAGATCGTTTGCAGGGACGGACGAGGTCCTCAAGTAGTGCGGTGCTATCTCGATGAATATAGAGCTAAAACCTATGTTGCAAAAATATTCGACCCATTGTACTATCAATATCCTGGTGATGCTACCTGGTCTGCGGACCATGACTACAGCCTGGAGTCTTCCGCATATACAGAAATTCAGAATTCTGGCCTCGACGGGCAATTCACCCCCACGTATCACGGCTCCTTCACACTTACCCTTCCCCTGCTGGACACGCCCCAATCCAGAGGTCTGACTTACCCGGCTCGCATGGTTCTCATGGAGGACATACCAGGAGTGTCAATGGAGACGCTCATGACCAACGACCTGTATCTCAAAATACCCCTGGGGCTCCGGCTGGACATCACAGCCCAGATCTTGGAGATCGACTGTAGGCTTAGATTCATTGGTGTCATGCAGAATGATCTTGCCCCAAGGAATGTCATGCTCGGCATGGACCCGGACGACTGGGCCAGGCCCCCCTCTCGCACTGTCCTCCTCGACTTTTCCTACTCCCACGTAATTACTTGGGAAAACTCCAAGAATCGGAGCCTTCTCCAGCCGCGGGGTTCCACGCCGAAGGGGCCCATCTGCTTTCACTGGGATCAAGGCTCGCCCCGGGACTTTGGCCCCTGGGTGCCCCAGCCCATCGGGCGTCTCGGAGAGACAGAGGCTTGGAACGGCTGGCTGCTGAAGCGATGGGGCGAATCAGATGCCTGGGCGGGCAGAGAAACGTTGACGGAGCTAGATCTGGGCAGCGCAACATACAGCAGTTCAGAGCTCGATGAAAATATTTGACAAGATCCTGCCGGAAACCGCCTCTTGGAACAGCAATCCGTCCCAACTTGAGCCATTCGGCCTCTCCTAGGCCATATTCGCGCGTGGATATGGATGCCCAATCTCTAGACTTGTACTCATCTGTGGCTGGCCCTGGCGCCCAGTTCCGCGCCATGAAATAACGTACCTTCCTCCTGCCGTATGCTAGATCCTGGTTCGTGATGCCGTAGCCTGCTTCGCTGTTATTTATCACACTGTGCTCTTAGTAGCAGGATACTAAAGAGAGCTACGTGATCTTGTATCTGAGCAAAAGGTCCTCAAGACACCCGGAATAGATCTAGCTAGGTCCTATAATTAAGACTACCGGCTCCCAAAGCATTCCATCCTGGCTCACCGCACAGTTTCGCTGTTTGAAGCAAGTTCCCAGCCAATGGTTAAGGTGATTGCACACAAGGAACTTGTGCTAGTTTTGATACTGGTTGATGCTGTTCCGGCTGTGCTGGAGGCTGAGTGCCGGGGCCGTGAAATACGTTTGCCTTTCAGGGCCCAATAAAAAGCAGAGTCGGATTAACCTAGATTTGCCAATTATCACAAGACTCCGGTATGCGACCAGCTCACAAAGTGACGAATTATACACAGGCCACTACGGATTCAGGCTTGGGATGGGGGATATGAACGAGAAAGGGCCCCTAGATTAACATGTTTGAAAACATGCCGAGTTAGAGGACAGGAGAAAAAAGTCCTTCCCAGTCGTTCTTCAATATAAAATACCTGGGCTACCATTGTCCCATCGTAAAATGGCGATGAAATCATAACGCTGCCCTTTCATCCCCAAATCGAGATCCCCAAAATGACACCTGCGGCATTCGCATTTTCTAGTCGAATCAATAGCTGACGGCTCGGCTGGCACTCCAGCAAGGCGCTGCAACATAGCCAACCAGATATCAGGCTGCACTTCTTCTCATTGTCACGTGAGCCAAACGAAGGCTGGTCGACCTAAACAGGAGATGAACCAGCGCCCCCTCTGGTCAAGACTCGCTTGGCTACGTATCAAAATCCTAGGTATAATGCTTCGCGTCCCGGTAAGGTGGCCAGAATAGGCTTATCAGATATGCACTGCCCAACCAGCCAGTCTTCCATCGTAACAACGGGAGCCATCTACAAGACCTACATTTATGTGTACTCTGTTGGTGCAATACTATGTAATTTTCAGGGGGCCGACCCTACAGTCGGTAGCCACCACTCAACATTTATAGGGAGCTGGCCCAGGGACAGCTCGGCGCAACAGTAGACCTGGACAGCTCTGAGCGTAAGGTGTCTTCTGTAGCGGCAACCGACATTCCTTGATAAGACATTGAATGCGAATACGCTATCTATTCGTATATGACTAGATAATTGGAATATAGATTACGTGTGTAGAAAATGAAAATGCGAAGTATCAGAGCTATTCAGCTGTGCAATAGCCTTCGCTGTCACGGCTGATGGTGCACCATCCAATATTCAGGCATAGGAGGCTTCACATTGGGATCAATATTCGATATTGAGGTTACAATCTTGGGAGAAACAACATTGCGCAAGTGATCTGTGTACTACCGAGGGAGTGACTAGCTATAGAGAACGGACGAAATACAAATAAACACCAAGACGGCCAGACGTGTGAACAGCGGATTTTGAGGCTGGTTTTCACTCTCCAGTTGCTTGTGGCGGTGCCATTATTTGTCTTTTCAAAGCGGTGGGTGCAATTCTGATCCAACTCTGCCATGAGTACGAGGACTGCGGTCAGCGGTTGGTAGCACAACTGATTAACCAGATGGCGTTGACTTACAAAAAGAAACAGTAGGACAGAAATGATAAATGATCGGCATACTGGCATCACCTAAGACAGATCTGCTAGGTAAAGCTCCGGAGGGAAGTCCGACATGTCTATTGTCCTGGCTGAAGACCGCCTTGGATCATCCCTAGATACTCCTAGTTCAGGTAAGTCCCCCAAAGCTTCAAGCGGAAACACCCAGAAGCCAATGGCAAGCTTCGGTAAGCGTTCTGGGTTCTTCACGTGATCGAGTGTAGCAGTCTCTGTTATACGTCCCAACGCGGCTGGAAACCCTGATTGATTTGCTAGACGCAAGCTGATAGGGCTGCTTGCGAATTTCGCGGCGGTAGCTCTATCGACGATGCCTGTTGATCCCGTGGCAGTTTGGAAAATTGACCGGAAGATATGGCCTCTGCCTCGCCCATTTTGAATTGGAGTCGTCATTTTGATTACGGGGGCATCGTAAACGTTTGCGCGATTGCTGAACTGTGAGACCATATAATGATACTCGGCGCTCCCATCTTTGCCAGGGCAGCCCCAGTCTGCCATGAGTCTGAACCAGTTGTACACGGATTGTATAGGCATGATGCATCCTGGAAATATGAATTTCAAATCCGACGAGATAGGACGGGGATCACGGGGAAGCCGAGTAAACCCAGAATTTGACCCGAGAAGCGGGCGGGAGCGAGAGAACTGCCAAGGAGCCATAGGCGTAGCGGTCGGATCATATGGCAAGCACAGACGCTCGTTTTGTTCGAGGCAGACGAAGAAGATATGCTTCACGTTGGAGAAGGCCCGGGCGACGAGCTCGCGAGATTCGGGATCGTCCACTTCCATATCTTCAGATATAAGTTGTCGGGCAGCATCTGTTGGAAGTGCAATCTTCTCCAGCCCAATGTGATGGGGATCACGTCTTTGGGAATCCAGAAGGAAGTCCACAATGCACGGCTTTCGGACATGGGGAAGGGGGATTGATGGCCCGGCGTGCGGTGGCAGAAAGCCTATGCGGATGATATCTCTCTCTGGGTTGACGTAGAGATAGCCCATGCTCTGAGTGACGCCACACCACTCATGTCGACATGGAATGTGCAATCGGTAGAAGGCCAAGGCAGCGTGCCTCGCGTCTCTGTTGACACGAAGAAGTTTGCTATGGAGGTTGCGTCCCTGGACATTGACAATGTAGCTGTTTCCGCCGATGTGGTCCTTGGATCCAACGAGCAGGTCATCTCGTTCGATCCAGGCTTGAAAGAATCGTTCGCGGAGCAGGGACAGCTTGAAAATGTGGACACGAATTTCATTAGGAAACTTGGAGAACTGAGGGAAAGATTGCTCAGGGCCATGGCCTATAATCGGGTTGAAGAGTTGCAGGTGCTGAGGGAGAGGAGACATGGTCCAAGTCAAGTTGGTTAATGTAAAAGTGCGGAAGAGTAGAGAAGTGAAGTAAATGAGGGGTAAAACGATGGGCAGCTTCCGGAGCACTCTATTGATATAAGGAGTTCTTGCTGTTGGGTCGGCACCTAGTGCTCTGATGTACCTAATGTCACATCGACCAACACGTAGGTAGGGGGCTAAGAGGTCGAGCCAGAGAAGCTCGCTTCAGTCGTCCAGTGGTTGGTTTCAATGCGGTGATGGGCAGCCACGCTGGAAAAACTAGTTCGAGGCGATATGAGAATCAAAAGCATGGCGATAATGCAGTTCGTAGCTAGTTCAGGACAGCCACCACAAGCTGAGATACGGTAGGCAGGAAAAAGAAAAGACTGTTTCAAGTCAGCTCCTCCACAAGGCTCGGTAGGGACGCCGGCGGTCTGCCTTGGCGTAGGTACCAGCTAGGTAGTCTGCCTGCAACGGCTTCCTTGGAAACAACTCGGGCGGGACAGACGCTTGTATGCTGGAACATTGCGTGTCCTTGGACGAGCCGCAACATGACCGTCACCGACTCGACCGACTGGCGAGCATTCATGTCCTCATGCGTGTCAGCCACCAGCATCACCCCGCGTTAGTCCTCACCACCTTGTCTTGCGCCGCTTCAGCTTGAAAATTTTCCCCTTTACGAGCCAATCCCAGGACACGGATACTGCACATCTCGCTATTGATTCTGATGCCGATGCGAGGGAAAAGTGACCTGTATGCGCCGGTTGCGTTGCTTCAACAGCGGCTGAGCAGGCAGCACACCCCAACGTAAGGACCATGTCTTTCAAGTAGCAAGAGGCCAAGACATGCGGTTCGGGCGGCTGGAGGGCTAGCAAGCCGGCGACTGAACGATGCGATTGAATTTGACAAGGCCGCAGACTTATGCCACCATTCTCTAGTGCGTGGATGGTATCAACTCCATGCACGCATGTCAATAACAAGCGTGATACACCTGCTCCTCATCTACCCTACATCGACGCAGGTAGGTAGTGGCTCCTGGCAACTCTCGTTACGACTCTCCATCTACTCCGTCCTCGCCGAAGAGGAGTTCTTTGCATCTTAATTGGTTGATACTGTGGGTCGTATGGGTCGCACATGCAGATCAAGCGGGTCCCACCTGCCAATAAGCGAGTTTAGTGCAAAGGTCCCTTGGCCGCTGTATGCAGCGGATTTCTGACATGTAGAAAGCGCTTGCCGTTGTTATCATAATAGAAGGCAGACTTCGGGGAAAGAGGAAACTTGTCAGACAGCCTACAATCCACTCAATCTCCCTGTAATTTCTGCTATCCGTGATCACCCGGAAAGGTGTGGGTGGCGCTTTGTTTCCTGGCTTGGTATGACCGTGTTTGGGCTGGTGGTGCTGTAGGGTAGGCATGCATGGGACAACAGTGAGGCGAACTGAACTTGAAGAGCAGAGGCAAGCAAACATTGAGGGGAGCCGAGAGTGTGTTTGCTGAGTCATGCTTGTTGCCCCGCTCTTGCCCCACGCTGGAAGGCAACATTCAACTGGTTTCTGTTTTGGGCCATTAAGAGCTGCTTTGCACGTGAGTCCGCGATCCGGAATGAATCCACACCACCGTGTAAGTTGACCGGACGCGCATCATTCACGAGCCAGCTCCCACCATCCCAACAAGGACAACCAAGTCTTCGCTCATCTTTTCGTCTCGTGTAATTCAATGGACCTGGCCCCCAAGCATGGACCTTTTCCGGGTCAGGCTGAATTGCATCGATCACTACCAAGCAACACCGACGCGTTATGATCCGCAGCTGCGGAACGATGTCCGCCCGTTCAACATCTCCAAGCAGCCCAAGGTCCCGGTCATCAGGGTCTTTGGCTCGACCGAGACCGGCCAAAAGGTCTGCGCGCATATCCACGGCGCATTCCCCTATCTCTACATTGAGTACGATGGCCATTTGGCACAAGACTCCGGTAAGCCCGTTCCCTCCCGTGCCCTCGCTGTTAGCAGTGCTGATTGACCCATCAACACAGTCGGCGCATACATCTACCGCCTGCACCTCGCCATCGACCAAGCTCTTGCTGCGAGCTACCGCCGCGATCAATTCGATAACAATGCGCGATACGTGGCCAGGATCACCCTCGTCAAGGGTGTGCCGTTTTATGGCTTCCACGTTGGATACAAGTTCTACCTGAAGATCTACATGTTCAACCCCGTCGTCATGACCAGATTGACCGACCTCCTCCAGCAAGGTGCCATCATGAAGCGCCCCTTTCAACCTTACGAGGCCCACCTCCAATACCTGCTCCAATTCATGACCGACTACAACCTCTACGGCTGCGAATTCATCGACGCATCCAATACCAAGTTCCGCGCCCCCGTCCCAGATCCAGCTGGCGACTTTCCCTCGTCGCACCTGTGGCATAGCCAATCTGTTCCAAGCCAACATGTTACAAACGAGTCCGAGCTGCCGCGCGTGAGCCATTGCTCCATCGAAGTCGATATATGCGTCCAGGACATTACAAATCGCCAAAGGGTCGATGAGAGGCAACTACACCATGATTTCGTCGAACGCAGACACCCTCTGCCCCCTGATCAGAAGCTGGTCTTCAGCATGGCTGGTCTATGGAGGGACGAAGTCAAGCGGAGAAAGGGGCGGATGGCCCCCTCCTCGGAGCCGGGAACCAGCCCTCTGCCCTACGAGACTCTCGTCTCAATGTCAGCCGAATCTCGCGCGTCGCAACCCGACCCGTGGCTCCAAGAAACAGAACTCCGTGAGACCATTCACGAGCTCGTCGGCGAAGAGCTGGACTCGCAGTGCAAGCCTCTGGAGTTTGATTCCTTTGTGGCCAAGTCCCCATTCGAGGATTCTATCAAGACAGCTCTGCAATCTGTCGAGGACCTCCATCCTGAAGTACTAATGCCAGCCTTGGGCCTTGCCCCTGAGCCAAAAACGGCCAAACAAAACCAGCAGCCAGGCAAGCCAGACGAGAAAGACGGGCAAGACGAGCAAGACGAGTTCAATTTTCCATACGACTCGGACGAAGACGTATTCCAGGCGATATTCGAACGAGAGCAGGCCGAGGCTAAGAACCTATCTGCCCAAAATACCGAGACGTCGGCTGCGATGCGTGAGGAGGATACCGCCCATGCCTCAGAGGAGCTGTTTATTCCCCAGGAACCTCCTCCTTCTGCTCAGCCTGCGACAAACCCGGATGGATCTTTCAGCTTAACTGACTTTGATGATTGGACGCCAATTTCCCTACCACCCTCTCAAGAAGTATCTCAAAAAGCATCCCAATCGCGGAAACGGCCTTTGGTCGACTCCTCGCCAATCTCACATACGAAGCGGGTAAAACTTGGATCGCTAGCGGAGAGCAGCACATTCCACGACGAGCCACCGCCAGGGGGTCAACTCCAGGTCAACAGCTCGCAACCTTGGCCATCATCCAGTCCTTCTGGCTCACAAGGGGCCCGGCCATCATTCATGTCGAGGGTCCAGGGCAGTGCCGACCAGACAATCAACTTCCCCATTGTCAAGAACGTCTCCCATTCCCGAGCAAAGTCCGACCTTCATCTTCCAAGCCAGCCAAGCCGCGGGTTGGTGTCTGAATTATCGCAATGGGATGTGCCCGAGCCGTCCAGTCCCAGTTCTGAAGCTTCCTTTGACCAGGGGCTCTCGACACCCCGCTCCGCGATTCTTTCGTCCCAGGATGATTTCTCACAAGATGATGCTTCCCTGGACGATGCTTCTGAGGAGACTTCTTCCCAGGATGACGATTCTCAGGACGATGACTCCCAAGATGATTCCTTCCAAGAGGGTTCGGACGAGTTTTATGAAGAGCTGGATAGTGACCAAGACCTCTCGTTAGACCTCTCATTTGACCAAGGCCTCTCGACACCCCGTCCAGTGATTTCGTCTTCCGAAGATGACTTGGAAGGGTTTTGTCGAGAGCTAGATCGTGATGACCCAACGACGCAAACCCTCATTTATGCGGTCCCACCACCGGGTCCCAGTGAGCCCTTATCATCACAGCAGGAAGATGATGTGCCAACAGTGATCTACCAGGAACCATTTTATAGTAAGGAAAAAGATGTTCCGACGAGAATGCGAGAGTATGCTGGTCGGGAATTTCGTCTCCGAGGCAACACTTTGCCCTACCTGCCCGACTTTGATCCCACAGGGGGCGTTTCCTCCACCACTCGTGGCCAGAAACCCCCGTACCCCCCCAACAGCGCTACGAAGGAGCCCAGCACCCTCCTCAGCTGGGACTTTGCCAAGTGCCCCCCTTCATACGAGGAAGTGGAGACTTGGTGGTCGCAGAAACAGGAGAAGCAGCAAGAACAGTCACTGAAGAATTCATTTGAGTCAACTCCGACCCATTTCCTCTCGCAGATTGAAGGCCCGACTCCTGACAATAAAAATGGCTTCAAGTACTCCCCGAGGGCCAGGTCAGTAAACGTGAAGCTCGAGGGGTCCTACATGAGCACCATGAGCCTGGAGATTCACGTCAACACTCGCGGAAAACTTGTCCCCAACCCTGAGGAGGACGAGGTCCAGTGCATATTCTGGTCGTTCAAGTCGGACGACCCTGCCAACAGCTCTCAGGACTATCTCCAAGCCGGACAATCTGGCGTGGTTGTTCTCAGTGAAGACGGCGTTCTGGCACAACGCATGCAGAAGCTAGACCTGGGAGAAGTGCACGGCGAGACGTCCGAGCTTGATATTTTTGTTCGGATGGTGGAGATTGTCCGTTTCCACGACCCGGATGTGCTCACTGGCTTCGAAGTCCATGCTGGCTCCTGGGGGTTCCTGATCGAGAGAGCCCGGCTCATGTACGACTTCAACCTTTGCGACCAGTTCTCTCGCATGAAGTGCGATTCCCATGGGAGGTTCGGCAAGGAGAGCGATCGTTGGGGCTTCAACACCACCTCGACCATTCGTGTTACCGGAAGACACATGATCAACATCTGGAGGGCAATGCGGGGGGAACTCAACCTTCTGCAGTATACCATGGAGAACATCGCGTGGCATCTGCTGCACCGTCGAGTGCCCCATTACCCCTGGGAGGTCCTGACCAGGTGGTACCGCAGCCACAACATCGCTCAAGTGATTCGGGTGTTGAGATACTATCAAGCACGCACCAGGACTGACCTGGAGATCTTGGAGGCCAACGAGCTCGTCTCGAGAACCAGCGAACAGGCCAGGGTCCTCGGCGTGGACTTCTTCTCCGTCTTCTCCCGCGGCTCGCAGTTCAAGGTCGAGTCCATCATGTTCCGGATAGCCAAGCCGGAGAATTTCATGCTCGTCTCGCCGAGCCGCAAGCAGGTCGGCGGCCAGAACGCGCTCGAGTGCCTCCCGTTGGTCATGGAGCCACAGAGCGCCTTTTACAACAGCCCCCTCCTCGTTCTCGACTTTCAGAGCCTGTATCCCAGCGTCATGATCGCCTACAACTACTGCTACTCGACCTTCCTCGGGCGTGTCACAGATTGGCGAGGGATGAACAAGATGGGGTTTACGGAGTACAGGCGGCAGCAGGGTCTGCTTGGGCTCCTGGAAGACGACATCAACATCTCGCCCAACGGCATGATGTACGTCAAGCCCGAGATTCGCAAGTCGCTCCTGGCCAAGATGCTCAAGGAGATTCTCGAGACCAGGGTCATGGTGAAGAGCAGCATGAAGAAGGACAAGGAGGACAAGGCGCTGCAGCGTCTACTGAACAATCGTCAACTTGCGCTGAAGCTCCTTGCGAATGTCACCTACGGCTACACGTCGGCATCGTTCTCAGGCAGGATGCCTTGCTCCGAAATTGCGGACAGCATAGTCCAAACTGGCCGCGAGACCCTCGAAAGGGCGGTCGCTCACATACATTCTATTGAGAAATGGGGTGCACATGTTGTTTACGGCGACACCGACAGCATATTCGTCTACCTCCCCGGCCGCTCCAAGGACGAGGCGCTTGATATTGGCAACGAGATTGCCGATGCGATCACCAACATGAACCCCCGTCCCATCAAGCTCAAGTTCGAGAAGGTTTACCTCCCCTGCGTGCTCCTGGCTAAGAAGCGCTACGTTGGCTACAAGTACGAGAGCAGAGACCAGGTCAAGCCCGACTTTGACGCAAAGGGCATAGAAACGGTCCGTCGCGACGGCACGCCCGCCGAGCAGAAGATCGAGGAGAAGGCGCTCCGGATGCTGTTCGAGTCGGCAGATCTGAGCCGCATCAAGTCCTACTTCCGCGAGCAGTGCCGCAAGATCATCCGCGGCCACGTCTCCATCCAGGATTTCTGCTTCGCCAAGGAGGTCCGCCTCGGGACGTACTCGGAGAAAGGGACGGCGCCTGCTGGTGCTCTCATCAGCTCCAAGCGCATGCTCGCCGATGCCCGCGCAGAGCCGCAGTACGGTGAGAGAGTCCCCTACGTCGTTGTCAGCGGTGCGCCGGGCGCTCGGCTCGTGGACCGGAGCGTTGCGCCGGAGGACCTGCTTGCGAACCCGCACTGGCGGCTGGACGCGCAGTACTACATCACCAAGAACATCATCCCGCCGCTGGAGCGCATCTTCAACCTGGTCGGGGCGAGCGTCCGGCAGTGGTACGACGAGATGCCCAAGGTCAAGCACCACAACAGCCACATGTTCGCGGCGCAGCGCGGGGCCCGCAAGACGACGCTCGAGGCGTACTTCCAGTCGATGCACTGCGTCGTGTGCTCGAGGAAGTTCAAGAACTACCAGAACAGCACGGTCTGCCGGCGGTGCATGGGGAAGAGGAAGGCTCCCCTCTCACTGTACGCGCTGCAGACGAGGCTGTCCCACGAGGAGAAGCGGTACCGGGAGGTCATGATGAGGTGCCGCCAGTGCGAGGGGGGCCGGGCCGTGCTGGGGGATGTGCAGTGCGACAGCAAGGACTGCCCGGTGTTTTGGAGCCGGGTGAAGCAGGTTGGGCGGCTGGAGTCGATGCGGGCGTGTACGGAGCCGGCGATGGAGAGCTTGATCCACGGGATTGAGCGAAGGGCCCTGGAGTGGTAATTGGTCACTGGTGTCTTGGTGTTTTTGGAAAAGGAATGGGTTTGGGCTGGTTGCATTGCATGAGAGGATGGGTTTTGCATGGTTATGACTTGTATGAGTGGAAGAATCCGGATAGATGAACAAAGCAATGACATGTTATCATAGGCTGGCTCTTGTTAACCAATGAGATGAATAACTTAATGTACCTATGTTGACATGGCATCCGACTCAGCGTGGGAATAAAGGTCGGATGGAACATTGGAAGCGGGCAACTGCTGGCACACCTGCTGGCAGTGGACATCTGTACAGGTAGATTTGCTACCAGACCTTTCCCGATGCCTCACTCTAGCCCCTGTAGTAAGTAGCCCCTGTAGCAACCCCCCCTAGATAGGTAGCGCCTGTGACCCCTCCGCAGGCCTGCAAGAGATGCCTGTCAGTGGGCACAGGTGGATGCGCGGGGCGTCCCGTTGGACCGCTGGGTAGCGCGATCCACTGTGATCAGTGATGACCCCGCCTACTCTAGTTGATGATTGGCCCATGGCCTTGACTCGGCCATATCTGTGTGCAAGCATCCAGTACCTTAACATCCATTGCGGCAGTTACGTTCGACTTTCGCAGAACCCATCCACGTCTCTATTCTCTTTCCCTGATTCTTCTCCGCAACGTATCAACCATGGTTCAGCAATACAGACTGATGAGCCGTGGCGGCGAGCCAGATCGACGATGCGTCCTCCCAGCCAAGAGAACGGATAGGCGCCGCTTCCCACCAGCATTCTGGGGTAGCCTGTCCGATGTCTGGCTTACACCATACAGCCTGAGAGAGCATAACCTCCGAAACAAGAAGCATCCTCCATCCAAGCCTAAGATCCAAGGCGTCGTCTTTCAGAATGTTGCTCAGTTTGCCAGACACGGCGGCCCAGACCTTGGGGACATTCGTGGTGTAAGGCTGCTTTTGCTTGGACCTCACCCAGATAGGATTTGACCTAACTAAACACGTCGAGATAGTATCCCCGCCGGCCAGAAAACACTCGTGCAACGGGGCCAGTCGGCCAACCGAATCTATCCAGTCGGGCTGCGGTAGGAATGACTGAAAGTTTCGAGAGCGGCCCGCCTTGTCCTTACGATGTCAATTACGAGCAACTTCTGATCGACAATCATATCTGGGTGGGATACATAAAGTCGAGGCCAAACAACTTGGCAGAACTAGAGCACCTTATGCCGGATAGGGCGATGTCTGAGATCCCGTGGGACCGTTTCTTAGGCCCAGGCTTTTATCTCGAGGACTTCGACTTCGCCCACGATAAGTTGAGATCGGAGGGAGATGTGATGAGAACAATCATCCCTACGATCGCCGGCCATTATCCACGTCCTTATCCTAACGGCCGCAACGTTATTTTCAACAACATGGATACGATGACCAACGGGACAAAGGCCCACCCGAAGCCCATCTTTTACGAGGGGGCCCGCCCCAGGGATCTTCATCCATCTGTCGCAAGCGACCTCGATAGCCTGATCGTACCCTCCAAAGCCGGGCGGCCCCTGGTGGTTCCCAACCTCTTCCTCGAGGCAAAGCCGCTCTGGCGCGGCACCGCCGTTGCCATACGAAAAGCCCACCTCGATGGCGCATACGGCGCTCGCGCGATGCATGCGCTGCAGAACTACGGGAGGGAGGAGCCGGTGTACGACGGCGACGCATATACCTTTACTTTTATATACAACCCCGTCAATGCCGGGCTCAAGATATACGCCCACCATGTCACGGCGCCGGAGACCCCGGGCGGGCCACCCGACTACCATATGACGTTTGTCAAGTGTTACTGGATGACCCATGATTTAGAAACGTATATCCAAGGGGTACTTGCATTCAGAGACATCAGAGATCTGGCAAAAGCTCATCGTGATCACTTCATCGAAGAGGCAAACTCCAGAGCGTCGGGTGCAACTGCAACCGGGCCAGATTAAGCTCAGGTCTTGAATCAAATCAAGCCTATTGATCCCTACACAGTCTTCCTACTTTACAGTTGGGGTTGAATTTTGAAATGAATTGTGCGAATCTTATGTAGCAGCTCAGCCTATAATTTGAAATCTTTGTTTTCTTCCGCTGTCTTGATTTGCCGTAATGGTTCAACGGGGTGCAGGTAATTCCTTGCACCTAGGTTTGTTGTCCAACATAGGATTGTAATGGGTATGAGGACTGGAAGCTTGGGAGCAATGTCCGAAATTCCAGGACGCTCTTCAGTCTCAAAGTGAATCTGGCGGTCCTTTACATACTTACAAGGAAAATTGGTCTGCACATTTACAACGCTTTGGTAATCTATATATATCACTTTCTGCTCACGAAACGTAACGATTTCAACACAACGTTACTGTCAGACGGCTTTCATGGAAACGGACGTTTGTATTCGTTCCATACCACTAGGAACAAGTCAATGCCTGCAAAGCAGCCCTGAGGGCAAGCGAAGCTGAGTAGGGGAGTCAACGTGGATAGGATCTGACTCACCTACTCGAGGCAGCTCGAGGCTGCGCCTGTTGATCGTGTTCATAAGATCAAGGAAGCAGAAGTAACAACGCGCGTAGCCAGTACAATGGCAATTACGTAGCAATAGAAGTACCTCACCTTAATCAGACCAATAGCCAGCTGTTATTTAAAAACTGACCAATTGCCAGTCAGTATCTCAAATCATGTGATGCTTTAACGTCCCATTATAGAAACGAATCTAGAAGCTGCGCTCTGGCTACTGCCTTCACACTTCACCAAGTATCGCTTGATGAATAGATAGATGCTGCCTACTACCAGAGTGGTGTTTTAGGAGACCCTTCGGCTGACTGGTTGTTTTATAAAAAGAGGGTAGTCACGTGTGTGGCCTGATCTTGGGATATCCCCCTTGCATATGGCCAAAAAAAAAACAGATAATAAAAAGAGGGAAAGCCACTTTCGCGAACAGAAAGCGAGAAAACTTATCTAAGAAGGCATTCGATATATCTACGAATGCTGTTTACTCCACGACCGTTTCAAGGCGGATGTTCAGCTTCAAACGAATGAGTTATATGGTTACATGCTACCTGAATCTCTTACGTAGCCAACATCGTAGCCGTGTTGCAAGCTTCAATCCCTCAATAAAGAAACCATCCCAGCATAGCACACATGGCGAGAGGCAACTTGAAATTGCAATTTGGAACATGCAAGATTGGTTGACCTGGTAAACTCCTAGGTGTCTTAGTCATATGTTGTGAGTCTGTGAGCAATTTCAAACTAACAACCTCCTACTTCATAGCTAAAAGCAAACATTATCCTTTTTTTTTCTGCATTTGCCAGGAAATTTCACGAAGAAAAGCAAACCCTGAGACCTCGCGAACCCATTAATCCACGTTCAGTACGAATAGCCCAGTCTCGGAATCTCAAAGAACAACATAACATATCATCATCCAGCCTCATAACTTTCCTTCAGTTCCAGACTAGGTGAAACACCCTTACTTTTGAGTGTTCATACTTGATCAAGCCAAGAACAGACACCATCATATGCCTGCCGAATACCTTCATTGCCTTAAAATGAGTGCCAAGCTGGGGAGAATATCTCGTGCAAGTGCTTGGTTGTGCAAAGGGGGGGGTTGATTCTCCGAACAATAATGAGTGTGATGTTAGTCAGAGGTAGGGAGAAATAAAAAAAAAAAAAAAAAAAAAAAAACTTTTCCTGGTTGAGGGCCGCAGAAGCTTGTTTGCCAGTTGGACCGCAAACACTGGGTAGAACCAAGCCCGAGCCTCAAATCGCATGCCGTCTTACACTTGGCATAAACACGCCTTGCCCGATTTTTTTGGGGGGTTTTTCTTTTCCTTTCAAAACATCGAATCTCAAGTGAGTCCTGCTCAACATCCTGAACGACCTCTGCTTGCTCAAGATCGCAACGCAGGGGGTCGAAACGCCGACGAAAAGAAGGGGAGATTAGGAGAGGCAATCTCTACCATACAAGCAGACGCATTCCAGTCATTCAATTTTCTGCGAACCATTAAAACATCCAAACCATCTCTCGTGGGGCAGGGGAACAAACAAACCAAAGCACTTAGCCAGGCCAAGGACGGTCATTCAAGGGAAAGCGGCCTCAAGAAAGCCTTCCTTTCTGAAGTGTTTCTGCAGGCCCAAGTATCGGCGTGTCACTGCACCCAGGGAGCAGACGGTGTCGAAATCAAGGAGCAACTGGTCAGGGTAGCCTATGATCATGGACTCCAGGTCCACCGTCATGAGGCGCTGTCGACCGGGCAGAAGGACAAAGTTCCGGGTGCTGGGGTCGGTCTGAACTGCCGAGAACTCGGCCAGCTCAGAGTAGCACTTCTCCATCAGGTCTCTCACCTCGTCATAAGTCAGTGTTGCGCCCTTGGGATCCGAGAGGTACGCGCCGGGAACATCCTGGATCAGCATGGCATGCCGGCCGTTGCACTTGGTCCGTCCTAAGAATTTCGGGATGGTGACACCTTGGAGATCCTTGAGCCGCTCGTAGGCCATGATCTCAGAATCGAAGTGACTCAGGTAAGGGGGTTCGCCATCAGGTAGTAGGCACTTGATGCGCTCCGGGTCATTTGGCTTCCGGCATTTTACGATCAGGGTGGATGGAAGAAACCACTCGGGGAAATGTTTGCGGGCCCAGGTGCTGACCGCCTTTGGAAGGAAGCGAAGCATTCGGAGAGGAAGCCTAACGACCATCGGGGGCGGTTTTACCTGAGCATGAAGAAGGTTTACAGTGTTGCGATGGACTGGCCGGCTGAGAGTTTTGACCCAACGGGTACGGAACCAGAAGCTCTGTATTAGAGGTTAGCTTCCACAGGGAGGCGTCGAACACAGAATTCGGTCTTACCATTGACTTTCTTGGAGGAGTCAGGCTTGGCTGATTTGGCGTGACACGATACCGCTGAGGCTCGCCTTGGTGAGGTTTAGGCAGGTCAATATGTGCCTGGATGAGCGAGGCCCGGCGTAGGGGGACTTGGATCTGTGACATCGTGCGAATGTCACTTCAGGTGAGCGGTGGATGGCTGTGGCACACCCGTGAAGGTCATCAGCGGATTGTGGTTTGGCTAAGAAATACGCTTGAATGGTTTAGGTTCCAACATCACGCGTCGTCGCACGCGGCGGCAGGCACAAGTGCTCAACGGACGTACCAAAATGGCCCCTCCTATCTTATCAGGTAGCAGTCTTCAGCGGGCAAGAGCGGGGTCGGAGGTTAGGCGTCAGAATAACAGGGAGTGCAAAGGTGTCTTGTCCCAGCTTTCCGATGTTGACAGACAATGGTTGATGAGGATGATAATAATGAATTGTTGAGCAATTGTTGGGTGAAATCATCTGCTTGTTATTATGCAATAGGAAATAGCAGGGAGCGTTACAATGTGACTGCCTGCCACAACAATTCCATCGAGGTGACCTGGCAGTCCCTGTTTTTCCGACAGCCACTAGAGGGTTCTGATCCACCGGCCGGGCCTGGCCCCCAGCAGGTCTAAACTTTAAATATGCGGGCTGACTCAGCTAGCCTGTGCGCAGGTTAGCTTAGTCACTCCCGTCGCTCAGGGCAGGCTCATTAGAAAGTGAGGCTATACAATACGGTACGCTGCAAGTCTTGCGTTTTGGATTCCGCAGGCGGTTGGTGCGTTCCAGGACCGTCGGCCCTCAGCGCGCAAGCAACCGCAATTTTAGGCAGCAGTCATGTGTGGATGTGTTTTATGAGAGTGGCCTCCCGCACAAGTGCAACCCTCCAGCACAATCCTGGTGGTACCATTACCTGCAGCTCTCAATGGCTCGCGCGCGCCTCATTTTGGCCACCCGGCCGGACTTGTCTCTCCTGGCAGGCTTTGGTGTAATTATCATTACGATGCAAATACATGGCAAGGAAAAAAAAACATTTCGTGGCCCTGGGTGTGATGTCTCTAATTCCATAGACCCCTTTGCGTTTCAACTCCTAGGTACTCTATTCTTTTCCGTTCATTTCGGGAGGGGGGGGACAATGAATGCCACCGCATCATCAACCTCACATCAACCCCGCGTCTGTATCCTGCATAACACGTGACATCAATATATACCAGTTGGGCTTCGCCAATCATTTGTTCATTAGATTTATGCACTTTGTACAACCAGAAAAAAAACACATCAAGCAACTTACACCAAAGAGTAGCCATCATGTTCCGGTATACTATGACTCCCGCAGAATCGTTAGACTACCACTAACAGCATGGCAGTGAACTGAAACCTCCAGTCGAGTTCTCGATCAGCCGAACAAGACCTGGTCAATGGATCCTTGGCTCCAAGATGATATGCGAAAGAGTCCAAAACCCAGAGTCCAAGCCCGTCGATGCCCTTGTCAGCTGGGAAGCTGAGAAAAGCACTTTCTATCTCCGCAGACGAACTCCGGAGGATCCAAAAAAAAGAGCGGACGCCGAGACTGATAGAGTCAGTGTCTCTGGGGTTTCGGCCGCCGTCTGGTGCATTGGACAACGCTTGTTCAAGGCACATGCTTGGCATGGGAGCATGGAGCTCGAGTCCTCCAACCTTCGCTTTGTCAAGAAAAAGGCGCCCAGTGTGCCTGTCCCGGATGTTATATATGAATGGACGGACCCTGACACCGACAGGAACTTCCTTGTCACAACACGAATCAAAGGAAGGACCTTGGAAGAAGCATGGCCGTATCTAACATTCGATCAGCGTACGCAAGCTGCCGAGGAGGTTGCCCAGCATATTGCCAATCTGGCCAAGAATACATCCTCCAGCTTTAAAACAATCTGGGGCTGCGGAGTTCTTGAACCGGGTCTCCTATACAAGCCCCGAGAAGACTATCCACTTTGGCGGCCAAGACTGCTTGGCCCATTCCAGGAGGAGGAGGACATGCGAGGTTATATGCTGAGGATCTCGAACGAAGAGCCCCCGGACATCGACGAGGAGTTCCTCTTCTACCATGCCGAGCTTGGACCAAAGAATATCATCGTCAAGGACGATGGTCATGTTTCCGGCATAATGAACTGGGAGTCCGCAGCGTACTACCCAAGTTTCTGGGTAGCAACCAAGCCGTTGCTGAAATCTTTCGAGCTAGAATGTGATAAGGAAAGCCCAAAGAGCTGGGCGCATCTCCTGAGGGGCAGACTCGAGCTGCATTCCTTTACGCAACAGGACCGTGTATTTGATCGCTGGGTCAAAGGTATGCTTTGAACGTGTCTCGGAGGTGCAATTATTTCCAAAATAGCTAGCTATAGAGGAAATATAATGATATACCTAACTCATGACCCCTCTTTCAAGACATTGCTAGCAGCCCTTCTGTGAAAAAAGTAACTCTAATAACAAACTTCGTGTATTCGTAACCGCTTGCATCATAGCTAAAGTGCAGAGAAGCCGAGGCTCTATTCCCTGCTCCTTGTAGGTTGCTACGCATGGCCTTGAAACCCCTAGCCGAAGTTTTGACTAGACCCTTACTAATAAGCCATCCCAAAGGCCTGGCACCTATAGATGAAGGCCTCCCAAAAGGAAGCTTATTTCCTAGAGCGGTAGTTCTCCATGTGTTTCCACAGCAGAAACTTCCAACCTTTGTCATCTCTGCACCAGGCAAATAGCCTCTTACCTCCCAATCAATTGTACCTAGTATGTTTCCATCCCTGTCGAGGGTGGTTTCGATCGCTAAGTCCCCGTCCGTAAACGTATATGTTGCCCTGGGCAGCAGCCGATTTCGTCCGTGACTACAAGCTCGGCCGGCTTTGTAACTCGATCTCGATCAAACGATGCCAAACAGAGTTTAATAGGAACGCCTAGAATGCGTTGCATCTCCATAAAGACGGGCTGACCTTCAGGATCACTCCTTGTTTGAGTCGGAGACTAGGATTGTGGCATTCTTCCGTACATGTCGTATGTTCGACCTTCGAAGTTAGGGTGGGTTATCGGTTCGCTCCCTGATGACTGAGGTCAAGCCTGTTAGCTATAATACTCGATAGCCCACTGCGTAAAAGAAGCTTACCTGGTTGTTGTCCCGACAAACCTCTGGGGATCAATCGTTTGACCAATCCCAGACCATACAAGATGGTTCGTCAGCCACTCGGTAGCACGAAAAGGCGATCAAGATTCAAGAAATTAGTGCTAAGCAACAAGGGGATTGGGCTGTGGGCTTTTCAGCAAGACAGACGATTATCGTGAGGGCGTATCGATTGCGCCTGCGGCACAGAGCCCTCTGGCGTCGTATCACGTGGCAAGACATGCATTCAACGAAGCCTCATACAGCGGGAAGGTAACACCAACCAATCAGTTGCAGTTATGCAAGCGCCACAACATCCAGTATCAGTGCTGCCATTGGCCCCTGCCCGGATCCTCTGGACTTTGGCGATGTCTACGAATGGGCGCCTTGGAGCTGTTCGAAAGTCCAGCGGGCAACATTTGTACTTACCTAGACCGCATCGTGACAACTCAGTGGTTAGGTTGAGACTGGGCTTGTGAAGCTGGACCTTGTGAGTCTATATTGGGAATCAAACAACTAGAAACTGCGGTATAGATAAGCTTATATGGCCACCACACCAGAACAATTAGCTAGAACTCATAGGACGTACCTAGTCTGAACACCGTGAACATCTACATCACGTGGTTTCGTGCGTGGTACGCGAACCATGAATGGCGTAGATGTCTTGATTACCTGAGATCAAACCTTGGATGGACAGCTTACAATGGAGTTGAACTTCATGCCTCATTGCTTAGAAGAGTCTGTTCGAGATGAGTATTTGCCCTAGCCATCATAGCTACTTGATATTCTTACCTCATTGCCTATAGTGTAGACTGTTTAGTCGAGGTCACTTGTTTAAGGCTCCTAAGACCTAATTTTCCGGATGCGAGGGGTTAGGACGACGGCTGCACGGGTTTACACAATGAAGTTAGTGACAAGGGTTTATTCTATGAAAAAGCCATCTCGACCTGAAAGAAATAAGAGAGTAGGCTCGCCCGAGGACACCATGCCCTGGGAAATATATATAAACCGCTCGAGTATACACGGTGGGTGGTAAGAGGAACCAAGTAGATACAAATGAAGAAACCCGATTAAGAAAAATAAAGGCCAGCAATGCCATGCATGTATGATGCTCTCTCTATTCCATTACGCCAGAGGGGGGGGAACAAAATCCCATCAACGCCAAAAAGAAGAAGAAGAAGAAAAAAACCATGAAGGCAGGACCACTTTTGAAAGAAAAGAAAGGGGCCCTGGTACTTCCATTCGTCACTCATTAGGTACTTTTAAATGCACGCAGCTTTTACGCGCTAGATTGAATTGGTTCCTGTAGGGCTGCACTTGAAGCTGTTGCTGCCCTGTCCATGTCGGCGTCGTGCCCATTTGGTCCCTCGGGGTCCTCAGCCTCGTCGATCCAACCTGAGAAGTCCTCATTGTCGTCATAGTTAGCGACAGCGTGGGGCGAGGCAATATGCTTGTGCGGGCCCTCGCTGCTCTGAAGGGGGTTATTTGGAGTCAGGGGCGGCCGAAGAGCAGAAGGGCTAAACACGCCCAGAGCCCCTTTTGTCTTTGTCGCGGTCAAAGGGGCAGACCTTGGGGCCTGTTTCCAGGGACTGAAAGGTGCTCCGTCTTCATCGGCAGGGGTATTAGGTTCCGAGTCATCTGGCGCAGCGATAACAAGCAGATCTGCCTGCCCTGAGCCATTAGAGTCTCGGCTCGTACCACGTCGTCGCCGAGCCTGGACGGAGGATGTTCGATGTCGAGAAGATCCTTCCCTGGGCAGCTGCTCAGAGGACCCGTGCTGCGAGGTCGATGACTTCCTCGAACTCCGGAAGGTTCCTATTTTGGTCTTCCCGTTCGGTCCTGGCAGTGGTTGGCCAAGAGGGGGGAATGGTTGGCCACCACCCATGGGCTGCGTAAGATCGACTTGGCTTGCTGCTTCGGCTTGTTTTTTGGCTTCCCTTCTCTGCAGAGCATTCCATCCCCAGTTCTTGGCTTGCGCTGCAGCTTGCGTGACAGCTGCAAATGTCGTGCTTCTCGGAGTAGGTGTCAGAGAATCCTCGCCTTCCTCACCTTTGGGGGACAAAATTCCCTTTCTTGGTGACAAGACCGACTTGACTGGAGACTTGAGCGAACTCCCAGTGTTTTCTCGCCTCAAGAAAAACGTCCGTCCTCGTGATGCACTGTAGCTCTTGCCTGAGCCCCGAGACGACACCGAGTCCTCAGACGCACCAGATGCCAGGGACTCTCGTGATGATCCCGTGTTGTGTCGTCCCAGTGTCAACTCGGGAACATCCTCAAGGCTCTCCCCAAACCCAGGTGGGTTGTCCAGTCCCTGTCGTAGAGAGGAAGTCGACGAGGCCGCTGACTTGGACAAAGTGAAATTGCGGGAAGAGCCTGGTCGTGAATTCGGTGTTCCCATGACGACCGCATTCAGACTCATATTGTCCTCGGAGCCGGAGTCTTCGTGGGTCACATCCACACCATGCAAACCTTGGCCCGACTTCTCGGAGTCTCTTGATTCAAGCCTACTATGCCTACTAACCGAATCATTTTCCACAAGCTCCTCTCTAGATCTGGAAGCGGGCACATCGTGGATAGTCTTGACATCGTCCTTCTTCGATCCGAGACCGGAAGCGGCACCAGATTGTGTGTCGATGACAGGGAAGCTGTGGCTCTTCTCGAGGGGAGGATGATCTTGTAGTTTTTCTCCCTTTTCCCTACCCCGTTGGACAACTTCGGGGTTGTCGGTACGGACCCCATCCGCAACATCCACTGCTGATCTATCGACTGCGTCATCGCCCTCGAAGATGCCACCTCGCCAGCTCTTGTGCTCCGTCTTGAAGAAGGGTACGTCGTCCCAGAAAGGCTGGACCAGTGTCTCGGCAACAATTTCCTTGATGCGGTTTTCGATCTGTCGGAGAATAACGGTGTAGGTGATCTGCCGAGAACTGACAATGGGCTCTATGGCCAGCTCCATCTTGGGCATGGTCTGGAAGGAGAGCCACAAACGGTTGCTGGGAGGCGCCTTGATCTTGAAAAGCATGTGACCCTCGACCTTCTTGACCACCACTGCGAGGACAATGTTGACCTGTCTCTTCTTGAACCGGGGGCCCAGATCGATTTTAACGGTCGTAGCAACCTCAATTCGGAAATTGCCATTGTATCTAACGTCCGCATCAACCAGACACTCGCCGTCCACATTCAGGTCCTTGAGTCTTAGATTCGTGAAGAAGGGGGCGGCGTCGCCAGTGTCGATGGCATTGATCTTGATATTGGACAAGAACGACGGTCGCTTCACTCGGGAGATCTTGATGTTCAGCTTGTCTCGAATATACTGCTCCAGATCGGCTGTTTTGTAGACGCCCAGGAAGATGCGCCCAATGAGAGCGTTGATCCACCGCGAATGAACATTGTCGTCGGAGGAGTGCAATTTCTCGATGAGGGAAATAACGTGCTTGACGTTGAACTGTTTTGGATCGGGAGGGGCATCGGCCGGGATCGTGGCGGTTTGCTCTTGGTCTCGAAGCAGGGCAAAGTAAAAGTCTTCCTTGGCGGAACAATTCTCGGAGAAGAGGAAGAAGGGTTTGGTGGGCTGGGAATCGGGCGTGGATTCGAGACCAGATGTCTTCCTCGTAAGGCAGAGGGCATTGCGTTTGATGAAGAGCTCGCCCTCGGGGGTAACGCCTCCGCCTGAATAGATTGTAACATCGTGGTGTGCGAGGGAAATTACATGTCGAACTTCGATCTGCTGCTCGTCGTCGAAGAGCATTAAATGGCCGTGCCTACAACAAATAAAGGGTGTCAGCAAGTTCGGCGAGAATGCGACCGGAGTAGAGGAAAACGGAGTGCGAAGAAGAAATGGTGGGGTCATCAAGATGGCTATGTCAAGAGGTGCTGCCTCATCGTGACTAATGTCATCGGGGCGCTTTGCAGAAGATGCGCGGAGAGAAGGGGCAATCTCTCCTGGCTACCGTGTAACTCGCATTCGAAAGAAAAGGGATGAATGAGGGCCGGAAGTGGTGGCGGTCTCGCCGCGGCTCCCGTGTGTAGAATGCATCCGCAAAACAGCGCAAGGCTCGAGTAGTCTTACCTGAGGATTACGAAGAACACATTGCCCGCATTCTTGGGCCGCTGGCTCGCGCTCGCATTTTCCGCCTGCGACGAGTTGGCGCCCTTGCGCTCGAAGAGACTCTTGTACATGGCCTGGTAGACGCTCTGGCTGGGGGCTGCGACGGTGGTAGACCCGACTGGCGTCGAGCGTTCTATAGGCTTCGCATTTAACCCCATGGGTGTGTATTCTCGACATACGGCGAAGTATCCGCAGGCGGCATCGAACTGGGGGTTCACGCGCAGCATCGACTTCTCTCGTTTCGCGGCATGGAGGAGACTGGTGTCATCGCCAGGCTGGACGATGCTGCCGTCTTCCGAGTCAATGACTTCGACATCGGGGCGGTAAGGAAAGGTTTGGTGGGCGTGGAAGAGGACGGCGATGATGACAAGCGGAATGAATGTGATGCCGCCCACGAAATAGGCAACCAGAAATCCCGTCCAGCCCATTGCTCCGTCCTCTAGCAGCGGTCTGCGGTCGGTTCGCACAAGAAGCAGTTATCGTTTCAAAACAGGCATTGGACGAACCAGTGGAGGTTCCTGAGGGATCCGTAGTCGGTGTGTTGTGTTTGGTGGAGAGCCGCTCGCTGCTACGCTCCGTGCGCAGGCTGGGGAAGTCGCATTCGATTTGCCGGAAGGGCAGGAAAGGTCGGAGGAGGTGAAGAATGAAGGAGAGCACGGGTATGGATTGACTGTGCACAGATGCGCCGGGACTACCAATCCATTAATCAATCAATTCATCGGATCGAACAGCGAATCCCAGCTCTTGGAGCAACCGGTGCGGTGGGCGAGCGAGGGTGCAGCTGACGGCGGGACGGAGTGGAGCGTGTTCGCTACTACGTCATGTGATGCCACGGTGGCTGTTGGCCAGAAGGGAACGACCTGCCGCCTATGACAGCTGCGTGAGGAACAGGTCGTTTGTCGCTTCTTTTTGCGGGTGGGAGACTTCCAGGTGGGGCTCGCGTGATAGCACGTAGGCACCGTCGCTCAGGTCCTCGCCCGTGGAGACAATCCCCTTTCTGAACTGTGCACCCGATCGGGTCAATCCCAACTCACATAAGCCAGGCTCCTGGGCCACAGCGAGTGCACTAAAGTCCCACCTGGACGCTATTCTTAGCTTCTCGGGGCTGGATTGAGCAGACCTGTTGGTGGACTTGCGCTCACTGTCCAGATTTGAGCAGTGCCATACATGGACGGTTGTTAGTGATTTCACGCATTACATTGCATGCTGACCAGAACACCGGCCCAATTCGGTCATCATCAGCACGACTAATAAAATTTCTCGAAGAGGATGAGGCAGCCCTAAGAGCCCTACGAGCCCCTGAACGTCTTCCATCATCGGGGGAGGCGTCTGAGAAGATGTGGGATGGTGTTGCTGGCCTGTGCCCCCTCTGGTCACAGCAACGTGTGACTTGGTGGATCTTATGGCCTGCGGGAGTGTAGGGTAGGCAAAGACTCGCTTAGTCACGTTCTGCGTCGGCTTGCGGAAAAGAACAGGGGTGCGATTGTCTGTCCGTCCCACATGGTTGGCTCTCCGAATGAGGGGTTGGCTCCGGAGTCCAGGCTCCCAGACAGGTCCTCAAATTAGGTGCCAGGGCTTCCCGACTCGCCCACCGTCGGATAGCCTCAGCTGGCGCACAGTCCCTGAAGCCTCAGCTGAAATAGCAACAGTGGAGAATTTGCTTCTATACATAGTGATGGGGAGATCGGCCCTGATCTGACCCTAGAGCTGGCTTCCAAGTTCTTGAAATGGAAGAACAGCACGAGACAGGGTTTGCTGGCGTGCTGGCGTGCAGGCGTGTAGTCCTCGTTCCATGGCGTCTTCTTTTACGACCAGTCGATGGTGCGCTTGGTTATCTGCCTCGCGCGCGACTTGTCCCAGAAGCATCGCGCCGTCGCGTGGGAAATTGGCGCAAAATGTGTCAGGCCGGAAGGTCCGGCAAGTAGCACTGCGGAATCTTGATTGTATTCAATTCGGTATGCCCTCACTTTTAGCTATTTAGTTTGGTGGTTAGAAGACCAGGCTTGATGCTGGCATTCGAGCATATTGCATGGGAAATGCGTCCCGTGGACCGTGCGCTTCCGTCCAGCCTCACAACCTTCAGATGTCGGAGCTCGTTCGATCAGGTTCATGTAATCTCTGTTTATCATCACTCATAGTCTTCATGTTCGAATCCAACTCTCATGATGGGCAATGATGTAGCGCACCGGGTCAAAGCGTGGTGGTTGAGGCAACGCTCTTCATCGGCTGCCAACTCTAGGGTACCAACACCACAGGACCGGACCAGTAGGGACATTGGGTCTTGAAAAGGAAAAGTTCCCGCTGCGGCTATCTGCCTCTTCCCGTATTCATCACCTGTCACCAGTTAGATCGTAGGAAAACAAACGGAGCTCCCTGTGTAGCTGTGCTTGGGTAACGTCACCGAGAACCTGCTTCCGCTGCTTCGTATCCTTCCAATCCAGGAAATCACGAAATGATCCAACACCAAGGCGCCCACGCCACACAGACGCAGTGGTTCCGTGCTCAATGAATGTTCCATTGCCGTAGATCTTGCGAGCTGGGAGTTACTGTTGGGCTTGGAATTCGATGCGGGTGGGCGTGATGGGAGACGCATCGCTCTTGAAGTTGAGCATTCCAACCACTTATTGTTAGAGCTCATATTCAGCTGGCTTTCTCGTGAAACATTTGCCTTCCCAACCTATGACTTTGGCATCAGAAATGCCCTGCATAAGCATTTTCTTCACTGAATTTTCTGGAATCGAGACTTTGTCGGAGATGAATTGGTGACTCGCAGTCTCGGATTTTCTGGAGCCCGGGTAACCAGTGGAGATACACAGGACGAGATTCTGTAGCATCTTTTGCCAGCTCGGTTCAATGACTCAATCTATAGTCACACAAAGTGTTAGTCACGAAACACCCACGGGATATGGAAAGAGAACTTGAGGGCCAAAACTATTCTGCGTTCCACTGCCGACGGCGCAGTAAACCTCCAATCTCGATCCCTGGAACTGCATGGACGGGAACAGTGAGGAAGCAAAAGTAGAGAGCAATGTTGTGAGAAAGAAGAATTAGGGGGGGTCGGAATGTGTGGCCATGATGGAGATAAGGCCAGAAAGCTCCTTAGAACACTATCCCCTTCCGTCTAAGAGCGAGGCTATGTGTTATAGGGAAGGAGCCCGTTCTAGGTTGTGCACTGGGTGTGGGAGGGAAGGCGCGAGCCCCCAGCGGCGTCTCCTTGGACCTCCCTAGAGATCACAGAATGTACTTGTCTCACGACGACTTTGGTAGAGCTCGGTTAGGAAATACTTCCCCACGACCTACCTACCTAATTTTGGTGTACATGCCGAGATAATCTTGATCTGCGCTTGTATTACGGATATCACTTGATGGCTTGGTATCCAGGTATGGCATGAAATAGGACCTGAATCAATCCTCTGAGATGTATTAAGATCGGCTGGAAGCAATGCTGACTGAACCGAATAATTCGATATGCAAATTGAGGACGGTTGTGGTAGCATCTACAAGTCTGTATTCCTCTTTGCTATGTGGATTCATGTAAACTTCATCCCGCTTCTGAACGCCGATTAGAAACAAAGGAATGTAATCTCGTCTCACTCAATTGTTCATCCTTTCCAAGAATTGCTGAACACCCACGCGACCTTTGGCGGTTGCCAAATCCAGCGCCGTCCTACCGCCTGGATCTCGTACACTCACATCGGCGCCAGCTGCAATAAGCTGCTGCACAGTAGTCAGATGGCCCAGTAAGGCTGCCCAAAGGAATGGTGTCCGGCCGGCCTTATCGTGCAAAGCCATGTCAGCTCCGGCTGCAATGAGCTGCCGCATAACAGCATTGTTTCGTTTCCTGGCAGCCCAGATCAGTGCCGTATTGCCGTCTCTGTCCTGATGATTTATCTCAGAGCCGGCTTCAATGAGCTGTCGCACAACATCTCTGCTGCCTTTTCTGGCTGCTTGCTCCAGCGGAGTTCTGTTACGCTTGTCCCCTGTCCTGATATCAGAGCCGGCTGCAATAAGTTGCTGTACAACGGCCTCTCGATCTTGAGCAGCTGCGTAGTGTAGCGCTGTCTGGCCTTCATTGTCTTGTACACGAAGGTCAGCGCCGGCGCCCATCAACAGTTGCACGATATCTATATGGCCCCTTTTAGCTGCCCGCTGTAGCGCTGTCTGACCCATCGTATCCTGTATGCTGACATTCGAGCCGCCTGCAAGGAGCCTCTGCACAATAGCGAAATGACCGCTGTCGATTGCTGAAAGTAGGGCCGTTTTGCCATGTGCATCCTGCATATTGGCAGCAGCACCGGCGGTGAGAAGCTGCTGAACCATATCATGATAGCCTTTGCCAGCTGCAAGATGTAAAGGTGTTCTTTTCACCACATCGTGAATGTTTATATTGGCCCCAGCTGCCACGAGTTGCTGTATGAGGGCCCTATCATTTCGCTCAGCTGCAAAATGCAACGCTGCCCTGCCGTCTTCGCCCTTCAAGTTTATATCAGCACCTGCCGCAATGAGTTGCTGAACAACACCCCTGTGACCTCCTCTAGCTGCCCACTGTAGGGATGCGAAGCCGCTGGACTTTTCGTTGACTGTATCAAGGGCACCCCTAGGAAGTCGCTCTATCACTACTCCGAGCCCGAAGTATGCGGCAAGCGTTAGCGCAGTAGGTTTATCAGGGCCAATGTAGAAGTTTCTAGCCGCTTGATATATTTTGAACCATGCCTGAGAAGCGAGCGGGCGCGCAGTGAAAAAATCCATCGCAGTTTTGATGATGGAAGGTTTGTGCATCCCGCCGCCTTTTCGAAAGTGCTCAGCCCAGTGCTGCGCTGCGTAGCTCATTAATGGGCATCCTTTGACAGCGTCCCTTATCTCCATATTACCCTGATGTTGGTCAAGGCGACAATCAGACAAGGCGATCCGCCAAAGGCATATCTCGGCAAGAATCTGATTGGATTCTTGAGGTTGAAATGTAGACTTCCATTGCGACGAAGAGGTAGGCGATATGCCGTCATTGGCATCCGATGGCTGAACTGACTCGTCTGAAGAGACTAAGAATTCTCTGGCTGTTTGGTGCACCAGGTATATCTTGGAGTTGACAATTCTCACAAAGGCACCGCACAGGTCTTGAATGTCATTACAGACTTTTGTCTCCGGGATCGACTTATTGTCATCAGGCGGCTTGTGGCTGGGTCCGATTGCCAGAGCGAATGACATCTCCTTCAATGTCAGTGGCCTTTGAGCTGCCAGAATTATATGTAGAACCCGCCGAGCGGATTCTGCATCCTTGACCTTTGCCAATATGTTTTCGTAGGCTTCGTCTACTGTTTGAGGGAGATTCTGGATCTTTGATCGAATGTTTTCTTGGGTGAGAAGAATGTTGTCGGCCTCTTCTATGACAAGATGCACCCACAGGTATGTGGGGTTAGGATTTCGACAGAGTTCTGCGATGAGAAAATCCCCGTCTTCGGGACCCAAACGGTGTTTCTGTATTAATCTTCCTGCTTTCTGTTGTATTGCAAACCTGATCTCACTGATCATGCCAACCTCTCCGTCACTCTCGCCGCTCAAATGTATGCTTACTCTCAAGCGGTCTAGTGAGGAAGCATCCAAGCAAGGCCGACTTGTCACAAGAAATTTCAGTCTCACTGGCTTGATTTGTGATTGAGAGTAGAGTTTGCCCAAGGCGTCGATGAATTGACTCCGTCCTGGTTCACTGGACTCGTCCAAGGCATCGAGAATACAAATAACTTCTTTGAATTTCTGGCGCTCTGCCACGGAAAGCAAGACGGCCCAGAGGTCGTGGAATAACTCCAAAGTCTTCTCGTAATTTTCGGTGGCCGTTTGGAGAACTTTTGGGGGGAAATTGGTTGAAAAGTCCTTGAACACTTGGTGTAGTATGCAGAATAGAGCGTCGGTTACGGATCTCTGATCCGAGTAGTCGCTATTGAAGAAGAAGTAACATGTCAGTCTCTTGTTGCTGCTTGGTAGCACATTTTCGGCCACATGTCTAGCCAGCACCGACTTTCCGCATCCGGGGTCAGCTGAGACCCAGAGAACATTGGCCACGTGGGAACTGCGCCAGTGTTTATATAGGGAGTGGTTTAGGAACCACTCGAATGTTCCCTCTGTTTGAGGCGGGTTGGGCTCGTCTTTGCGTTCCCAATAGGGGCAAGTCAGCAGCTTCGGAAACCATTCTCCTTCTGCTAGAAATTCCTCTGCTGGAAGTTAGCGGGTGGATTGAAAGAGACAATATTTCACGTACGTTTTTGTTTGTTCTTTTTAATTTTCTTCTTCAGCCTTTTCTTCTCTTGCTTCCTCTTCTCATTGTCGATTCTCTGAAGTGAAAGGCGTAATTCGGCTTCTAGTAGCTGATAATTGGAATCATTTGGTGAACCAAATTGACACATGGTTTCGTGGCTCCCTTCAAGCGTCTTGATTTTGGTCCACGACGAATTGACCCGAGCGGATGCGACTGGAACAGCCTTTTACGATCAGTATATCTTGCAAAGCTCGAAGGCGGACAACGTACCAGCTCAGATATAGACCCAGGAGGTCCACCCACAACGGCCCCAGTAAATATCACAACGAAAATCTTTTTGTCCTTGGGGCGATCTAGCATTTTCTCAAAAGTGTCCTTAATACTCTCCAGCTCCTCTTCATTATGTTGAGAATCCAATGTCGCAACTAGGGTTGTATTCGTAGCGGCGAACTCGCTCGGAATCTTCTTCAACAGCCCGCTCCATGATTCCCCGTGAGGTTTGGAGTGAGGGGTTCCAAAGAAGATGGTCTCCTTTGTTACATTTCGAATAGATGCGGTAGAACGCCGAGATAAGTCCAGAGCCTGTGACGAATTTAGTTCAGCTTTGTCCGTCATCAAAAATGTGCTGCTTGCAACCTTACCTTCTTTACAAGGATCCCACCAAGGCTGTGTGCTATAAATATTATGGGACGGCCCGGCTAGATTGACATAGTTAACATGAACGTTTGTATATGATGAGCGGCGATGATAGACTTACCACACCTCTCCGCTCACTTTCCAGTGTAGAAAGAAGATGGTTGCTTAGAGAGAGAAGATTTGCCTGGAAAGGTTCCTCTTGGTCTGGCTGATAGCCATAGGTCATAACTCGGACACTGGGAAAATCCCGCCCGAGCAAATCCTGAGGCCAAAAGACTTTTGAAGAGGCGTCAGAAGAAACCGACCCGCCCTGATTCAACTGCGAGCCTTCCACACAAGTATTACCGATAGGAACTATGGCTATCCCCTGTGCGTTTGCTTGTTGTTCCTTCAATAGTTCCACGTCATCGACGCGATCTCGTTGTCGGTCTCGAGTTTGAGCTTCATCAGGGACTCTCTGCTCGTCTTGCTTGGTTGATGAAGTACTCTTTGACCATGTACTTTCCGGATGTCCACCAAAACCATGGACAAGGACGACGCTGCATGTAGTATGTTAGTTGGAATCGAGCCTGGGACGCGCAACGAATGAACTCCAGGGAGCAGTACTCAGCCTTCGGGTTCTCCCCGCCGTTGAAGAGGCAAGTAAGCCCAACATTCGAGGTGTTTGTCATTGTCAGTGTCGCTCAAGCTGATGAATCTTTATCAGATGCTGGTTCACAGGTAGCGAATAAAATAAAACTGGTGGTGAGGTCTGGATGATTCCTAGAACAACGTTTACCTGACCACAACATAGGTGTAGGTTCCCCGCCCCAGCCTTGATACCCAACGATGGGCTTGCATGAAATCGGTCAAATGTAACTCCGACCAGCCAACTGCCCTGGTCATTGCAAGTAGCATCCGAGATGCACTTGCTGCAGAATATACTCGCTACAGGCAGAACAGAGTTACATTCTTGACAAGAAGGATCGTTTGTGCCGAGAAGCTTGCGGTACAAGGGACTGACAACTGGCACTTCGGCCATGGATACACGTAGCTTCCTCTCCACTGTGCAAAGCCCACAATTGCTTTAAGGTTGTCTACAGCGTGGTTTAGTATGCGGGAGTAGCATAAGCGCTTTGAAGGTAAATGGTCTACGGCCAATTAACAAAGTACGAGGTGATCCTATGCCAAGAGCAAGGACAACTGCTCAAGCAAGGCGAGAGGGATCCTCAGCACTAAGATGACGATAGGTTAGTTCTTCCTTGATAGTGCGTAGAATCAGGCAACACATAGGTTCGGAACGGGATGATGAGGAGACAAGGAATGTCGCAGGGCATCGTGTTGCTTTCCTAGATGACAGTACTAAGGTATGTGGTCTGATTCTTCGCCTGGGTATCGGGTTTCTCATCCCCCTCCCATTGAAATTTGTGTGAAATTTCGAGTCTCATCATCCCATCAAATATTTGCCCAGCATCACTGATCTTCTGCATGTGTTCTTCGTCAAGAGAATCGTGGAAAGCCTGCAGTTTAGCATCATCTTTCACAAGATGATGCCAAGCCTCCTTCTTGATGTCAAATGGGGCCTGGTTGTCAGGTTTCAGCAAGATAAAAGGCAAGAGACCCTCATAAGGCCCACAAAGCTTCAGCCACCATCGCCCTTCCTCAAGATGCCGCCCGAGCTCCTTTATTCCCATGCCGTGGTTCTTAGCGGTCCTCTGCATTGAATCGAGCTTGGCGCGTTTCAAGCCGGTCCGTTTCCTAATCTTCTCGGCTGCTTGAGCAAGCCTCATCTGGCATAATCGAACGATGAATTTCCCCAGTGCAAGATTCTTTGTGCTGAACTGCAAACATTTGATCTGATATTCTACACTCAATGTAGTATCGGGGCTGTCGCTGCTGTATGAAAACCCATTCTTGCTGCGTGAGCTTCTCCACTCGCGAACAAGCGACATAAATTGTGCAATAGCCAGGGAGCTTTGGATGGCCGCCGCCGGTGCCACGACATCGGACTGCCCCGGGTCGACAAATTCGACCCGGGGCACAATACAACCAGGATCTCGTTTCTTGATCGACTTAAGAATATCGGTTATGTTGGTTGGCTGAAGTCTCTTCGTTGGCCTCGCAGCTGGCAGCGGCGCTTGAGCTCCTCGTTTTCGCGATGGTTTAGGCGGCGCGACGCGATTGTTCGAATGCTCTCTTGTGAGTTCATCTAGACCGCACCAGTCACAGCTAACATGTGTATTCGATACCAGCTGGTCTCCCGCCAATTTGAAATTAATCGACTGGGCAATACAGAACCCCATGTTCACGACACAATGGTATTGGCACAAGTCAGGGACGATCATTTTCCCAGGGGTGGCGACATGGATGGTAAAGTTGATGCCTTCTTTTTCGAGCCTCCAGGGCGCGATCAGGAGACTTTGGTGACCGACCCGATGACTGCACGTGTTACAATCCCAGTGGGTGGAAACAAACTCCTCGAATTTTGTTGTGTGGTTCATTGCAATCAAGATCCAAAGCTTGACCCCGAAGAGCACCACGTTCGCAGACCGGAGACCGTGACGTGTCGATAGATCGCCCCCGTCCATAGAGCTCAGATCCTCCCAGTGAAATCGGTTTGCAGATCCGTCTACACCAATATGGTAATATGGACGATGCAAGTCAGCCAGATGCTCGTTAGCCAAGATCTCGTGCCCTGGATGCAGTGGAGTCTTATTCGGAACGCTCGACGCATGGCCACTGTAGTAAAAGGCGGGTTTGGTTGGTAGATTTCCCACATAGTCATTGAGATACTGCCTTGCTTCCGCAATGGTTGGCGTCTTAGCTGCCTCGAGGCTCCTTGGGAAGGCGACGGGTTCTCCGGTTGGGTTGGGGGCGAAAACAAACCCATAGCCCTCCCCTTTTGGACCCCTCTGGAAGGCATTGGTGGTGTATTGGCAATCACCGTCGCAAACATCTAGGTAGGTCTGAAACGTAGCCAGGTCAATGGGATTGTGAGGAACTGAAATCTCGTTGGCGAAGTCTGGATGAGGAATGATTTTTTCGAGGGCAGGGATCAATCCTTCGCCCATCTCAGCAGAGGTAAGTGTGAAATTCGAGGTAGAGCCATTGGGGGCAGCAATTATAGATCCATTCTGGTCGTTGGTGGACGGTTCCGGAGCAGATGCCTTCTCAGCTTGGACATCCAAGGCCGCCACCACATCTGAAGTGGTCGTCGCTTCGACTGCGCGCCGAGAGCATCTCACAGCTATATCTCCAACACTGGCGGGTGTATTCGGGGCGTATTTCAAGCGCCGCTGTGTAGCTCCGCCGCCCGAAGCCATGCGCGTGCCCTGCGCAGCCTTGCCACGGCGGCGATCTGAAGCGGGATGGAGCCCAGTATCTCGAGGTGAAGGCTTTGCTCTCGCGGCGACTGGTGCCTCCTGTCGCGCCACTAGAGCCTGCGTTTCGGAGCGAAGCGACTGGGTCTCATCCCTCAACTTGTTCAGGAGAGCCGTCACCTCCCTCAGCCAGGGGGGCGCTTCGCTATGTTCTGTTCGCCCGGGACCACGAGAATACGGCTCGACTCCACGGTCTCGGCGTCGGCTTGATTTGTTCTGGACATAATCTTGGACAGTGTCGAGGGTCTTTTCTATGCGGTTCGCGTGCTCAAGGAGCATAGCAAGGGCCGGGTCTCGGGGGGCCATGATGCAGCTCAATTGCGCAGAAGAACGTCGTGTCGGAGTGCATGTGTGATCATGACAAGATTGCGACACCTGGCTGAATCAACCACGAACTCAGCTTGCGCCACATGCAGCTCACTAATCCAATGGTTGCTGCGTCAAGCGGTGGCAGCTCCTGCAGTGCACCATCGCTCCCCCGGACGCGAGCATGGCGGGCTGCCAGCCGAACTGAATTGAATGGAATAGGCCACAACCTGCGTGCACAGAGTACTAAAAATCAGAGGAGAACCAAAATGGTATTCGGTCGTAATCTGTGTACGTTGCAAGAAGGGCGATTGAAGCGCTCACGAAGACTCGAATCTACCTTCGGAGGTGTTTGCGCGAATGCCTCCTTCCCCAGTAAAGACCTCCCCGGGAGCGAGTTGGGGCAGGCGCTCAGGTGCTCTGTGGGCTGTTGCTACATTGAGCTTGGGGTGTTTGTCAGCGGAGCCACGCAAACCTTCCAGACTTCCAACCTTATTTTATCGCCTAGAAACAGGGCGGGAAGACTAAGCACGCTTTTCAAATTCACCAAGGAAGCGGGAGTGGTATTCGATAATTTGTAAGAGGCTTATTTTTGTTTGACCTCTGTCCAATTTTTTTTGGTGGTGTCCATACAATAATACTGCGTGACATTGAAAAGAAAACCTTCTGTTAGAGCTAGTTCCATCCCCATCACCGTGACACGCAGTCTCACCCTTTACACCTTCTCAGCCTGGCGGACAGTTTGGTTTTGGCCTTCAATAACACTTCTAACAGTCCTTGGGTTGTCGATATTTATCTAGATCGCCTTGCACCAGCATTCCGGGCATTGAAACGAGGCCGCTTTTTTGAGACACCAATCCTTCACTATCTCACGATACTCTTTTCGAACGCTGCAGCGCGGCTTCACATAGACTTTATACTGCTTCCCCTTGGCACGCTACTAGGTCTTCTTCTTGGGCGATGGGAGTAGCAGTGGCAGTAAGGCGCCCATTCCTTGTCTGCCCTCCTCCGAGCGTCTACCGGCCGCATATGCAATCACCGCCCTGGTCGCGATGCCTTGCGGTGCTGAGGACCGACAGGTTGAGGTCGGATGCGACCCTGAAGAACTGCCTGCAAGTCACAGCCAGGTGCAGTTTGTCCATCGGGCGATCCACATGCTCGAATATCATGCGAAGCACCTTGGTCGGAAGACCCTGGATCACCGGCTCCTCGGGCTCGATCCGCTTCTCATCAAGAACCTGGCCCATCTTCCGATTAGCAACGAAGCTCCTATGGGCGGCGGGGAGGGGATGCTCCATCTTACCTCCGGGGTCTTCAACGGGCCCCAGAGCCATTCTCCATGATCACTCTCGCACCGCCGGAGCTCAAACAGAGCGAGGTCAGTGCTGTCGGTCATGATGTTGCTTTGGATACTGGCAGTACCCCTTGGAGAAGGTTTAGTCGGCTTAGGTTGATGTTGGTTGAATGCTGCTTGAGGAGGCGAGGAGTTGGGACAATGCAAGGTTTGCCAGCCGGGTGAGATGGGACTGGGCGAGCCCTACGCAAAGATACCATTCTTGCACAATTGTCATTGTTCTACTCTTTCAGCTCGATGCCAAGCAATCCGTGCACTGGATTGGCGTACGCAACTCCGTGGCAACCTATCCTGCCGCCAACCTACCGTATCAGCTGCAGCAGTGCATGCATTAGCCACTAGACTTACCTCTCCTCTCTGTTACACAACAGCTTCCGGTGTGGAGAGGAACAACAGAAACCAATGGCTCAACAGGTTTCCGCTTTTCTCTGATGCAAATAATGTATTGACCACCCCTAAGCGGTGTATCGGATGCAGCAAGCACTCACCGGCAGTCCACGTTGGTGGCACGATGTTGCGAAGCCGGTCAATAGAACGGCACTCGCTTCCCAGTCGACACAACTGACATGAACAAGAACAACGCAGCTGGCTTTTGATACGACCTTCCCATCCTCAGCTCCGAATTATACCGCCTCCCATCCACAAGTTTCCATGTCTCATAGTAGAACCCACCCCCCTCAGCCCATACCACCCCCCGAGATACTTGTGAATGATCTCCTCCCCGAGATTATGCAGCGTCTGCATGCCAGCGAAAAATCTACCGAAGAAGGACGCACAAGACTGGGGGGCAACCACCAGCACTTGGCCGTCTGTCCCGACCTGGTAAACCTTGCGTTTGGGAGCCCGATCTCGGTTGCGAACTTACTCCACTACTTGGCGTCGGCATATCACGCATAGCGAGCCTTCTGGTCGGAGATTACCAATGCCACGTCGGGTGATGCTTGTGCCATCTTGAAGACCGGTTTGGGCTGCTGTGGCAGGAATCAGCAAGGCATATGGGCCAGGCATCATCACCCGCTCTCATCTACGACCATACCTACTAGACAGCACTGGATCCCGTCTGCTCTCCGCACGTTAAGCTAGTAAGGGGCCGATTAGTAGTTGGGTCGGTGACGACCAGCGAATACCGGCTGTTGTAGGTTTGCTTTTTCTCTTTTGTTTCCTCTGGTGTGTCCGGGTCGTATTTTTGCTGATACAATGTGATGTATCAGGAAGTTCCCACTCGGTCATTAGAAGAGCAGCGCCTCATCCTTCAGGCCAAGGTCTGGCCCTCGTTCCGCCAAGGAATAGTAGATTGAAGGCTTTGCTCAACCCTGCGTACTGTCTTGCAGATGCATTCCTCATCTACTTTCTCACTGCCACCGCCGTCTACATTTATAGAACAAGGCTCGCTAGTATCCATTTGACCCGGGAAGTGCCACCTGCCCTAGGTACCTAAGCTGGCGTAAACTTGGACGACGTGATGGTCCCGAGCAACCAAGAGGGTTTGGAGCTTCCCGCCTATCCTAAAGAGGGCTTCCAGGACGATGATCCCATTGCCTGCCTGTCAGGGAAGTTTGGACTCTGATGGGAGAGGCCTGATGTTAGGGTACTTCTGTCCTCTGATCCTCGGCGATAGTTGACTAATTGGTCCTGCCCCTCCCAATGCAAAGTTCTTTTTCCATGATATATTCTTAGTAACTTGCTAAGCCGAAGGGGCGACGCATTCTGTCATTGGGCTCATGTGATTTCAGACTTGGTTCTGGCTGCGAGGTATTGTCATAGATGCGTGGAGTTTTCGATTGCGGCTGAGAATATGACCTGTAGACTCTCTCGTCAGATTGGGCCAAGCGCATTCATGCCTCCTCTTTACTATTGATTCGGAGGCAGTCAATGGGTGAGGCGAGAGCCGAAACTTGTCCACCAACGAAAGGCCGATGGCATCCTGAGGGAGCCTTTCCCTTGTATTCACACCACCCAAAGGTCTCGTTTGCATATGCCGCTTGCTCAAGCCAAGAGCCTCGTTTCTACTTTCCTTGGTCGTAATGATACGCTCAACTAGTTGCAATTGTTCTTTTGCTGTGGAGTTCTCCCTGTCTCGGCATCACCGACAAGAATTGCAAGACCTGTGGCATTTCATGGACAGGGGATGCTAGCCGAAGCGAAGGGAGCACGAAGAAGCACGACAAGGCTGGGAAAGTTTCACAGTTTGGAGCCACTTCAGGCCATGATCGTCCTGATGCCAAGTCGGAAATCTGAGATATGAGAGAGTTCCGGGTGCAAGAGATAACAATACGGATGGGGATATGCATGGCGTTTGTTGAGCTGAAAGCCTGAAAAGCAAGCACCCAATGAGCCTGCAGATACCCACGACCAATTGGCGCATCTAACCCTCTTTTCATCAGCTTGCAGCGCCGCATTTTTCTGGGTGTATAGACCAGCCTATCAGTTATTTTGCATTCCTGCTTGTCCACGTAATTGCAACGTTGCATCGCGAATGGGTCGTGACACTCCGGAAAAAGAAACGGGCTGCTGAGTGGCTTTCGATCGAGGTTCATGAGTCCAGCCTGTTTCGGCTCTTGACCGGTCAGTCACTCACACACCGCCTCACCAGACCTCACGCCTGAAGAGAGGGGTTCTTTTTGGGGGCATCTGCTCCTGTAGCATCTAGAAAATGCAATGCGGTAACAAGTTTTGCGAGAGAGTAAACTGATGTTTCCATGGAAAGAATTAGTATAGAAATGGGCGCCTCTCGAAGAATTTGCCCTGGTGTTGACCGTCTCTGGGTGGTGCCATAGTGCATTTCCCCCCTTGATCTCGATCGGAACAAACCTAAGACGGCTGCATGGATCTTCTGTTCCCCCAGATCCGCTTCGAGCGTGATGGGATGGAGGTGACCTCAAGGTTGCGAGCTGCATCAAGCAGTTGCAGGGGCCCACTCTACGTTCCTGGCTGAGACAACATATTACTATCATTTGCCACGCTGAGAGACAATAGTGAGACAATTGGCAGAGAAGGGGGGGACAATAAGGCTTTAGAGAGTTAACCAGAGCCGAACATGATACAGGTATTCTCCATGTACGTGTCTGCGTGGCCTCGAGGCAGGAGCTCTTGCCTTCCCTAAGCAACCGGAGGATCTCTTTATATGAGCAGAGATTCATGTATCCTGATTCCCAATATACACAGCATCATGAGGTGTTATGCAGCGTGCGGACATGAGACGGCCAGGCACCTGCAACATATCTTCTGGAAATGGTGACTTGATTCCTTTAGGCGACCAATTACTCGACGCTTGTTCGACTGAGGAAAAAACAATAGCGTGAGTGGGCATATGCAAGCCCAAGGTGTGTCTCAGCCTTTCGAATAGTGTCGAGGGATGACTTCGGCCAAACTCAGCTAGATAGCCCCAACATATGTTTTGCTTTTTGCAAAGGATTATGAGGCCATTTACTGCTCAATGTATCTTCAAAGTACCCTTGCGATCAAGACTGGCTCTGTGTCACTTCAAGGAGGCTCATTGAGAACCAACAGTCTACCTGTAGAATAGAGCTAAAGGTCTAAGGAAAACCGAAGGTGATGGAGCATAAGGAGAGCCTGATCAAAATGTGACAGCCTAAGTCCCCTGGTCGCATGATGGTGGCCGATCGCAGGTATCGGCCCAATGGGACGATATGCTCGATCGCGTGTCCGTATTGAATGTCATATTCGATAAGGATCCGATCCTAAGCCTGATGATGGTTGGTCGCATCTAGACTATGCTTTCATGCAATCCCTCCCAAGGCGATTTCTGTGCTGTCTCAGTCGTAAGCCCATAGTTAGCTGGCAGGTATATATATGATCCGCCAGTCCGCCTTCAAGGAGCTTAATCGGCAGAGCTCTTTCTTCCTTTTTAATCTCAACCGTTTATCTCTTCATTTTCCCACGCAACCATCTATTTGATCTGATCCACCATGACCAACGATAACTTCGATGAGATTTCCCCATTTGATGAGGATATCGACGTTGAAGAGCTTCTCGAACTTGAATTCGATGAGCTTCCCGAACTTGATGACCTTCCCGATTTTGAGGATGTTCCCGATTTTGAGGATGTTCCCGAATTTGATGAGTTTCCCGGCTTTGATGAGTTTCCCGTGCCATCACCTAGATGGAGAACGTACAGGGCCGAAACCCTCAATTCCCAATGGGAAGGAATCAGGAACGCTCTTAAATCATCGCAACGAAACCATGTGACGTGTCTAGCGTTCATGCGGCTAGCCGTTGACTTGGCTCAAGTCCACTCAGAACGCTTTGGTCCTCAGATCATTAAAAATCAACCTCTCGAACCACTTCTAGATTTCTTCAGATTCATGGAAGGCCAGAAGCGCGACCTCCACTATGAGACTGCCGTGTTCATGGAATCCTTCTTGATGATGGCAATCATTGAAGAGAAAACAAGGATTTACTCTCAGATTGGCGCAGAGTACAGCACAGCACAGTCCTATGAGGACTTTTGGCAGTCGTACTTCAACAATGGAGGCTATTCGCACGTGGTCCCGGCATTCATTAAATTTGACGATCAAGGAGTTATTAGCTTGGGCGAAGACGAGACGACGATCTGGGGCAATGAACGTGAACCAGAATTTGTCCAAGCTGATAAGTATTGGGTGTTTGACGGCGATGCCGCCCAGGACGGGATTGTGCGCGTGCGAAGGTATGACTCGCTGGACGCTGCCCAGATGTACAGGGACTCTTGAGATTTTCTTTGTGTAGGATAAGGACACAGTCGCTCCTTTTGTGGTCTTACTTTATTTGAGGTGATTAGGAGAGTATTCATTGGGAATTAACATGTCTTCCTTGCTGCTTGTCAATATGGCGTGACTCTGTGTGACACTCCAAAGTGCTATGTAACATGAGCGAGTTCTTGCATGACGATTTGAAGAAGATTTCACGAAGTATCTAGGCGGCTGGCGAGGCCTGCTAGGTGTTCAAGTGTTTGATCGTTTGCTTGTAGTTCGAATTCTGATTGCGTGCTTGATAGTTTGGTATGCGTCGATGTTTGCTCGTGTATGTAGATCGCTAGGTCAAGTGAAGGAAGGCCCAGGGAAACCCTTGAACATGATAGAGGTCGAGCGCTGGGCCCTCTGCACCTCCATACTCCGCGGCCTCTCCCAAGATTCATCGCAGAGATGACCCTATCCATGGGCTTCTTGTCAGAGGGGGAAAATGGGATCAAAAAATCGAACGATTTCCCCGTCATCGTTACGGCATTGTTACTTGGTAAAGGCTAGCTTGTCAAGGTCTGCTTAAAGATCCTTGTGATTTTGAATTTCTTGTGCAAGTGCACAAATCTTGAGAGCAACGAATCCCTCCCTTCCAAGAATTGTTAGCGAACAACTAGAAAATGCTTCTCTAGGTCGTGTGATGCAGTTACTTGCTTCTCGGCAGAGCCATACGGTGGAGTTTTCGCCAGACCCAAGCTTCGAGACAACGGTATGGCGTGACTCAACGACTTCTCCGATTCTTACGAGGTAAATCTCCTTGGATCGCGGGTTGGCAACTTTCCCTCTTCAACCAAGGGGGATCCAACGGGGTGAGCATTTGTGAGAGTCGGCGCCGTTGGGCAAACATAGTGGTTGACGCCGCGTATGTGTCTGAAAGAAGCGCATTGGAGTGAAAAGAATATGGGATGAAAAAAGCTGAGCAGCCAGGAATAATGGCATGTTCAGATGGAATATTCGCATGTTCAGTTTTGCAGATGGACTGTGCAGGTGTTGTTTAGAAGACAAGGCGGAAGGAAGTGTGGAAGTTGAGCCTTCCTGAAATTGAAGGCGTGCTGTTCTTGGATTGATGTTACGTTGCTCCTGACAGTGAACAACACAATAAGGGGTTTTAGTGAGCTTTGAGTAGGCTCTAGATGCCTACTTCACCCCAAGGCCACCTAGGATCTGAAATAGCACCCTGAACTCCAGCGAAGAAGTCCCTGCTAAGGGCAGCGATCCCCCGAGATTGCCGCTCTATTACAACATGTTTGCAACGCGCTGTGACTTATATGTATTCCTCTGCCTTATTGCTAACAGTTGATTCTTCTCTCTCAATTTTCAATCAAGTTAGATCCATCTATCTCCTGCTTCCAACCACTGTTCCTGACCTGGCCGTGACGAGTAATTGTTCTGCCACCAAAAACCAAGTCGATGAAACGGGGAATGCGTCGACTTTTCATGTCCCTAGGTGTATGATCATCGGGAAGGCTTGATATGCTCGGCGGCCTCCTTCTTGGCCTCTTGAACCGCCGCGCCAACACTCCAAGATATAAAGAGAATTCGTGAAGCAAGATCTCTGTTGTCGCTTTGGGTCCATAGCGTGTGTAGAGCTTCGGGGGACCCGGGGAAAGCAGTAGCCGGTATATTCCAAATTGATGTATAGAATACAAAGGATCTGTATCAACTATGACGTTGTTCGCGGATAGCTGATTTTGGCAAGTGGCCTGTTGTTCTTCGATGCTCGAGGCCCTATCTAGTACCCAGAGGCCATACGTCTTGCTTCGTGGTTTTCATCACTGAGCTATGAGGTATCAGGAGGCGTGAGGGTTTGTAAAAGTCTAACACCTCAAGAGATGAAGTGTGCCGAGATGTTGTTATGGTTCTTTCCTAAAGAGGTTCTTCTTCTCCGAAGGAAGGTCGTTGGGTTTGATGCCGTTGACAGACTCTGTTGAAAGTATGCGAGATCATCTCCAAAGCCAGAATATCAATTCAGGACAAAAGATTTTGTATTTTATTCTTAAAATACATGTAGGTTTCAAACTCGTTCTTAGGCAGCTCTTTGTTCAGTAGAGGGATACGGAGGCTCCGGTCGTCGGTGGTATGCTCTGTGGAAGAGTTCTTTTGATGAAGCATAATCCGCGTTGGCAGTGTTTCCTCTACATGTCTAGTCGTATACAGCCATCTTCGGGTGTGGTCTTGGTTTCGTCTGCATCCCTTGTCGAGTTAGCGATTGATCATAGCTGCTCGTGGTGCTTCCCATCCAGGAGCTAGATATATGTTGACGTGGAAGGCCTCAGCTGATTAGAGCAAAATAGTCTGCATTGAGTCGGGTTCTTGAGTGAAATATATATTCAGAGCAAGGGCAGAATGGGGTAGCAAGAGGCGAAAACTTCGTTTGCTCGTGCATGTTTGTGTTTGCTGTCTGAACGTGCCACCTGCGTCAACGCAGAACGCTTCGCAAACAAACATGAAGGCGAAGCATCCAAATCACGTGATTCTTCTCCCGCCAGAGCCCACGATGGCCTGTTCTATCAGTATCCTTTACCGATAATGATTTATTGGTAAACCTCTTGCCTATTCCTATTCGTTGCTGACGATGGCTTTAGGCCGACCAAGTTCGTCTGTGGCAAAGCTCTCAGTACTTGCACTTCCACTCCATACTCGCAATCACGCCCTTTCCTGTGCCTACCTCGCCGAAAACCCCAGAGCTACACTCTGCATCAAGATAGAAACCTGCCGGGGATGCCAGTACAGATGTATACATATTGTGTTAGTCTAACTGAGTGTGAATTCTTCCCGTGATTGCAGAACCGACCCCTTGGTTTAATCAATGCCATTGAGGATGTATTTCCGCCCCTTCATTCTAGCGTTAAGCACCTCTAGTCATACAGGAAGATTGATTGTCCATAGGAGTGATTTTACTCCAAGCTCTCCTTCCAGCTGGGCTGATCTACGGCTGGCTGCTTGTCCTTCCAACACCCAGGCTGCAAACCCGATCAGGGTACGTCTACCACACAACCCTTTCAAAATTATAGGCTGTTATGTAAGGCAAATTCCATTCCATGCTCGTATGAATTTGTGATCCCTCCGCGCTCGTTCCTCATCTCTTCTATTGGCGCTGAACATGAACTGATAGACGGCATGTATCCTGTGTGCAATGCAGGGATGTCGACATTTTGCACAAGCAACATCCGAGCGCCCAATGTCGGTGAGAGCAGCCGCCATATCGCCCAATCAAAAACGACTCAATTGGTAAGGTCGTATCTCGGGATGAGCAAGATTTACGTGAATGTGCAGGTCTATGTTCCTTGTGATGTTGAGATGACGACACGGGCTGCATGGAGCTTACACGGGCTCATTGGCTGGGAAGATGCTCAGACAAGAGACATGGCTAGCTCCATTGGAGGCTCTGTCTCTTGGCGGCGATAGACGAAGCTTGGATTCAAGCGTCCCGGACCTCTTGCTTGGATGAAATGTGTTGCGATGGGATCCCAATTATGCCGTTACCGTGTCGGGTCGAACGACGTCTTTCTCACTGTAGCATCCCACGTCAGGAGAGATACGGTAGCGCAAATACTCGGTGATTTATTCTGGGAGTACATACGTATGCATACTGAGACATTAATTGCCTTATCACCGCTCGCAGCCAGACTATTGGCAGCCTTTAGATGACAAGTCGCGCGGTGTTGCAAGCAAATAAGCGGGGTTAGTGCCCAGCTGCTACCTAACTGCGCCTTGGCTTATGCGTTTGTAGTACCGAGAGCTCACTTACAAGTAGCACGACTGTCTCGTCGGTAAGGCAAGCAGGCAGTCGGTTCAGGTAGCTGTGGTGGTTATTTTCTGACCCGCACCGTTGGTGGCTTTGATGTCGCCAGCGCTTTTCTCTCGAAGGCGGACCGAGAGAGCGTCGCGGGAGAAAAGAGACAAAAAGAAAAAGCAAAGAAAAAAGAAAAGAAAATGAGAGGGAAAAAGAAATTGTGATAGGTCAATGACTGGGTCACGAGCTCATGGTCTATTGGGTTCTACTTCGTACCATCGGAAAGGGATCGCGGGCGGAAGGTCTGCTATCCGGGGAACTGCACTTTCATTCACTTGTCCAGCTGGTCCTTGGCTGAGGGCCCGGTGGGGCAGCAGCTGGTGCAACAGTACATACACTTATGCAGCTTACACGGATGGGAGTTGCGGCTGCCCGATGCCAACTGCCTATAGGCGACAAGAGCTGCTGCTTACTGTGCAGCATATCCCTGGTGCCCAACAGTTGCCTGGACGAGGTCCTCCGATCGATTGCTCCTCTCCGCTTCCATCAGCAGCTCCAGTACTTATCCATAGCTCATCCTCGAGCACGCCTCGTCGCACCCGCTGAGAGTCTGCCCGTTCATTATAGCCAGAAGAACGCCCCCAAAGCATCCATAAATCAGACCACCGCCGCATACTACCCGACAGAAGCTTGTCGTTGTTCGCGCCCAGCACGACCAAATGGATCCCTGTCCAGCAGACAACACTCTTGCCCAGGTATGCCACTTGCTTACACACCATGACCACAGATGCTGATTTGCCAGAAGAGTTCCACGGACCGCGGCAAGAAACGGCGAGTCGCCCCGTTCGATGATGTGAACCTCGACCATGCTCAAAAACGGGGTTGCAGATCCGCCAGGCTATCTAGCCCCAACAGCCCTGCAGAAGAAGAAGAAGAAGCAGAAGAAGACGTCGCTGAGGCCGGACCATCAGACCTTAGATATAATCCGGTTGAATTCTGGACAAAGGAGGGGAATTGGCCCCCAACACATTATTCTGAGCCGAACTTCGAACGCATCTTTGCCCGAAGGAACCCACGTCCGTCCTTTGTCCGCAACATATTTGACTCGAGTTCTTCCGCTATGTCTAGCGATGTGGAGCTGCCGGGTGATAACACAAGACCCTATCGTGATCCGCTCTATGACATGCAACTCAGCGCAGAAGACACCGCCATGGAAGTACCAGAGAGCGGCATCACGGACGAAAGCGAGTCCCAAGTCCGTGACCTCCTCACCCACGAGCAAGTGTTTCCCACTGGTACAATCTTCGACGATGGGGTTTTCGCTGCTGCTTGTCGTGGTCTCCAAGACAAGAGCCAAGCAAGAATTGTCCAGGACATCTCTCGTCTAATCGTCCCCTCGGCGGAAACCCTCGCCCTCCGTGATGGAAACCTCCGGAATCTAGTCGAGAGCGTGAAGGAACGCTGGGAGAATTCTGTCCCAGTGACCACTATCCTCCCTCAGCCTGACTACTCGGTCGGCTTCAGACGGGAGGCCTTTTCCGAACAGCAGCTTATCAAGCTGTCCCCATTCCTCGGCAACTTCCTTGGCGGGGACCAGTCCTTCTTCATGGGCACCTCCTACATGTATTTCCCATTCCTTTCGTGCGAGGTCAGCTGTGGACCCCATGCACTTGATACTGCGGACAATCAGAATACCCACAGCACGACCATTGCGGTGCGGGCTGTCGCCGAGCTCTTCCTGGCTGTCGGCCGCGAGAGCGAGGTCAACCGGAAGATCCTTGCCTTCTCCATCTCACATGATCATTGCTCTGTCAGAATTTATGGCTACTACCCGGTCATCGAGAACCGGAAGATCGAACACTTTCGTCAGCCAATCCATCAATTTGACTTTACAGCACAGAATGGCAATGAGAGATGGACGGCATACCAATTTGCAAAGAACGTCTATGAGAGATGGGCTCCCGGCCACTTTGATGCCATTTGCTCGGCTGTCGACCAGCTCCCACAGGGATTAGATGTTGAGATCTTTACCCTCCGGAGCACAGGCCTTTCCCAGACGTTCGATCACCACAAATTGTCACCGTTCTCGTTCGACTCGGCCCTGGTTGCCCCATGCACCAGCCAGCCAGGTGTTCCCGTGGAGCCGAAGGATACGCCAGACACAGCCTATACATTCCTTTAGATGGATTCGGGGGGGGCCAGGGGGTAATATTCTCATATTTCTAGTGCTATGGTGTCGTTTTACGGTCATTGTCACGCCTTTATGAATGATAGTCTTGTAGGGTCAACTTTGGTTATTAATTTGTGTTTTTTCATCTCTCATGAAGCTACTTTCTTCTCTAATTACTTTGTAGTCCCACTAAGAGACACAGCGTCTGGTGCTATTAGTCCTTGATGAGCATTGATGTAGTTACTCATCCATAGACCCCCAGCTCATGATTCAGTACCCTTCCACAGAGCTTTTCTTGAGTCACACCCATCCATAAGACCATAATTTCATTACAGTCGCAGGAAGGCTCCTCCCTGTAGGTCCGTAGCACGCAACAGGCAATAAGGCCACATTGTCGAAGGGTTCCAATCATTCATCCAGGCTTGGCACAGCCACAGATCCGCCAGCAAAAATTCGGACGCAACAAAAAGGAAATAATAAGATTAACCCTAAGATATAACGGTAGTAAGCTCTATCGGCCATTGTAAATTGGGTCAACTGCCGTCTGCCCGCCACAAGAAACCACTACCAAATCGGATGAGACATAAGATGGCAGTGAGGGTCTGCCCCGGGAGCTCGACACGAATACACCGCATTCAAGGCCTCTATGTCGATCAGCTCTAGGTGGTCTTTTGGGATAGCATCGCCATAGACCTAGCATGATGAAAGCTTGCAAAATAAATCGATACTTGTTGTCTGACTTGATAAAATGGCACTATACCGTGGTTGTTTGGGGGCGTCAGCTGTCCTTTTCCTGCACTTTTTTAAGTGGAATGATGGAGACATTTCTCATAACACACGGCTAGGTCGGGCTTCCTAGGAGTGCTGTGCTAGTTCTGCGGTGGTGGGAGTTGGTCCTGAAGCACAAAGGGAAAGATTCGAGCAATCCTAGATGGCGATGCTTTCCATCTTTCTTGAAAATAACGTAGTCGAAGTAAAGAATCAAATGAATCCGCAAAAGTGAAAAGGAAAACAAGCCTAATATATAGAAGAGGGAGGCACACAATTCGGCCGTTTCCACCGGTCACGCGGGCGGAGTTTGTATGGGAATCAGTTTGTTGAAGTAACCGAAGCACAAACAAACAAACTGAAACAACAGACAATGAAATCAGATTAAGAACTGAATTTAATAGTCGTTTGATCATGTGACTGGAACAATCAGTCAAGAAGATACGGTGGGATCTCATCCACATCACTGACCTTCCCTCGAGACTCCAGATACTCATCTCGGACATGCCGCGAGTTAATTCGTGACATGATGTTTCTCTCAATTGCGTAATCATCATCTTCGGTAATGCAAAATCCAAGGTCGTAGACGTATCCCAGATCGTTCTGAAGAACTACATCGAGCCGTACATTGGCGGAATTGCTGTTCAACCTTTCGATTTCTGGGCCATCGACTTCCATGTCCATTTTCCAGGCATTGAAGATTAGTCGAATATCAGTGAGTTTTCCGAAGCGGCCACCTCGTTCAATGGCCGCGAGTAGCTCTTCCACTTGGTCCAATATTGCGACCCCACAATCACGAACCAAGAGATTCTCCAGGTTCTCTGGAAGGCAATGAATGATTCTGGCTGCCCCTTCAATTTCCATTGGCATCTGATCATCCTCATCGTGAGTCTCGGGTTGGAAAGCGAGCATTCCAGTGAGGGCTTGCATCCCTACAGTAAGCTTCTTCAGGTTGCGCAGCTGGGGAAGCCCCGGCCCCAGGTACAGTTTGCTAGGGTACTCAACCCACTCCCAATCTTTGTCGCCATTCTCCTCCAAGTGTATGTAAAGTTCTTCCAGTGTATCAGCATGGGGCAGGAGAGCTTCGAAGATGTCTCGAGGCGTCATGAGATCAGGAGACACCTCAAGCCTACCGTAGGTAAATTCGAACTTCTTCAACGCTTTACAAGCGCCCAACATACCCGCGAGTGCGTCTGGGCAGAGGTACGAACAATGTAAAACTATCTCTTCCACTGAAGAGGATCTGAGTGGCAGGGTCTTGAACATTGTTGCTGCGATACTATCTCCATTGGCCAGGATGCACTCGTAAAAACGGATTCGTGGAAACGCCAGGATGTCTGGGGCCTCAAGATAAAAGGTCTTGTAGCCATTCTTATAGTTGGGCGTCTCATGGAAAACATCTCGGACATTGGAGAGAGGAATGGCCATTGGAGGGTGGTTTCCATCACCCCATTCAGATCCTGGGGTCTGGATAGACCTGTTGATCCCGACGAGATTGCGAATAAAACGGATCAATTGACCAAAATGTCTTGTGCCCTCCGGTTCCACATAGAGAATTGTCCGAATGTTTGGGCAGGAGAGTAAGATCAAAGCGAACTGAGAATCCGAGGTACCACTCCTGAGATCTGTCAACCACTGCTTGTACCATGATTGGGTATAACCGGAAGGCAGCTGGCCTAGGAAAAACTCGATGTTGTGCCTATAGACGGCGAGTTCGTCGCTTGTCACTGCGTCGTGCCCTTCTCCTCGTTGATTAAAACCGAGGTATTTGTCGTCGTAAACAGAACACCTTCCTATGATGACGGTTTTGACATGCTTAGCCAGCCAAGGCTTGCTAACGAGAATGTATCGCAAAAAACGAATGTTACGGACACGAGAGCATGAGCTCGAGCCACTGTAGCTGTGTACAGTGTTCCGAAAGACACTGACGGAGATTGGAAGGGCAATCTCATATAGATGCTTGCAAGTTTTCAAGATCGCTTGGATGTCTGGTTTGCCCTCTGTCTCGTCGACAAGGCACGAGAAGATTTGAGACAAGATTTCCGGTGGTAAGGTCAAGAGAGTGGTGGGCGGAATTTTTTCAACTTGTGCTTGTTGCTCCATGGCGTCTTTTGGGTTTTGGCTTAACTGGTAATCTATTCCCATTGGTGTCGTATCAGATGTGTTCTGGATTTCAGGCGATTAAAGGTGAGCTGGTGATGAGATCAAGTAGTTTCAGGCGGGTTTCGTTTGGGGCAATCAAATTTGTTGGTTGAAAAAATCGCCAATGCGATTAAAATTGTGATTCACGGTGGCGTGCGGATTCGGAGATCTCTATTGCACTTCTGAAGAGGCGGTGATGAGGAGAGATCTGGATGCGAGGAGGCAGGGTTGAGTTGGGGTGGGTTGGGTTGGGGTGGGTTGGAGAGAGGAGGAAAGTTGTGTTGGCCCTCGATTGCAGGAAGAAGAAGCAGGGAGAGCTCAAGTCGGCGGGCAGTGGCAGCCGGTCTGTGGTTTCTGCACGCAGCACCTGCGGCAGTAGAGCCTTCCAAACTCCAGGCACTCAGCGGGCGGGAAGGTGCTTCCCAGAAACCACGGCCGCCACCAATTCACAGTTTCAGTTCTAGGCATTCTGCAATTCAAAGGCTCCATTCTACCAGGTCACTTATATAAATGGCACCACAGAATAACTACCTAGTGTAGCATCGTTACACAAATGGGCATCTCTTCGAGTGCCCTACAGGTGCAGAGGAACCAAATACACCACGGAACTCCTACGATCCTGCGGAAAATACAGTATCAGTTGGTGCAATTTGAAAACAGAGTCCCTGCCTTTCGTCTCGGCTCAGGGCGTGGCCATGTGCAAGACCGAGCCTACGTGACCCTTTCATCCCAATCGCATGCACTTGCCCAGAACACAGTCTCTCAGGACGCAACTGATGGTGGTGCACTTTGCGAAAGGTACCTAATGCTTGTATGTAGGTACCTTCCGTGCTGCTTAACCACTGCATTCACCGCTAGTACTGGTTTTCGCTGTGTTTCGCTTTACACTTCACGTGCAAGATTCAGAAAACTACTGCGGACCGACCTTACAGGCAGGTAGGTGGGCTCTATACCTGGGCAAGATGCCTCATCTCCTTTTCACCACAAATATTCTGACCTCAGCTTATCGACGCAGACTTCACTACCCTTTGTTTTCCATCCTCGGACTTCTTTTTCATAACCTATACACGTCGTTGTATTCCCAGCTTTTAGAATCCCTTCCTCGATTTTCGTGATTCTAGCTCACCACACTCGCTCACCCACCAACACGTTCGCCGTGAGAACTTGAACAAAACACCCATCGTTGAAGACACACGGCCCTCCCGCCCGCTTGGGCTCGCTATAAATATTTCACGACTTTCGAGCGCATAATACAAGAAACAAATCTGTCATTCGTGGGGTCCTGCTCCTTGCCAGACCAAGAGAGGCAGCCACCGCATAGCAATCCAGAATTCAAGATAAATCATTCTACTCCCAAGAAGCCAACCAATGGGCTGACGGTACCAGACAAGGATGCAATTATCGACGGTTGCTAAAGCTACGCGGATTTTTAATTTAGCCTCAGCTCCGATTACACCAACGGCTGGAGGAGTTTCCACCTTTAACACACCAGTGGGGGCTATATTGCGCAGGCAGATTACCAGACTGCTCGTGTAGGGTTACCATGGGAAATTCAGTTTCGCGGCGCTCTTGTGACCGACGTGGAAGGGAGTCGCGGCACCAAAGATTTACCCATACAGCGACCATATTCCGTCTTGCTAAGACGGGGTTGTCCGAGAAACAGAACAGCACTGTTCCAGAATACACACCCCTTCATGTGAGCGAAGTACATGACAAATCAAAGACCACAGCTGCGCTGCTGCCCAGATGAAGGCGTCCTCCGGCGATCCTCTAGCGGCCGCATCCCATACTTCGATAAGAACTCATATACCTCAATGTCGACTGATGTGGTGGCACCCTGGCCGCCTGTCCTCTGCCCCATGTGGAGCTGCTAGGTCTACGGCGCCCCGAACCTCTCGAGCAGCTCAACCTGCCGTTTGAACTGCGGGTCGCTCTCGCGGCCCAAGGCGACTCACGGGCCGTAGTGGCACCGAAACTCGCCACCCTTAGCAGGATCGTCCTACCTGTTTCGTCGTGGTGTGGCCGTTACCCCGGTTGATCACGGCCCCGCCCAAGAATCCAGCTAAGATCGAGCACTGCCCTGTTAATGGTTGATGAAGGGCTAGGCCCGGCGCCGGGAGATGGCTGCGTCATGCTAGGTCGGCCGGGTGGAGTAGCCCAATATGGTTATGATTATGGCATTTCCGGCAGCCCCTTAATCATAGTCCGGTGAGTAGTGCCGGGGCTGCCTGTACCAGCTGTCGTGTCCTCTTAGAAATGGAATCAATAGAGATCTTGGCCCTCTAGAAGGCAACACTCTCGCCCCCAGAATAGCAGCCAACTCGTTTCTGCGAGTATGCCAATCTACATGGAAATATAAAGTCAGAGAGTTCAAGGATCGGTGTTTGACGTGGGTCCTTCACAACACGAAGTCTCCGCACCAACTGGAACATCGTGGCGGAACCGTCTTGTTTTCCATGCCGGCTGTTGTATGCATCAAGCTCCGTCGTCGTTCATGCTACCTCACTAAGGGCTCGGCATTTGGCTGTGTAGTCTTTCTTCGAGACCCGACCACCCCGCTCAAGTCCGTGCTCTTAACTCCAGTGCAGTCATTAGACAGCTCTGCCAAATTTTCCAGGCACTATTTTGTGCAGCTTGGTTATCTCAACCTCAAAGCCTCTTCTCCCTTCAAGCTCGTTGTCGAGGATTTTGAGAATCGCAATGTGATTGGTCGGCTCATCATAAATGACCAGCGAAAGTCCCTCACGTGCATTTGTGAGCGTGCTGACATTTTGCTAGGGTCGTACGATGATTGGCTCCATGTCAGTGATTGCCTGCAATACCCGAGGTAGAACGGTTGCTGAGTCATCTAACCTGTGCACAGGTTAGCTGAGTCATCTAGCCCGGACGCAGGTTAGCTGAGTCATCTAGCCTGTGCACAGGTTAGCTGAGTCATCTAGCCCGTACGCACATAGGTTATGTTAGCTGAGTCAAGTCCAGGTGCAGGTTTGGAAACTACCCTACATGACACGTTTGGTGACTGAGCAGAACTGCTTTTGAAGAAAAGAAAGCAAGGACGTGGCTAAGGGAGAGCAAACTAAATGACAGACTGAATAAGCGATTTGCGACTTCTATACGAAGCAGCTCGCGAAGTCCATCCTATTGATTCTTGCGTAGTTGAATCATGCTGTGAGCACACTCTATGTGAGACAAGCTCTGTTGTGGAACTGCACCTCAAACCAGGTGATGGTAAGGTTAGTCGGTTTTATTACTCAAATCATGTTATTATCTACTATCTACGCTAAGGATCTCCATCATTCAACTCGTCCTCCGGTTCCAGGGTGCAGAGGTGACCTTTCGCTTGGTCGGCTGGAGCTTCTCCCCGCGGAGCTGCGGAGCTCGCAACAAATTTAATCCACGCCTGCTCTACGACTTGGCCTGGAGTTTGACACAGTCTGAGACTAAGGTATTCAGGGAGAGCCACCCATTTCGATCGCCACAACGGGGGAAATGTCAAGTTCCGACTACGAGGCGGACGAAGCTAGAATATTCCAATTTCTCGAAGGCCTATGCACGTACAAGCTTGATTGGACAAATACTGGTCCAGGATTCAACAATGAGTCGAACTACTATCCGGCTCGTTTGGGGAGGTTTGGGGGCTATTATTCCGGGAGTAGACACACTAATCAGGCACTGTAAACCTGAAACGTGCACCCACCTTAGGTTCCTTGATGGCCCTGCTCGACCAAGAGCCTGAAAATACGTGGGCACCTACCGGAGCCTTTCGCTTTATTCTCATGATGAAATGAGAGAGAATGTGAATGGCAAAATAAATTTCCATGGCCGTGTGACCACTTTCTCAGACGAGTATTCACTGCCGTAGCACACCTCGGCAGAACTGCTGCATAGTAGAGGATTCTGGTTTGGTAGGTATTCGCTGGCTGCCTGATGTAGATTTCTAGGATCTCCAAATTTTCAACCACCGCTATAACCCAAGTCTGTCGGATGGCAGAATTCTCCTGAGAACTAATCTGGGCGGCAATGGTATGCGATTCTCCGACGCTACTTCAGTATTCGGCATTTCATTCAAAGTGTCACAGTTCTCTTCGTAGAAGAATCCCTAAACACTCGCTCTTGCCCGACACCTGTATGCAAAGTGAATCAAACTCGGCTCAACTAAGGCAAGCGATAAGCCACATGCTGCAGCCCCATCTGGTGTCCAGTGGCGCTGTTGTCGCATTGCACCTATCAACACCTTATTGTTGACGATGCCCCGAGAAACAAGCAAGCTTTAACTGATCAGAATAGTTAGTCTAGTCTGGGTATGTACCATTCAACCCATTCGAAATCACTCGCTAACGATTATCTTGGTAAATAGGATACCTTTCTCTTCTACCCCGGATACGGGGAGGCCTTCGATCCTCCTTCGAAACGCTTGACATCGAACCGCGGTGGAATCTACTCCAATACCATCTTAATATTCTACGACATTCTTCGAATCCAAAGTGGTCAGCTTCTCCTACGAACGACAGCTGGGTGCAGGCTGAAGCAGGTTCTAGATACCGTGCCAGGACATGGCCTAGACAGTCAATATGTTGTTCTGGGTACTTGTGCTTCCCACCGGTGGCCAAGTTACATGATCACATCTTTACTGCATCTAGAGTTCTCCCTGTATATACTGGACTCCTTGTCTCTCGTTATTCGATAACTCCCCGCGGCCGGCCAGCGCCCCGATTCTACACACACGAATAGCCTCAGTCGACCAAGTTGTCGTTGGAGTCGTTGGAGGTGGGATCTGGAAGAGCAACAGGTGGCTCTCTTCCTGGCCGATGGGGATTTGTCTACGTGCTTGATGTCTTTTACGCCGGTAGTACGCCATTCTTCCGCCACGGTTCATGCCATATGCGGGATGGTTTGCATTGGAAAGGTCGGCAGGTGGGTTATCTAGGTATATCAAATCATGCACCAAGCACTATAGTTCAATTGAATCAAAACTGCATACAACCACTTGGTTGGCTATCCACCTAAACCGATACTAACTTAGACTACAGATCATCGTGGGATATTCAGCCAGTCAATCAGAGCCTACATCATGATGGGCCATCTGTGTCGGGCACGTATGATTCTGTGTGGTACGGGGAGGAACGAAAGTAGGTGCAGGACTCTATCCAGTCCGTGTAGCTACCTAGTGTGACCTTCCCCCTCATGGGCATCGTCTTCAGCCAGCTTGTTGACAGATGGACGGCGTTAGGCGTGCGGCCGAAGGTATTCATCGGACATCTTTCGACTCGTGTAGCTGTAGGAAACTCTCCATCCCGTGTAACCACAGGACCTTGTTCAGTACGCACTGCACATAGGAAGGCGGGAACGGGCTGGAGGAAGGCACACAGTGTCGAGTGAGTCATCGCTGCCGTTAGAAAAGGTTATACAGAAGCTAGACAGACACGTACCAGGCTCGTGTTAACCACAATACCTGCACGGGAAATGAAAGACTGAGACAAAAAAGACACGACACGGAGACACAGATGCGGGCTGCCGCCTCCGGCCCACCGTGGTGAAGCACTTAGATCCAACTCCTGGCGCACAATCACCCCGTTTAATGTCCGCGGCCTACCAACAATGAACACAAGCCCACTCGACGACGCCCCCTTGGCTCTCGCGCCATCGAGCGAAACACCTTCGTGCCGCTGATCCTTTCCTCCCGACCATGGCAAGGGAGTCATCCGCTCCGGCGCCGCGGCTCGATCCCGGCTGGTCTCCACCCTCGCCGGGGGGCCGGTGGGTGAGTTGGCCCATCATAGACGTCCGCTGGTCAGGGCATGTGGCGATGGCTTGGTTACGTCTGTTTCGGGAGCTTGCTGAGAATTGTAATTTGAGAACCAATATGGGCATGCGTATCCGCGGTGCGCACGGCTGAACGCACGCAACGTTGACCAGCCTCTGCTACGACGACCGCTACCCGTCTGGAGGCTGGATCTAGGCCTTGACATATCCAATCACCGATGGCCACACTCGCTGGTCGCACAGGAGACACAACGCAAGGCGCGGCGGGCGCTGTCCGCAGCCAATGACGACGTCCCGACAGCCGTGGCAACTGCACGCTCCCGCTTTGCCTTGCCTCAGGAGGCAGAGATATGTCCTATCGAGACGGTATTGCACTGAGACATCAGGCAGTCCATGCTGTGCCTCAGTCACGACGATACAGTCTCTCCCGCCGGGTTGTAATCTCCGCGGGCCCAGAACCATCGTACCATCGTACCAGCGTATTGTTGTGATTGCTGCTCGTTGTACTGCTGGTTCTTCTACTTCTGCTACTCCTGCAACTGGTTGCGTTGCGGACCAGTTCTGGAGCTCTAGTCAAATAGATACGCCTGAATGGTGGTGACTATCAAGGAAATCCCAGCTTCAAGACCAGCTAGATACGCCGGCTATTCCGGACAGCAAGTTGAACTGTTCAGTAACAAAGTACGTGAGGCGGTACCGAGATACGTAGCGATTTGCCTCTCGATGAAGCCCATACCGCGATCGAAAGGGTCACCTTGCACCCGTCTTGGCGTTTCCGAATATATTAATCTAATATACTGGCCCATGTTGTGGCCGTCGTGATACCCGATGCTCACGCCAACGCATACACACTCATCGCGATCCTGCATGTTGCATCGTTTCGAACGCCAGCCACCAATTCTACGTATGAGTAATGGTCGGCGTTATGGGAGTCGGAGAGTTGATGGCGGAGGAACAGGGGCCAAATTTGAAGTATAAAGGAGGGCCCTTTCCCCCTTCGTCGAGCTCTTTTTTTTTCCATCCCATCACCCTCATCACCTCAGTATAAAGAAGCACCCTTCCCCCCTTCTTCAAGCTCTTCTTCTCTATCCCATCATCCTCATCACCGCAGTATAAAGAAGCACCCTTCCCCCCTTCTTCAAGCTCTTCTTTTCTACCTCTTCATCCTCATCACCTTCCTCTTCCTTCTCATCCCATCCCGAACTCGTACATCTTTCACCTACCCTCTTGATCTGCCATCGGCACCACAAGACCACTGCACAATCCCACCACTCTTCCTGAGTGTCATCTTCCCACTGCAGTTCACTTCGGGTGTCTGAGATTATGCCACTTGGTGTCTCTGTGTCCTGGTGTCTTTGCCCCCTCATGTGCAGCATGCCTCGCAAGCTGGCCAACACCTCCACCCACGCCAACCCAACCCACACTCCTACATCTGTCTGCACTGAATGTAAACAAGACAGTGAGGGAACACACCACGTTGCTGCCATGCATGACATAACCTCCGCGATGGCTTCTCAGGTCGTCGAGACAGTTGACGAGCATGTCTTGGAGCCTCTCTCGTCTGAGCCGGTTATTGTTGCCGTGCCAGAGGTGCAGAGTGTCAGCTCCGATACCGAGAGCTCCGACTCACACATGTTTGCTACCGCGCCGAGTTCCTCAGCCTTAGCTGACGTCTCGGGCTGGTGTGACCAGGTACCGCCAGCCTCCGGTGACACTGCCGATGTGAACGTCCTGTGTGGCAACTCTGGCTCTCCACCAGCGCTGCCCCGACAAGACTCAGTGCCGCCCAAGCCATGGTCTAGCTATGACACTTCCTCCTCGGACCTGAGTGACACTGACTTCACACATGTTCCCCGGCTGGCTCCTGCTGCGCTCTCAAACCAGGAGTGCAGCGATGACATCGGCTTCTTCGACCTCACACCAGGCTTACACGACGTCTGTGACATGTTGGAAGCACTGCATATTTCTGCCTCTGTGCCGAGGACCATGACGGTAGTCAACAGCCTTGAGTCCATGGACCCGACCCCCAGCAACGCAGCCCCTTCACCCCCACAGTTCCCAACCCCAGATTCACCCACGGTGCCAGAGGTGGTCTGGAACCTTCCATATGGTGACAGACATCTCGGTGTCCCAAGGCTTGGCACTCCGCTTGAGGAGCCAGACGCCGACGCCGATGGCCGCCACGAGGCTCCCGGTGCCATGGCCAGACGCAGGCGCCGCCGCCGCGCACCTCGTCCTCGGAGGCGCATCCCCACCATTCCAGGTTCCTCGCCGGAGCCTGCCCGTTTGACTCGTGACGAGGGAGTCGCACGCGTCCTTCGTCGCCGTCGTCCTGCCCCAGAAGACGACAGTGACGAGGCTCAGGAAGCCACTGCCAGACAGAAGAGGCAGCGCCAGGGACAAGCTACCAACGTTTGGAGAGCCCTCCCTCTGCTGCCAAACTCTTCCTTTGGGCACCCCCCTGAGCGTCGGCTGTAAGTCTATCGGCTGACGTCGTCCTCTCCTGTCAGCGGACGACAGCCACCTCGCTCCCGACCCTGGCGTGGAACCCAGGGGATGACGGAACACTGTGGTCCACGGCTTGGAGATTCGTCCCTCTCCTGTCATGCTCCTACCTTGGTGTGCCTCCCCTTTAGCGCACGTAGGAGCTCTGTCGGGTTACGTCGTCTTCTTCCGTCAGCGGACGATAGCAACCTTGCTCCTGACCTTAGCCTGGAACCTAGGGGATGATGGAACCGTATGGTCCACGGCTTGGATACTTATCCCTCTCCTGCTATGCTCCTACCTTAGTGTGCCCCTCCTTGAGCGCACGTAGGAGCTCTGTTGGGTTACGTCGTCTTCTTCCGTCAGCGGACGATAGCAATCTTGCTCCTGACCTTAGCCTGGAACCTAGGGGATGACGGAACACTGTGATCCACGGCTATGGAGCGCATCAGTTTTTGAGAGATGCTGATTGCAACGATGAGATAAAGAATATCCAGGGCAGGCTCTTGATCTCAGGCTTGTCAGGCTCCCTGCCAGGCTTCTCTCCTCAGGCATTCCGCTTTATCTCGAAGAGTTGGTTCGAGGTTTTTATTTTCTCTCTTTGTTTTTCTTTTGTTTTTACGCCGTTGGTGAACGATAGCCAGCAGGCTTCTGGTTCCCGGCTCCGCTCATTATGGAGCCTGCGGGATGCGATTTGTACGCGATGTGTGCCAATGGTTTGGGGGGACGCATCACGGCTTTGTTAGGCCTCTCGCTTGAGTTCCCTTCTGAGGAATACCACAAAGCCTAGAAGAGTTGATTGGGGAAACGGACTCTTCACAGTGCCATCTTGCATCATTGCTGCCGGCCCGCTCGCCCAGCATGATCGATGCAAGTTCCACGATGGCCCAAACAGGTTGGATATATACAGGTACGTCGAACTTACATGACTCTTCGCCTCAGTTAATCTGGTACACTTTGAAGAGTTAATTTGGCTGACCAATCTTTCACAGCGACAACCTGATCATAGGACGGCGGCCCTGGCCTGTCTGTCTCGCATGAGCGATGCAAGTTCCACGATGGCCCAAACAGGTTGGATATATACAGGTACGTCGACCCTCCATGACTCCTTGCCTCGGTCAATCCGGTACAATTTGAAGAGTTAACTTGGCTGATCAATCTTTCATAGCGGCAACCTGGATCGTGGGACGGCGGCCCTGGCCCGTCCGCCCGGCACGAGCGACATAAATTCCATGATGGCCCAAACAGGTTGGATATACAGGTTGGATATATACAGGTACATTGACCCTACATGACCACTCACCTCAGTCAATCTGGTACACTTTGAAGAATCAATTTGGCTGATCAATCTTTCACAGCGACAACCTGGATCATGGGACGGCGGCCCTGGCCTGTCTGTCTCGCATGAACGACGCGGGACACAAGGGGGCCAAAAAGCTTGGAGACATACCTGGTGTCTACCGAGTTTTCCGGCGGCTCCTCCTTCCGTCAACGCCTTTCTTTTTTGGAGCGCTGATCAGGATTTCATTTGGTTCTCGATTCTGCACAGAGCCATCCCGCGCAATTGGCCTGGCACCAGCTCGCCGAAGGTTCCGCCATGAACCCAGAGGGCGCAAAGAGTGCGCAGGGCGGCATGCTCTAATCTCCTGGAAGCCTCAAACATGACGCTCTTGTCGGGCTTCCTACCTGACTCCTCGTCTGAGCCCTTCCGGCTGCACCTTGGTTGATAGGTGCCCAGTTGGTCAATTCTGCGCGGCCTCGACCTGTACCACTGGACCACAACCCGCAAGCAACTCGAGAGGCTCGAGGTACAACGTACTCTGATAATTCCGAGGGTCGGAGACACACTACACCTTTGTCCGGCCTCCTGTCTGATTTCTCTGGGGCCCCGACTCGCCAGAGAACGAAGCGCTGATTTTGGAAATCAGTTCTTCGAAGGGTCATCTCATATCAGAGGACCACCGACCACAAGTTTCTGGCTCGCGTATTCCAACATCCTCTTCTATGTTGGAAACTCGGCGACATACTACGCCTTAATTATGTTTCCTGTATTACTCTTCCGCTCGGTCGACCTGCTATACTTTGAGGAGTTGTTTTAGGGTTGATGTTGGAGGTCTATCCTTCATTGCCCCATCTCGTGTTTGAGCATCACAGCCTATTTCTGGTCAGAGTTCTCCAATCCGCTTACGTCCTAGGCGGACGGCTGTGATATGGGAGACATCTATCATGCGCATCCAGATGAGTTTCTGGGGACGAGGTCATGACTATGGACCTAGCGGTATGGTGGATGATGGGGCTAGCCCAGCCAGAGCAACGTGGCCCAGCAATGAACAGAACATCGGAGCCACGTTTCGCCCCGTGTGCTTCCTGCTTGGCTTCTCTCCCGGGCTCTGCTTTGAAGGCCGCGAAGAGTTGATCCGAGATGATGGTTCTTTACAGCGTCGTCCCGCGTCAGGAGTGCGCAGCCACTAGGCGTCTGGTTTCACTGTAGAACCAAAAGGGCGCGAGCCTTTCGCAAACAAGCTCGATCTAGGAGGATGCGTGGTAGGGGTTTTCCGGATCAGCAATGAGGCTTCATGCGGGTCGACCGCCCACCCGCATGACACCACCTCAATCCCTCCAATCACCCACCCCATCAACTTGTGAACTATCCCGCTGTCAATCATTACAGCACTCATCAGAGCAGCCCCTCATTTTGGAGGGTTCTCATCGGCCTTTAGACATATGTTGCTCTTTGGCATTTAGACATATGTTGCTCTTTGGCATTTAGACATATGTTGCTCTTTGGCATTTAGACATATGTTGCTCAATGGCCAACATCAGGCGATTGGGCTCCCTATACCCTCCTCGCACAGTCCTTCACCCCCAGCACTGGCTTAGCTGGACAACTGGCCCAAGCCCCCATCCCCTCTGTCGGCAGCTTGGGTACCGTTCACCGCGGGGTTGCGTGGGATACCGCTATGCTGATGACTATCATGGGCCTCCGGCGGTTACGGCGTGGTAGGTTTGGAGAAGATGAAGGCATTGGAGAAGATGGAGGCTTTGGAGAAGATGGAGGCTTTGGAGAAAATGGAGGTCCTGTTTCTTTCCTCCCAACTGGGTGACACTTATTAACGTGAGCATTGTGGAGAGCTCACCATATCTCGGCATCTTTCATGGCCATCCCCCATCTATGGAAGCAACTACAGGGATGACGGATGGATAAGCAACCTGCCTATCAACGTCGGAATTATTTATGCCCACGTTTTCAGCACTTGGGCTTCGGGGCGCACACCTCTGCACGCGTCCCCTCGCCTCCATCTGTTCTGCGCGGACGACATCGGCAAATATCTGGGAGGTCGGGTCTGGATAGGCAATGGCGAGCCGCTGCCTGAAATGGTCGACGAACTGGCCCAAGAACAACGCAGCCGGTGGAGAGATTGAAGATGGGATGCCCAACGAAGGGCCGACGAGATTGTCCGCACCGAACACATCAACTAATTGAGGCGGATCATGGAGCGCCCGCCAAAACGGCCGGCAGGGCGGCGCAGCTCCAGTACATATATTGGGACGATGACCACTGAAACGCCTAACGAAGAACTGGTGGGCTTCCGACGTCGCATCACGGCCAGGCCAGGGGGAGATGGAAAGCGCGATGCGCTTTGGGGAACCAGCGGGCATCATATGAAGCCAGGGCTGTCTATTTACCCCGACTAGATTCACTATCATGGAGACCATCAACCGTCCGCCGCAGAGGCGAACGACTTTGAACTCTCACGGCCGCATCACATCCGATAGAGGGACGCGGCGCAGGATGTGCGATAATGCGTTTGCGAGCGTTCCCAATCTAAGTTCACAATGGAGCGGGATGGGACCTTTTCCAGAAGCTTGTCAAGTTCAATGGACAGATGTGTCAAGAGCCACCCAATTCCGAAATTCTTTCGGTGAGCGTATCTCTGACTCAGTCTCCATTGGCGTAGGATGTCCGGCCGGCCAGTTGTCCCATTCGCAGTACGACCAATTCAGAGGTTGGCAAAGAGCCAACAACAACAGCAGCAACAGCAGACTCGGGGAGTGTTCCCACTCTGACTGAGATCTGACAGGAACAGGATTATGCATGAGGCGCATATTAAAGAGTCGGCCGGCTCTCCCATTCGCAAGACGGCCAATGGAAAGATAAGCTAGGGGCCAACAACAGAGGACTCGGTGAGCTGGGCCGGCACAAAAGAAACATCCTTTTGTGTTGGAAGAGTATAGGCGCCTACAGGAGAGTCAAGGGGGGGATCCGATGCAATCCCAACCCATGGAGAGACAGGTCACGAGCCGCCTTCCGAATGGTCGCCAATCGCAGAACGACTGGAGGAGAGATGTGGCGCCAGCAGCAAAATTCACGAGTCGGCCGGCTTGCCCGCACAAAAGAATTCCCGTTGAAGGAGAAGGAATATTAGCTGCTCGCAGAAGTGCCGGCAAGCTTGGACAAGGCCGACCAGATAAACGGTGGGACGGACGACAGGCTATTTCCCCATCTATCCCAGAAAAGGGGGTATTTCGCCACATCTCAAGACACGGAGTTGAGATTGAAGCGGTAGATTATGAAATGCAGGGTGTATCGCAGACCTGCACTACTTGTGTATGGAAATTTTATCCAGGGGGCGATCGAGCTTGAACGAAGGGGGAGACGAAGACATGTTGGCCGCCCTTCAGATCTCCCCTACTTGGACCCGAGAGTTGTCTTTCGGAAGAGAAGTTGGTCAATTTGGGAACATTGTGCCAGACGAAAATAATGTGGTTGTCGGGCTCCGGCGCTCCTTTCGCCAGATTCTCAGGTCGGGGGGATATTCTAGGGCTTACTCAACGTCTTGGTTGACTGGCCCATGGTATGGGAATTCACGGCGTCGTGTACAACAAAGGATGGCGAGCGAAGCAGATGCACCAGAATTGTCTGCGTCAAATGCTTGAGGGGTATCGCACTTCGACGAGGACAACAACATCCTCGAGGGGTTCTTACTCGTCTA